TAAAGGGGATACAAAATTATAATTTGAGGCAAATTTTCAGCTGCTTTCTCATTTTATGTTGATAAGATTGATCTTTTATTAACAATGTTTGGATTGAGTCAGTGATTTCTATTAGTATAGTCTTGAACGATCGACGCTTTGCGCCCCTCCTCAGTAACACCTTTAAACAATACTGTTGATTTTTTAGTCGCTATTTTTCATCGTATACTCTGCTATAAAACTCAAATTTGCTGATTTTTCTGTTTCGAATGTTGGACATTTAATAACAATAAATGTAGACATTTTTACAGGCAAATTTGTACCGCCCATTAACCTTCCCTGGGGGCCTTAATCGGTTCAGCCGGTCTGTAGTTTATTGAACACAAACAGACAGACAGACACAGACAAGCAATATATACATATGTGCACACATAAATATATATATATATATATATATATATAATTAAATATATGTATTTCTTAAAAGCTAAGGAATATTTGCATTTTCATTGAGTGCTTAGTTTTCCTTTTAAAATGGGGTGGGGGGGGAAATCCTTTGAAAACCAATGGATTAGAAACATGTTCTATGGCAAGTTTGAATCAACTGGTAGCACTGTGTTTACACAACAAGATATACTTTTATACAAGCAGGCTTTCTAATAATACATCAGACTTTTAGATTTATAAATATAGTTTTAAGTCTATCTATCCTTTAAAGTATTTGGCAGTTTAAAAATAATTTATCGTTTTGGAAACTTCACTTTTGAAATTTGAATTTAAGAAAAATTTAAGGTAAGCCAGGTTAGGTTAGGTTAAGGCTAAGATAAGTTAGGTAAAGTTAAGTTAAATCTATGCCTAGACAATATAGGGTGTCCCATATAATATTAGATCTAAAATTCGGTGATAATAATGTATCAAACCTCTGTAAAGTAAATAAATTAGAATAAAAATCTAAAACGAATAAATTATTCTTAAAAAACTATAAGGCTAATATAAAATGTTCGTTTATAAATACTAGGTTTATTTAGTATTATGTGCGTATTTGGGACGCTCTGTATATATATTTTGGAAATGTTGCATAATTCTATAATTGTTTTAGATATTTTGTAGAATTTAGAAAGCTAAGGCAATTTAAAAATTTTGCAGTAAGTTGTTTGTTGATTGATATAAAAAAATTAACATTAGGCAACACCATTTGGTCGGCTATTTCCAAGGCCAAAAAGGTTTCTAAATATATATATATACAGTGATAACTTGAAAACTCTGCAATAGGAAGACGACTTTCGGGATCAAGTTATAATTTTAAAAAGTCCCATGAGCATGAGACATGCAGATATTGTGCAATCTAAACAGACCCATATCACTAATTTAGTAATTCAATAAGTATCTTTTAAACTATTTGCTTTGTAACAATTCATCTTTTACATTTGCTATAATGTCGTCTTAACTTTATGTAATTGTGGTCATGATCGATACAGAAACAAACCCCGTACCAAAATTATATTTAGCTTTAGTAGCTGCAGAAAATCTGTATAATTATCGGAGTGCCTGGCTGAATCTATTTATCTATTTATACAAGAAATAGAATAAGATCTTAAGGGACTATAGAATATTAAGAACCAGAAGATATACAAAACAAATGTAATTAAATATCACAGTGAACAAATGAGTTAACCCTACGCCTGCTGTGGATGAGGTGGGGGGGGGGGTCCAATTTAAAAATTAGTTTTTTACATTTTTGTTTTTTACTTTTATAAGTTGAGTTTTTTTTACCAAAGAATAATTTATTTCATGATTTTTTAGAATTTCTTATATTTCAGTAATTACTTTAATGGTAAGGTTATTATATCTTTTAGAACTAAAAAGGGTCAACCCAAACCGAAATAACTCTCAAAAATGTGGAAGGAATATCGACCTTTATACACTTTATTATGGTTTGGAACAATTTGGAAAAATTTCGCTATGTAGTCTGTCTTATTTTTTGTAAACACTCCCGCTAATGCTTTAAGCTTGTAAAAATATTTGAATCAGTTTTTAAATTTTAAATCTGTCACCAGCGTTGGATTTATTGATTTTCTAATAAATGTGCTATAAAATATATTTATACACCTTTTTTGCAATATATTATATAAAAGTTTTAAATAAAAAATATTTTTCATGATTTATTTATTCATTTATTCAAATACTCATTTCTTCATTTATTTATTTATCTATTTATTCATTTATCCATTAATTCATTTATCCATTTATCCATTTATACATTTATCCATCTATCTATTTATTTATTTATCCATTTTATCCATTTATTCATTTAGCCATCAATCCATCTATCCATCTATTCATTTAAGTCCATTTTTCGAAACTGTTTTATCTATCTGATGAAATTGTTGAATAAAGATTTTAAAACACAGGACAAATGTGTATTTAAGAAGAAGAATTAGATTAAATTTTAATTAGCTTGATTATCTATTTAAAATTTTAATAAAAGTATTCAGCAGTTAGCAAAGATTAAAGTAAACTGGGCATTTTTTTTAAAGCCGCGATTTAGAGAGTACAAAAAAGTGCTGACACAGTTTTCAACTGAAACTTAATAAGCAAAAACATAGTTTTTAATATTTTGTAAAACATTCGCTGAGTGTGGGTAGCCAAGATGTTGTTATAGGAGGTTATAGAAATATTATGAAATACACAAAATATACAAGTTATCATTAAAGAAATTGAAAGAATATACAAAAATTTTAAAATGTTCAAAATGGTCGATATAAAAAAATTATACAAAATATACCTAAATACTTTTTCAAGTTTTAGTCTGATATAAATTTAAAATTCAACACGTGTTTCTGCTTTAGATGCATTTATATGTTCTAAATTAAGAGCTCTTCTGAACGCGGGAAATGTCGGTCAGAAATATGCAAACTTACACAATTTAAAAGTACACATTTTAAAGTCTGTAAATTGAAAACATGTATGCGGCCCTTCCTTATCTGTATATCAATTTGCATATGATTATTTATATATATTTTTTTATCTTATCTGACTATTTATACTTATTTTGTCTAGCTTACTATTTGAAATATGTTCTTTTATTTCACACATTAAAAAATGTCTCTGAATCTTTTGGTTTGATTTTATGCTTTCACACACCCATTCAATGTTTTTTTGTTAAAGGATTGATAAGAAAGAAAGGAAATGATCGTTTGTCACAAATTTTAATTATATCCTTGCAACCTGATGTCGTAAACCCTGATATTTCAAAATTATCAATTTAGTTTGATCAAAAATATTTGAAATATCAAATGTTTACAACATCAGCTGTTTCAAAGATATTGAGATTAGAAATTCGAAGTTTGTGCCTAGCAATCAGTTACTTTTCAGAATTATCATTCAGATTAATTTCACTTTTATCAGGAATAAAAAAAATTGTATTTGGACAGCCTTGGGACATACACAAAATACCATTGGTGTATCATTCCTCAATCATTTGATATCTTGAACTTGGAAATATTTAGAAAAGAATTGATTTTTTAATATATATCTAAATTTTTTCTGTCTGAAGTTGAATTCCTTTATCTTATATCCAATGTTCTTGATCTCAAACCACTTACATAGATTAATCCAAATCCATTGTGGTGAAAAGCAATGGTTTTGGATTCTGTTAAAGAAAGGGAATGTGGAATGTGCTATCTAACGAACCATGATTAGCAGTCATATAATTTTAATTTAGTCTTTTTATTATAAATTCTGGGAAGTCTCTTTATGTATAATCATATGGGAGATGCAGTCTCTTTAAGTATAATCACATGGGAGATGTAGCCTCTTTGAGAATAATTTTATTAGAGATGCAGTCTCTTTAAGAAAAATTATATGGGAGATGCAGTCTCTTTAAGCAAAATTATATGGGAGATGCAGCCTCTTTAAGTATAATCATATGGGAGATGCCGAAGTCTCTTTATTTATAATTATATGGGAGATACAGTCTCTTTATGTATAATTTATGGGAGATTCAGCCTCTTTAAGTATAATCATATAAGAGATGCCGAAGTCTCTTTATGTATAATTATATGGGAGATACAGTCTCTTTAGTTATAATTATATGGGAGATGCAGTCTCTTTAAGTATATAAGTATAATTTAATGGGAGATACAGTCTCTTTAAGTATAAATATATGGGAGATGCAGTCTCATTAAGTATGATTATATGGGAGATGTAGTCTCTTTAAGTATGATTATATGGGAGATGCAGTCTCTTTAAGTATAATTATATGGGAGATACAGTCTCTTTAATTATAATTATATGGGAGATGCAGTCTCTTTACGTATAATTATATGGGAGATAAAGTCTCTTAAAGTATAATTATATGGGAGATACAGTCTCTTTATGTATAATTATATGGGAGATGCAGTCTCTTTGCGTATAATTATATGGGAGATAAAGTCTCTTAAAGTATAATTATATGGGAGATGCAGTCTCTTTAAGTATAATCATATGGTAGATGCAGTCTCTCCGAATTGTTTTTATGGTTTTTTTTAATTACTAATAATGGTTCTTTATATAGCAATGTTCAAGATTGATAATATCCTCTCTACACTCATATCATATGTGAGATGCAGTCTCTTTAAGTATATAAGTATAATTTAATGGGAGATACAGTCTCTTTAAGTATAATTATATGGGAGATGCAGTCTCTTGAAGTATAATCATATGGGAGATGTAGTCTCTTTAAGTATAATCATATGGTAGATGCAGTCTCTCCGAATTGTTTTTATGGTTTTTTTAATTACTAATAATGGTTCTTTATATAGCAATGTTCAAGATTGATAATATCCTCTCTACACTCTATTTTTTATTCCTTTAATTACAGTACGAACCATAAAACAGTGGATTTTTTACTGTATCTTTCTAACCTAATTTCATAGACCTTAGATATTTTAAACTTTGATTTCTGCTAAATCTAGAAATGGAAGTTTAAAAGTAATAGGAATATGAACGTTAGAGTTTGAGGCGAATTATCATTCCCTAGATATAATAAGAAAAGTTAGTAAATCACTCACAAATACAGATTGCGGCAAGAAGTCGCACTGCGCCGTCAGGAGGGTCGCACTCCGGAAAGAATGGTTTTGTCGCATATATAGAGAAGGTTAGTGCGACAATAGCCTGGCTGCATGGTCGTACAATCATACACTCGACCCATAGCCTAGACCAGGGCAAAGGTTAGCATCAAGCATCAGCTTTGGTCAAAGGTCAAGAAAATGTGAAAAAGGAAATATCATTTAAAATTTGTTGCAATTTTTTCAACCAAAATTTATTTACAGGGTTACCCATAAAGGCTGAGATTTTTATAACAACCTAAAACTCTGAAATTTATAACGATCTAAATGCTTAATTTTGTTTTCTGCTGTTATCTAACACTTTGGTAAACAAAAAGTAAACAGTTTCAAAGAATGTTTTAAAAAAAGTGTAAATTGCATACTGTTCGTCTCTAAAATCCAATCAATTGTGTGTAACCCTGTATATGAAAGGTACTATAAGCAAACCATTTAAAATAACTGTTCCGCAAAAAAATAGTGTTTTGGGAATTAATGCAATATAAATGATAATCCTTATCAAGTTTTCTTAAGACCTGATTAAGTATGGATAAAAACAAGGGGTGGCAAAAAATTATAGGGGAGTCAATAAAAGGTCACAGAACAAATCTTCAGGTTGTGAGCAAGTTACAAGGTGTTAACTGAATTAGTAGAAAGCAAAGTAAAGTCGTCTTTGATAGATGTTTTTGTTTGTAATTTGCCACGGGTCTGGACTGGAAAAAAATGTCAAAGTTTTCTATGCACGTTTTCAGATTAAAAAACTCTTTGACAACGTTTTTCATAAAAATAATTTAAAATTACGACTTTTAATTCGGGTTTTACTGGTTATCACGCTAAAATATTCTACTGCAGAAATTTTTGAGTCCGTTCGGAAACTATAAAATAAGAATTTTATATGCTAAGAAAGAAGTGTGAAGATTTTTCAACTATTGTTGTTACACAACGGGATATTATTTTTTAGTTTTACCCCCTGTTCGAAATTGTTTCTGTATAAAACTGCATACTAATAATCGTGAGAGTCCGTCTAAAATTCTTTCTTAGCTTTCAGAAATTGTTAAAATTTGTTAGAAAACGGTTGAACAGGCAGAGAAAACAGCTGCGCATATTCTTGATAATAAAGAATGTGTAAAATTATGCTGAGAAAAGAAAAAAGGTTGCAAAAAAGGTTTGTTTTTTAGCGAAAAATTGATATTTTTTTTCCTAAAAATAAAATCAAACAAATTAAAAATATTTTTCATAAAAATTTTTCATTTAGCATTAAAAATTCTTTAGAATAATTTTACAATTTTTTATTTTACCAAATACACTCAAGTAGTGTATGTACTCAGACTGTATGTACTGTATAAACAGTATGTTTCCTACCTGATAAATGCAAGGAAGCTCCCGAATGTGACCATGATGTACGCGTAATCTGCCCCTGTCTTCTTTATCATACATCCCAATTCTGCATAGCAGTACGCACCTGTACATAAACAACAATATTTCAGTTCGCACCATTAACAACTAGATATTGCAGTACACACCTGTACATGAAAAAATTGCAATACGCACATGTACAAAAACAACAATATTGCAGTACGAACATGTACATATAGTACAATATTGCAGTACGAACATGTACATATAGAACAATATTGCAGTACGAACATGTACATATAGTACAATATTGCAGTACGAACATGTACATATAGAACAATATTGCAGTACGAACATGTACATATAGAACAATATTGCAGTACGAACATGTACATATAGTACAATATTGCAGTACGAACATGTACATATAGAACAATATTGCAGTACGAACATGTACATATAGTACAATGTTGCAATACGAACATGTACATATAGAACAATATTGCAATACGAACATGTACATATAGAACAATATTTCAGTACGCACCTGTGCAATAATTCCAGTATTTCAGTACTGATTTGATAACCACTGATTTAATAACAACATTGTTGCTTCAAATATGAAAGTTGTTTTCCAAACCTTTAAATAATGACTTACCAATCATAGAGAAGATTCCGCTGGTGATCCAGACCACTAAGGACATGTTGACAGAACCGGTTTGCTAAAAAATGCGCCATTTTGAATATCCAGATCGGTTTTAAATTATTTTTATTCTTACCGCTAGGACTCCACTCGGAGAGACGAAGATACCGCTGCCGATAATTGATCCGACAATAACAGTGCAACCATTCAAGAGCGTCATCTTTGGCTTTAGTCCAACATTATCTTGCTCTGCGTCCTCCATCTCCATTGGCACCATTTTCTCGGGCTCATTCTGTGGAACCGGTTTATATTCTTCTTTTCCCACCATTTTATCAATGTCAGCCATGTTGAAGCTGATTTTAAAGAAAGCCTAAAATACAAAATAAAATATTAAGAAATGTAATTTTATAATTGATTTTTCTTCCAAAGTTTCAGAATTTTGTTTGTTATAACGACAGAGGACTACTATGAGTCCGAATTTAATGAATTAATTTGAGCTGCGTCTCAATTCCGCCAAAAACCGGTTTCAAATGAGCGCCGGCTTGAATCTTAAAACATTGAATACGATTTTAAGTGGAACCAACCATAATTTAGCCATGTCTCAAATTTAAGCCGCGGCTCAGATTCAAATACGTGGCAATATATATGAATGAAGTATCTTGATTGAACAGCATTTTCACGTGATTTGACACATCATGTTTCTAGTTCACGTGATTTGACACATCATGTTTCTAGTTCACGTGATTTGACACATCATGTTTCTAGTTCACGTGATTTGACACATCATGTTTCTAGTTCACGTGATTTGACACATCATGTTTCTAGTTNTAGTTTTCAGATTGTTTGCGTGTTTGCTGAATATGATCTGTTTAAACCTACTAATTTTATACAAAATTTCATATTATAGATTTTCGTATAATTTTGACACAGCTTTATATCAATTTCTCGAGACAGGAACATCAGATATAGATGTCTTATATGTATAGTTCAACGCCTGAGATTCTCAGGTTTCATTCTCCTATACCCCCTTTCATTTTTCATTTACAGTCCCTTTAAGTTATTACTAGAAAGAGCTGGTTGCGAAGCGCCTGGAAAGCCCTTCCTTTCTTTTTAATTTCGATTGACTTTAGATAAAAAAATATAAGTTTCGTAACAAAATTGCGCAGTTAGTGAAAATGTTCTGTTTCAAACGGTTTATAGGCTGAAATGGGTATAAAATCTTACCCCCCCCGCATCATAGTTTTTTAAGGGTTAGGTAAAGTTCTTGATATTTGAATGAGATAAGGCTGCCAATAGTTAGATAGGATTGTAATGAAAATTTTATCTTAATATTTACCTTTTTTCAGGACACCTTAAATATTTAATAAAAATTTAGATGTTCAGAATGAAGTCCAGTTTTAAGGGGTACGAACAGACCATACATAAATGGTATTAATTACTTTATAATGTTTTTAGTATTAAAGCCAGGGCCGGGGAGAGGTTTCAGCCCCCATAGCGCCCCCCCCCCCCTGGTCAAAATGCTTTAAACATTCTTGCTCGAAAAGAAACTATTTTTGATTTTCAGAAATGTATTTGCATATTCTTAATAAAACTTTCACAAAAAAACATTGAACAAATTCAATATTTGTTTGTTTTAAAAAAAATAATATAATGTGTGAATGATAGAGTTATTTGATGGTTTTGTTTACTGTTTGTTGTGCAACATTGGCGATTCTGGAAAAACAAGAAAGAATGAAATAGATAAAATAAATTGGTTTACAGAAAAAGACAGATACTTGTATGTGATGACCAGAAACTCTAAAAAAGGAAAACGACTTTTTGAAGCAAGTTATAAATGAGCATGATAAACAGCAATTGTGCAGTGTAAACGGCCTGTTTCACTAAACAACTACGGTCTGTTTCACTAAACTAGTAATGTAATAAAGGTCTGGTGAAACTATTTGTAACAACATTAAATACACTAAAAAAATTGCTAAAATGTCGTCTTACTATTCCATTGATTGTTGGTTAACATTGAATATTTCTGGAGCATCTATTCTATTAAAAATATTAATATGGAGCATCTATGCTAATAATAATATTAATATCAACACAAAGGGTGAAATGATTAAAAAATATTTTTGTCAAGAATCTTTTCTTGTTGTTTATATGATAAGGTTGATGGGGTATAACGACGTATTTGAATCACAAGATTGTTTTCTCTCTACTATAGAGTATACCCCAGAGAACTTGTGTTTTCTCTCTACTGTAGAGTATACCCAGAGAACTTGTGAGAGAAGTTAAACCACGTGCCCAATACCTCTCTATCTATCTATCTATCTATCTATATATTCTAGACTACAGCTTATGATGTAAAAGTTCTTTCTGCTTTCATTTAGACGTGGTACATATAAAAAATTGGTCGAATAGCATGTTTTTTAACCTAAACTTATTGTCGTCGTCATAATTTAGATCTTTAGCCTATCTTACCCCCGGGATACCTCTGGGTTCCCTCAAATATTTCAGCCGATTCGGTCCAGCAGTTTGGCCGGCTATAGGGAACATTTATACGAATGTCTTGTTTTACCATAGTTTTAGTAGAAGTAAATATTTCCTTTTACTGATTGCGCCGATTGAAGGATTCATATTTCTAATTGGATAATGAGATAGATAGAAAGATAGATGTTACCGCCATACTATTTCTATTGGTTCTGAATAGACAACAAACACATGACTGAACCCTGATTGGATCAGGCCATCAGGACCCGGCATGCGTACAGGAGTGTTTTACTATATAGATAAATATGCAATTGCCAAGCACTGCTGCTAGAAAGACTAGGGGGCCGAGTGCTTTGGAAATAGCACATTTGGGAAGTTGCCATATGGGAAAATACCTTTTGGAAATTTCCGCTTGGGAAAATGCCCTTGGGGAAGTATCAAAAATGTATTAAGCTCAACACTACTATTTTTTATAATACAAATTAAAGACAAAATTGACACCTTTTTTATTCTAGCTTCTGGCATGTAGTTTCACTTGAACACATAGAATTGAGTCTTTGTCACAAACTTTGATTTTCTAATCCCTACATCTTTGCCACCCAATGGCGTTGACCTGCGATATTTTAAATTATGAATACTGTTAGATCAAATTTGAAAAATCAAAGGTTTACATCATCAGGTTGCAACGGTATAAGTATTAAAAGATTTGAGTTTGTGCCAGAGACTCAATTCCTTTTCATAGTGTGTAAAATCTTAATCTTCCTGCCAATACGCACTTTGAAAGCAGAGAAAGAGCTTTGATATTGCCCCCCCTTCCCCACCCCACCCCCTCCAATATCTAAATTCAGGAGTAGGGGAGGGGGGGAAGGGGGGCAATATTAGAGCTCTTGCTGCACTCAAAGTGTGTATTTGTCTAGTCCTGCACTCTAACTGAGAGTTAAGAATTTGATCGGGTTAATTTGTCATGCTTTGAGTTTCAGAATTTTTATATTTCAATCCTGAGTCCTGAGCTGGCTTTTAAAAAGAAATGTTTACAATTTAAAGTTCTGAAGTTAGAAGTACAAAAGTATTAAAAATTGCGGAAAATAGGTTTTTTAATTAAACATTTGTTTTTGGCATTTTTTTTAATCTATAATCAGATTTTAAAGATATGTTTTAAAGATATATTCTAAAGCCAACCCCTTCAGATCCCCTGTTTCTCAAAGAACCCTCCAAATAATCATATGTTTATGTTAAATTCATGTATAACTAGCTTACAAAGCACTTTAGCTTTTTGCTTAATTTATTTGAATTCGAGTCAACAAAATGTAGTCTCAATCTTACTGTACTGGAAAAAAGTGTTGAACAATCTGTTTACAAACAATGATTTTTTTTACGCAAAAAAATCCTTTTAAATCTGAAGTACCCTCCCCCCCCCCTCAACAGTGCTTTACCACGTACGCCCAGATGTGTTTCATTAGTTTCAAGGAAACTGAGAATGTAGTATTGTGGAGAAATCTTTTAGGACGTTCAACATTATCCATCTGGGTGGTAATGTTTTAGGAATCGATTTTTTTAAAATTATTAAATAACGACGACAAAAATGTAAAAAAAATTGCAGAAAACAAATTAGATGGTCAGAAACATAATTCTCAATTGGTCAATGGTAGAATCAAATATTTCTTTATCATCATCATATTGAATTTCTTTTTCTTATTATAAAATTCCAGGAAATCTACAGAAAATGTTTGTGAACAGTGACACATTGCAGAAACCAATAACTGAATAAGATTACTTATCTCCGATGATAGTTAATTTTTATTTTCTCAATTTTTTATTTTCGTCATCGTTATTGAATAAATTTTTAAAAACCGATTCTCAAACTCATCCCTCAACAATAAACAATCTATGAGGATTTTAAAGATTGAATTTGCACTTCTGTTGATCAAATTTGCACCGTAAAAACGTCTTAGAGGTCTCAAATGATTCCTAAAAAAATTCTCCACGATACTACATTCCAAGTTCAACTACCATACATTGCCGGTCACTCCCTTTAAGGCTTTTTTTCATTTTGCAAGTCTAAATCATTTCTTATGCAAATGAAGAGTATGCCGTCACATTCTGCAGATAAGAAAAGGAATTATGGAAAAGTATGATAAATAAATGCAACCGTAAAGTTTAATGAAATAGAAAATGTCATTAAAAAATCTATAAACAGGGCTGAATACCTACATAGCATGAGACTTCAGAGACAAGTTTACAGAACTTCAGCGACAAGTTTACAGAACTTCAGCGACAAGTTTACTGCAACTTCAGAGACAAGTTTACAGAACTTCAGAGACTAGTTTACAGAACTTCAGGAACAAGTTTACTGCAACTGTAAACTTGTTTCCTTCCTTGCATTAGCATATAATAAGCTATTAAAAGACTAAATTCAAGGGATAAGAGACTTAATTTAACCTTGGGATCAACATAGTTTAAAAGTTTTAGGTCGTCTTTACAGTCTACTCCTTTGTGGGTAACCCAGTACACGTAAGTACTAATCTAATCTAGACAGAAGGTGAAAGATTTATGTTGTAACAAGTTTTATTGAAATTGAAATTTACTTTGCTTTGACGTGACACCCTTCTATCTCTCCTTAGAAACTACTGCTGCGGGGGGGGCGGAGGGATACTTAATCTACATCAATATAATGGACCAGGGTGAGAGAATAAATGGGTTTATTGAATTATACTCTCAATCTAGTACATTAGTCATACAAGAAAAGAGTTATATTGAATGGGACATGGCACACAAACATCCAAAATGTGCATTGTGTACACTCTCACACAAACATCCAAAATGTGCATTGTGTACACTTTCACACAAACATCCAAAATGTGCATTGTGTACACTCTCACACAAACATTCAAAATGTGCACTGTGCACACTCTCACACAAAAAATAGTATCAGTTTGCCAATTACTCATTTTAAATGATTCTAAAACTAAAATGTGTAGGGAAACAAAAATTGTATAACAGACAATTAGTAAGATAACAGTAAAGGCTAAGGTGTTGTCGGCCTATTCTTAAAAAAATGAAGCAGATTTTTCCATAGCAGTCTGGATCTATGTGGTTAGGAATAAATTGAATGGTCCAGATTTTTAACAACTTGATCATTTTCTCTTTTCATATGTTTTGAAGGTTCCACCTGTCGTGGCAGATTTTGAACAAATTTCGAAAAAAAAGTTTTTTTTTGAAATTTTTGCTAAACTTTGAGCAGACATCAGGGGAAGTGTGAGTTACCGCCCAAAAAAGTGGGCCTGGTCGGTTCAGACGTTTTAACGTTTCTTGGATACAAACATATCGACAGACAGACAGAATTTAACATCAGTATTTATCATCTTTTTTGTTAAAGAAAAGTTTCTTGTCAAATTTTTGGTTTTTACCATATTTCGAGAAATTTTGATTATAGTCATTTGCCTTGAGACTATCTGTGCTAAATTGGTTTCGATAAAATCTAAATTGTCAAATGAGCCTGTTTACACTGCAAAGTTGCTTTGTCTCATCTTCATTATTTAAAATCATAAATTGAGTCATAAAGTCGTCTTCCTATTCTAGACTTTTCTGGTTATCACTGCTTTATCCTGATTTAGGATCAAGTGTGGGTAATTCAGCTTGTAAGTTATATTGTAGTTTATTGAAATATCCTGCAGCCTAGCTGTATAGTAGTGTATGTAAGTTATATTGTAGTTAATTGAAATATCCTGCAGCCTAGCTGTATAGTAGTGTATGTAAGTTATATTGTAGTTAATTGAAATATCCTGCACCCTAGCTGTATAGTAGTGTATGTAAGTTATATTGTAGTTTATTGAAATATCCTGCAGACTAGCTGTATAGTAGTGTATGTAAGTTATATTGTAGTTAATTGAAATATCCTGCAGCCTAGCTGCGTGAATGAATTATTATGAATAAAGTCTTCCTTATATATTTCAATATATACTTCTAAATGGAAAATACAATTTAGTAAAAGGAGAAATAAATAAGATTATTGGCATAACTCTCAATATATAGTGATGCAGGGTGTCTAAATAAATATATAGAATAAATAGATAAAGGGACGTGAGAGCAATTTGAAGTGACCCTCTCCCTGCAAAAATGACATTGCCCAATTCACAACGGTACTATTAATGAAACCTTTAACTGATCCATTCTATGTTTCTATATGTTGAAAAGTATTTAATTTTGATAGTTACTTTATATTTTCCACAAGAAACCACACTTGAAAATGATCAATTTCAAAATTAAAAACATTGATATTTAATTCATACTTGATAATAACAAAGCTTGAAATTGCGCAGTCTCTTTAACAAATCTTTAATAGTATAAAAAAATAGGATTTAAAGGTTTATTTGAAGAGGATAATAAATATATAAATATATAAATATATTAATATATATAAATGTATAATTACCCAATTCACAACGGAACACTTAAAATCTTTGTCTGTATAAATTAGAGATATCCATGCTTTTGTTTATTTAAATTGTTTATTTTGATTTGTGTTTCTCTTACTTACAAGAAACAAAATGGAGATGTTCTCAGATAGTAGCGCTTTTCGTGACAGAAAAACAATGTCATTATCCACATTTTTGATCAGATTAAGGTTTTAAGGGTACCGTTGTAAATCGGGCTTTGCTATCTTTGCATGTAGGGTCATTGAAAATTAAGCTTAAAGTCCCTTTAATGCTTAGTTTTTGTTTAACACAACGTTATACGATTGTGAAAGCTTTTTTTTTCTTCTACGAAATGATTAGTTGTTCATGAATTTGCATTTAAATCATATTTCAATTTTTCCGGCTCATATATCATAGTTTAATCAAATTAATATTATATACATTGGAGTTTTGTTTGCTTTAAAGTATATGAGCAAAATTGTACAGTGTGTCATTTTTTTTCCTAAAAATGTCATTTTATCTTTACATATAATACAGAATTTCTGTATACATCATTTTACAAGTAAACTCTTTTAAACAATAGTTAAAAACAGCCCAAGCCTTGGTATTTCCAAATTGATGTATTTTTTGTGCTTTCAATATTACTGAAGATATGAATTTTGGTGCAAAGTTTGATACAGCTATGAAAATTCTCCTCATTTATGAAGACTGGGTCAACTTATAAGTATCTCAACGCCTGAGCTTATGGTTTTTTCTATACCCTACTTATACAGCTGTGTAGCCCTAGCCATGAACATTTTAGAACTTCAACAACACCTTTATTATAAATAAGATGGCAAAATGCTAATAGATTTCTGCGTACAAGCGTGAAAATGTTGGATTACTGTTTACAAAAGACCAGATTTAAAAAGAAATGTTTTACTGTTTTTTTTCTGTATCCATAAATTTTGGTAATGGGTGTACCTAGAAAAACGCTACTCTCATAAAACGCTACTCTCATAAAACGCTACACTCATAAAACGCTACACTCATAAAACGCTTCACTCAAAACACGCTTCACTCATAAAACGCTACCTCATGAAACGCTACACTTATAAAAGCTACCTTATAAAATGCTAGTAAAGAAAAAACAACTGTCATGTTTATATTTGCATGGTTATTTAAATTCATAATAAAATATGTTAACATTTATTTAAATTATTTGTCGAATTATTGTCTATTTATCTGGTAGCGTTTTATGAGTGTAGCGTTTCATGAAGTAGCGTTTTATGAGTGTAGCGTTATATGAAGTAACGTTTTTCTAGTATGATCTAAGTTTGATGGGTTTGAAGGTTGATAAACTACTACGACGTAAAAGAAGAAAGCTGCACAGAAATATATTTTTTCAATCCCATCAAGGATATTTGTCAGATTAATATTGTAGGCTTTTAATATGTATGATAAAAGTAGTAAAAATCAAATAACCAGATGTTGTTTTTAATTCATTAAACTCAATAAAGAGTATCATAAAATAAAAGGAATATTTCCCTCCTAAATTGGCTACTTCTGTAAAATTTACTTTTTCGAATTGCCCCGGCTGACGGTGTCTTAAACTTGTATAACCAATCATATTTTTGTTTTAAAAATTATATGTCTACAACGAATGTTTAAAAAAATCAGCTGAACCGGCAAATTTGAAAAACTAACACTAACTTTCTGTTCCAGCATTCAGCATGCTTTCTGATGAAATCCTTGAAAACATTTCTCTCAAAACATGTAGAAAAAAAGTACAGGTTAAATATTGAGTTTAAAGCTTACCTTATAAAACGACGTGTCACGGTGAATAAAATGTTTCACCTTTCTCACATGCCCGTACAGTGTACAGTGTACAGTGAACAAAATACAGTTTAAACGTAAGGTGTACAGCAAAGATGTGTGCACGTGAAATATGAATCTATCTATCCATTGCTTTCTTTCTACGTAGACTCGTAGAGAAGAGAAAGCTTAAAGGAAAGATCAATATATAAGTTTATAAATATATAGATAGGGGGGGGGGGATACAGTGGGAGAATTGAGGGGATTCTTGTATCGGGGTTAGATATAATTTTAACTAAGCTTTAAATAAGCTTGAATATATTGAGTGGGGTGGGGTAGGGGGTAGCAACAACAAGAGGACAGTCATGGTGTAAATGCAATACCAGGGGGGGGGGTTAAAGGGTAGCCGTACAAATAGAATAAATTAGGCTCTGTTCAGTGGTTAAATGTAGGATAAATAAATAACTAGTTTGGTCATTTGAACGTTAAACCTTTGGTCATTTGGACGTCAAAAGTTTGGTCATTTAGACGTCAAAAGTTTGGTCATTTGGACGTCAAAAGTTTGGTCATTTGGACGTCCAAAGTGACGTCATTTCGACTTCGAAAATTAGGTCGTGAGGACGTAAGAATCCTTGCGTTAAACGTCCTCAACACGGCCTTAACACCTAAAATACACCCACTGGTAATGATTGACGTCCTCATGACGACCTTAGGACGTCCTCTGGTTTCTAGGGAGGAGTAAGCCTTGCAGGAGTAGGACTTGCAGGTTAGCAGGAGTAGCAGGAGTAGGACCAGCAGGAGTAGCAGGAGTAGGACTAGCAGGACAGTGGGAAGAGAAGTTCTTTATTTGTGTGTTTTATAAAGATCTCTATCTCATGTACGTATAAAGCAATTGCTTTCTTTTAGGTATGCCATTTTTATACTTACATTTAATAACAGAAGAAATTTTAATGTATTATCATTTTTTCTTCAACGTTTATTTTATGGAATCTGAAGAGATCAGATATTAATCGAAACTTAATTAAATTCATCAAATTAAATTAAAATTAATGGAAACTTACCTAGAGGTATCCGGACTATTTACAGAGTAGTTTTTAATCATTTATTTCCTAATAATCATTTTTAACTAATAGCTTCGAACTCGCCATTTTTTTTTCGCTCTCTAAAAAAGATTTTTTTGTTAAAATTAATGTTAATTGAGGTCGAGTGATTTGCCACAAAAAATGTGGGCGCGACGGGTTCAGACTTTTTAATATCAGATATATTTTAATTCTTTGTTTAGTGAATTTAAATCCTATATTCAGATATATCAGACATATATTTTAATCCTTTATTAAGATTATATTTAAATCCTTTCTTTAGATAATTTAAATCTTATATTCTGGTTTATGAGATATATTTAAATAATTTATTTAGAGAATTTAAATCCTATATTCCGATATATTTTAATCTTTTGATTATGGAATTTAAATCCCATATTCTGATATCTGCATTTTAATTCTTTGTAAGCGTAATTTCAAGTGCAAAGATAACAATGCCCGATTCACAACGGTACCTCTTAAATCTTTATCTAATCAAAAATGTGGAAAATATTGTCGTTTTTCTAGGCTTAACAGTTTTTAGTTCTGGTAATTTCTATTTGTTTTCCTGCAGTAGAAATGCGCGAAAGTCACTTTTGTTGTGAAACCACAATTAAAATAATCAGCTTAAAAAAAAATAATCACCGATATCTTATTCATACCTGATTAGACAAAGCTTTTAAGACATTGAAATTTGGGCTTTAATAATTGACATCTTTGAATGGAGAGTCACTTAGGTAAATTTTATGAAAGTTTTCGTAACTTTAAAGAAATTAACGCGGGGTTCTAGTTTTCTCAGTAATTAAGGCAATGTCTTTTGACATCTGCGCTTTGCTCGTCTGTCTGTTTGTATCCAATAAACGTCAAAACGGCTGAACCGATCGGGACCAAATTTTGTGTGGGGCCTCACATGAAACCAGGGAAGGTTTATTGATGGTCAGAATTGTCTCCAAAATTTGTTGACTTACATAAAATTTCGAAAATCCTTATAGCCTAGTTGTTTAATAAAATACATTACACATTTCAGGTCATCTAGGGTTTCCATTTTTTCCCTTGCAGGCCCGAAGCTGTTTAGAATTATAAACCGTTCATTAACAACTTTTGGAAATCAAGGCCTATCTACAACAAACCCTGATTTTCTCTAATCCCTATATCTTGGCAACCTGATGATGTATCCATTGATAATTCAAAATAATAGAAACCGTGTTTGATATGAAGAACTGTTTGAAACATCAAAGGTCTTTGACATAAGGTTTGCCAGAAATAGTGATTAAAGAATTTGAATTTGTGACAAGTGTTCAGTTCCTTTAAAAATGTACACAATATTCTTATCATGATTGGAATAAATTTGAACTTCCTCCCAAATTCATTAAATTCGGTTCTTAATAACAGTACTCTTGAAACTTCTTCACAAATGTAATTTATTATTTAGATTTAGTGAATTTCGAAAAATAATTATTTCTTTTTTTTCTGCATGCACAATGCAGGTAGTTATAACAGTTTCTTTAGATGCCTATTCCACGACTTCCACAAGTAATTTCCGGCTGAAGATGAAAATTTAACGATACATATCAAAAATTAAAATTCAAACGCAATTTAGTCATAAATTAATCATGCAGTGGCAGAATTTAAACTGCGTCTCTCATTCGCCGAAAACCGGTTCCATTTGGGCGCCGGCTCAAATCTTGAAACACCTAATACAATTTCAAGTAGAACTTACCATGTTTAAACCGCGTCTCAAATTTGAGCCGCGTCTTAAATTCTTTTAATTCGGCCTTTGCTTTATTTATAATATATGTTTGTAATTTGAAGGAAAAGTATGTGCTTTATATTTTATAAAAGACCAGGTAAGTCCAGTAATGAGAGGAATTCGTCTTTTTTTACCAAAAGAATTAGATTACTGAGAAGTGCATTTTTGTGTTGCTCATTCCAAAAACTGGGATATGATCATATTAAGTGTATTTTCAATAAATTTAAAATCTTCTGATTGAAAGTTATGGGAAGAGGATTTATAAAACTATCTAAAAAGTCTATTCAACTTATCTATTTATTGTCAAATATCCAAATTAAATATTCTTGAGGAAAATGGAAAACTGTTGAACGAACAAATTAATCTTTGAAATATCTCCGTCAATATCCAAAGAATACAAGAATGAGTGAAATCTGCAGAACAACATCATACCACTCAGATCCACATCAGGTTTCCTCTCAATATCTTCATCTTCCTCATCATTATCTCTTGAATTGATAATAGTTCTTATTTGTTCTTCAAACTCTGAAACAAATCTGCCAGTGTCCTGTAAGGATGAAACCCCTTTAGTTTTGGGAAATACATCTAGATAAAAATCTGTGTGTCCTTTGCATGGAATTTGTATCTTCTCCAACCAGAGATCTCTGTAGATCTGAATGCCAAGAGTTTCCTAATCCTTATATCTTTGTAACCTAATTTTGATATTTTGAACTATGAATTCAGCTTATACTGCTACATATAGATAAAATACTAAAAATTTCAAATATGAAAGTTTTACAAACTATAGTAACCTTGTACACCATATTTATTTATATTCTTCAGTTTTACACCACTATATATTGCAGACCACTGTACCTACAAAGTGCAGTTGACATAACAAAGTTCCGGACAAGATCTATAGCTGCAAATTGAACTCCAGGAATACCCTTCAGAAGTGCTGCCAGTCAAAGCAGCGACTTTTCCTGAAAACACTATTTTTTTGATAAAAAATACTAAAAATTATTTAGTTAAATGGAGAGACAGGCTAGCCATGGTATTCCAGCTGGAAGTGCAGTATTGTTAAAGAGAAATTTTAGAACTTTGAGACGTTTTTACGGTGCAAAATTATTAAGCGAGAGCGCAAATTCAATCTTTTAAAATCGTCACGGATTGTCCATCCATCCATTTTGAGAATAACGACGACAGAAACCGATAACTGAATAAGATTACTTATTTTCGATCATAAAAGTTAAATTTTATTTTTTTCAATCTGTTTTACAATACTGCACTCTCAGCTCAACTACCATAATTAGCCGGTCTCTCCCTTTAAAAACTGACCTGATACCATTGAAACATCTCTGCCAAATTATCTGCTTCTGTTAACCAGCATTAGGCACATGAAGTCCAGTGCCGAAATCACTAAAACTAAGATATTGGATGATTTTGCATTTTGTTGCGATATTTTTTCTTAAGTTTACCCAAAGTTTACCTATCCTTTTCAGCTGATCTATTTTTTTCAGAATCTTTGGTAAAAGAATCAATGGCCGAATTTCAAGAATTTGAGCGGCGGTTTAAATTTAAGCCGTGGCTTAAATATGGTAGGTTCCACTTAAATTTGTATCAAATGTTTCAAGATTTAAGCTGGCACTTAATTTAAACCCGGTTTTGGTAGATTTAAACCACGGCTCAAATTCTTTAAATTCCATCTCAAGAAGATTTTCAAGATTTCTTTTTAATATTGCCATTGCTTTAACCTGACAAGAGTCTTTATATTCATCAATGTTTCCACGAAGTATCGCTTCTCTGTATGCAGCCCGATCCGGAATAGATGGAATCAATTTCAAATCATTATTGAATTGTAAACACTGGTTTAGATCAGATTTCAACAACTCCCACTATGTTGTGTCTGAGGAGAGCTGAAAAGTATTTCCAAACTGCAGAACAGCTGCCAACAAAATAAAGGTTGTTGTTATTCTTTGCTGGCCATCAACAATCAGAATTTCAAGAATTCCATTTCTTTCTGTTTTCTACTATAGGAGAATTATAACTTAAAAAAAGAATAAGATAGTAGATACGTGTTTCATAATAAAAAAGGCTCAAAATCTTCAAAAAGAAGAAAGATATGATCTTAATCGATCTTTTCAAATCGGCAAATATTTTTAAATTTAACTAACATGCACTTTTGAATCATTAATCATTTTCTATCGTCTCTCAGAAAAACGTGAATCAATCAAAAAATCCAGAGGTGGCTCAAATTTCATTTGATTGAAATGTCAGTTTCTAGATAAACGAAATTAATTGAAATTGTTGCATTAAAACAGCTTTTTTACAAAGGAAAGGAATGAAAGGAAGAAATAAAACTTTGAGTTTGAGAATTAGTGGGATTAAATGAAAAACAATTAATCAAATCATTGTGCACAAGTAGACCTTGGTCAACTTCCTTCTTCACTTTATCATCAACATTTTCCGAACCTTCATGTTTATTCTCTACAATAAAAGATAAGGATGATTTTAAATTCTTTTGTCGTTAATTTTTATCTTTTATTCTGTTATCTCTCCAAAAAATAGATTACTGAATGAATTCCTCTTTCTCAAAATGAATGATGATGATATTGCAAACGCAAATAATCCATTTAAACTAAAATTAACGAAAACTTGAAATTTCAAAGGTTAACACCATCAGGTTGCAAAGAAAGAGGGATTTTAAATTCGAGTTTGCGGCAAATTCTCTGTTCCTTTGTTGATTAAACCAAACTTTCCTTCCTCTATAAACACCAAATAAAATTAAGATAAACTAGAATAAAACCAAGTTTCGTTTTTAAATTTGTTTTCTCATATTTATAATCTTAAAAGTAATAACTTTTATATTGTATATTCTGAGCAGGGAACTCTTGTATTGTGGATATCGAGATTAATGCCTATTCTTGATTTTTTTAATCTGCAGATTAATTTAATCTGTATTCGATATCCCACCGTGTAAAACCTGAAGGAATAACTAAAATGAAGGGATTAATAAACATTGATCCTCAGCAAATTAAAAGTTTCTGCAGCATAGGTTTTGAGATCAAGCTATACGGAACACAAAAGTTCCCAGCTCAGGTTTCTCTTCTCCTGACAGTTTAAATCCTATGAATCTCCTTATCCTTGGTGTTGTCTGATACTCCAACCATGATATCCTCAATCCTCAATATACAAAATACCATCTCTACATCACTGTGATCTAATCACGCAAAAATACGTCAAAATTTTGTCCTTTACTTCCTTAATCTGAAACTAGAAACAAGTTTATAGTAATTTTTAAATGTACATGTCTAGAGCTACACAAATTTATGAATAAATTAGTTAGTTAAACCTAAACACAAGGTGTTGCGTTGCTACAGTTCAAATTTTACCCAGTCTCGAAAATTGATGCACAATTTTTAAGCTGCCTGGACCTCTTCGTACACTGTTAGAAATCATATATTGTTTTGTTCGACGGTAAAACCTATCAAAATTATTTTTAGAATTTAAAGTAAAAAATGTCAGTCCCCTCTTAGTGCACCGATAAGGTATGGATGTCCATCGCGTTTTACAGCCCGTTTTAAACATTCAAAACTTTAACACTTTTTTATGGGCTTCACAATAAGATGATATGCTAATCCTAATTCAAAAGGACATGCTAGGGCCTAGGCATGTTTGTTTTTAATACACAAAGCAAAATTTTTACTCTGGTATTAACCAAAACTATTTTTCAATAATTCGGTGAAGTCGTTTTTCGTTTTTCAATTGGGAAAATCGTTTTTCTTAATCTCTTTAATCAGAGTAAAAATTCTTATGATGTCTAAAAACTTTGAAAGTTTAAAAACGGGCTTTAAAACGATGAACATTTCAGACCTATAGGCCTTATCCTTTAGATCATTTGTCTGTGAGCGTGAAACTCCAACCAACCCACACTGAACTAAACAGAAGGAGAAGGTCAAATCCACACTGAACTAGACAGAAGGAGAAGGTCAAATCCACACTGAACTAGACATAAGGAGAAGGTCAAATCCACACTGAACTAGACATAAGGAGACAGAAGGAGAAGGTCAAATCCACACACTGAACTAGACAGAAGGAGAAGGTCAAATCCACACACTGAACTAGACAGAAGGAGAAGGTCAAATCCACACTGTACTAGACAGAGGGAGAAGGTCAAATCCACACTGAACTAGACAGAAGGAGAAGGTCAAATCCACGCTGAACTAGACATAAGGAGAAGGTCAAATCCACACTGAACTAGACATAAGGAGAAGGTCAAATCCACACTGAACTAGACATAAGGAGAAGGTCAAATCCACACTGAACTAGACAGAGGGAGAAGGTCAAATAAATGCGACATAACTGCAGGACCTAGAAACTTCTCTAATTATGGCTCGACACCAAAAAACTTTATTAGCATTTCTTAAAACACTGATAGGATTCTAAAAGACTTTTCAGAATGACTAAACGGTTGGTTTTCGACTCAGGGCAATCTATATATTCTTAGGATTGATAAAAAACTAAAACATTTTTCCTAATAGTGTTATAACGTTAAAACATTGATATTTACAGAAAAATTTCAAAATAAAGTTTATATTTTTTATTTTCAATTCTCCTTTTATTCCCTTCAATCCTTTTCAATTCTTATCTTAGAACCTTTGTCTCATTCCAGCAATAGGAGCGTTGAAATAAAGGAATAATTAATTTTTCATTCAAACTCAATATCTATGCAATAAAGTGAATGTAAAAGTGTTGAATTTGAATCCAAAAAAACTTTTGTATCAGACTCATGAAAGATGTATCTGTTATATAGCAAAGGGAAAGGAAAAGATAGCATCTAAAAAGTTTTATTAAACATGCAGTATCGTGAAGGGAAACAAGGACATATTTTTTTACTTTTTCAGATATAGGAAAGATAATATGAAAACATTATAATTATCTATTGGTATGGCTTAATAATTATTTTGCTACTATACCTCTCTAAATGAAGATCTCCGGATCACTTGTTGACCCCCCGGCCGATGCTTTGCTGGCAAAGGATGCTTTGCCATTACTTTTAAAGGCAAAATTCACGTATGTATATTAGGTACCCTAGGCAGATCACATATGTATATTAGGTACCCTAGGCAGATCACATATGTATATTAGGTACCATAGGCAGATTACATATGTATATTAGGTACCCTAGGCAGATTACATATGTATATTAGGTACCCTAGGCAGATCACATATGTATATAAGTTACCCTAGGCAGATCACATATGTATATAAGGTACTCTAGGCAGATTACCTATCAGTATGCAAATGTAAAGAAAACTGGTAAAAGTTCGAACAAAATGCCTTTATCATGCAAACATGATAATTCCTAGCCGCAGCGCACGGCCCCAATTGCAGCCCGCGGCGCCTCAGAGGGCAACCTTACCTTTGGAAAGTTGCCGCTTGGGAAATTGCACGTTTTTTGGGGAAGGTGCCATTTGGAAACTTGTCACTTGGGAAGTCGTCCTTGGGAAAATGACTTTGGGAAAGTACCTAACACCTTATTGATGGTGTTAGAAAGAAAATAGTTTTACTAAACAAGTATTAAATCAAAAATTTTGTGAAATGGGTCGATGTTTACATTTCGCAATAGCTGTGTACCATGCTTATTGGACTATTAAAGTCAAATATTAAGTGTGAAAATCATCTTTTCATTCCAGAGTTTTCAGATTATCACTAAACAACACATTTCAAAACAGTAGACCACAAACTCTTATCAAAGATATGTCATTATCGTCTGAGGATTGAGGAATAAGGAGACTGTCACTGAGCAATCTACGTAATCTACGTAATCTACGTAACCTACGTCATGATCCAACATAGTCCGGACTTAACGTGATGATTCACACTATTGGTGTAGGAATCCCAGTCCACTAAAGAAATGTGAATCACGATGATGCGGATAATCGCCTAGGACCTGTGCCTTTGTAACCTTACCCCTTACCCATTCAAGGACCTATGTCATGTTCCTCTCCAGGGACATATTCAGAAACTTGTCCGGGGGGGGGGGGCTTAAACTNATCCACAGATTTCACTGGTCTAGGGGGGCTGAGCCCCCCATAGCCCCCCCCCCTGTAGAACTGATAATTCAAACTGTGAAATCTGTTATTTCAAAAAATTTAAGTTTGATATATCAAAGGTTTACACCACCAGGCTGCAAAGATATAGGGAATAGAAAATATAAGTTTGTGCCAAAAACTCAATTCCTTTAAACGATTTTGAATTTTGTTTTGCTACATATATGAAATATAATTTTGTAAAAGAATTAAATATAAAAACAATTAAAGTTTCTTCACAAATTCAAATTTATTGTGTTTTCGAAGTTTTCCTACTCTGCATCCCTTGGAGAGGGTACCCTGAAAGTCTCAGCCTGATCCCTTGAAAACTCAAGGCGGGACAAGGAATATTGAGCAAATACTCTGTGGTGGCCCTGGAGGACCGATGTGGAGAAGGTTTCGTCATTCGTGTGAACATTTCGTTCCCTTCTTTTCTACATATTTTGCTTCACTTCCTCTCTTCCTGAAGGCTGCCCACCCCCCTTCCCTCTTTCTACAGCCTTTGCTTTTTTCATACACAAAAAGTATATGAAAACGTCATTTTTTGCGTTCTTTATAATTTTGCTTTTAAGTCTGAAATGATTTATAGTGTGTTGACAGAAAAATGTCTACTTGCTGTTGCTGTTTTCCTCTTGATGTTGGTGTCTGGACAATTGCTAATCTTGAGGTGAGGCACACCAAGATAAAGCTAAAGTGAAGCGCACGCACGATTAAGATATTATAATTTTTCAATCCTTACTCCTTGTATTAAAGAGCTACTGAGAAGAACTTAAACTTTTTAAATTTCTAATATGCAACCGGATAAATTTTTTTACGTCCGACTTGTGCAATAAAAAAACTAAAGGATCTACGAGGTCACGAAGTCCTACCAGTAAGGTCGCATAATTTTGACCTTCTCTTTCTGTCTAGTTCCCATTGAGTTGCAAAGAAAAAATAATAATTTTAACAAAATTCCAGATACTATACATGCATATGATTATATGAAAACTTTCCGGCAAAAAACATTCCGTCAAATGAATTGGGAACTGAATAATGTTGTCCACCAATCCAGAAATTTACATGTCCAAATATTCTAATTGAAAAACATCCAAATGAAATTTATTTGTATTTGTAACATTCCATTTCTACATCATTCAAAAATACAATTTCAAATCAAAGTGATTCGGGGAAAAATATCAAAGGTCCGAAAATTAACATCCAAATGACCGCTTAAAGGCCCTCGATTACTCGTTGTAAAAGAAAAAAACAATTGTTGTTATAAATAATTATGTCTTTCAAATTTTCTACAGTTTGAATTTCCCAATCATTTTTGACTCGAGGATCCAAAAAAGTTGTAAAATAATCTTCGCTCATATAAATTTATTTATATGTTAGCTATAAAGCCTATAATAGCTGGCCATACAGCTTTTTTGAGGAAACCCATGGGTTCCCTGGGGGTAACATAGGCTCAAAAATAGTAGATTTTTATAAACTCGATTTTTTTCTCCAAAAATTATTTTTTTTTAATTCTACGGGCAACGCCGGGCACATCAGCTTGTAACAAATATTACAACAAGATGTAGTGTTATTTAAAAAATAATCACTTTCACAAAGCAGGAAGAGATTTTGGTAAAAATATACTTTATTTTTTAGTTAATTGGTCATGTTGTGATCCTCGGCACCACCTTCTGGACTTTTGGACAACAGGTCGGTTTCAATTGTTTAAATTGAACCTCAATTCACATTAAAAGGAACTGAGGTTGCAAAGATATAAGGATTAGAAAAGTTGAATTTTTGGCAATACATAATTCATTTACATAAAAAGAGCTGAGATTTTGTAAAAATTGAAGTTGAGAACTTTCGATAACATAAGTTATTTGAGCCAACAGAACTCAAAGTGTGAAATGTCTACGGTCTAGGGGTACAACGATATAGGGATTTGAAAATCAGAGTTTGTGGCAATTAATTTCTTTACATATAAAGGGATTTAAACAAAAAATGAGTTCAGGGCGAAATTTAAAGAAGTAAGAGTAAGATAAATTTAAAAGTTTAATTCCAAAATACTTGTCCACACTTTTCTAGCTTTTAATTCTTTTATTTTACTTTATTACCCTTCATGTTCCATTAGCATAAGTTCGATGTGTACTTTTAAATTTAGTTCTGGAATGGGAGTGAGGTTTTTTATGGTAGTTGGAACTACGGTTGAAATTTCAATTATTGTGCCATTTACAAAGGAAAATGTACGTTTTTATTTTAAAATAAATATTTTACAAACAGTACTGAATTATCATCTCTGGTCCATTCAAGGTTATAATGCAAGGAAAGTTAATTGCAGTTGCGTATACTCTGCGTACATATTGAAACCAGTTCTCTCTGGACGGAATTTGTAAACAAGAATAGATGCATCAGCGTCCTATATTAGAATATTTCACTGATTTTTTATTTGAAAGATGGATCCCATGTAAGGCTTCGAGATCCGTCTTGTGTTTACATTACCGCCCAGAGACGTACACTGCAGTACAAAAGATGCGTACACCTTTGAAATAACTTTCCTTGCATTATAACCTTGGGTCCAACTATCTCCGTGTACTGCATACTCCTATAAACAATTTTTCAACTTGCAGTTGCAAATATAATATATAAAATAAAGACAACGAACAGATTCTTTCAAAAATAAATATTTCAGGCCGTGATAACGGGTGAAAATTTAGGATTATTAATCCTGCAGTTGGTCATTTGGATCTCAGGAGCACTTTGTGTACTCCTACTCATTGCTGGTCTTCAGTAAGTACATCATTCAGATATAAGGAGTACTTTTTGTGTACCTCTGCATATCTGTGCATGTTCAATGCACAAACATCATCTAGTTCTCAAAAGTACTTGTTGTATTTCTTCTCATCTTTAGTCCTATACATTAACCATTTAGCTCCCAAAAGGACTTTGGTCTCATCTTTTGATCTGTGTATGCACTTTGCACATCATCTAATCTATGTATTGTATAGAACTGAGACTGCTGGGTATATAATACCATCTCTAATCTATGTATTGTATAGAACTGAGACTGCTGGGTATATGGTACCATCTCTAATCTATGTATTTTATAGAACTGAGACTGCTGGGTATATGGTACCATCTCTAATCTATGTATTGTATAGAACTAAGACTGAGACTGCTGGGTATATGGTACCATCTCTAATCTATGTATTGTATAGAACTGAGACTGAGACTGCTGGGTATATGATACCATCTCTAATCTATGTATTGTATAGAACTGAGACGGCTGGATATATGCTACCATCTCTAATCTATGTATATTGTATAGAACTGAGACTGCTGGGTATATGGTACCATCTCTATTCTATGTATATTTTATAGAACTGAGACTGCTGGGTATATGATATTATTTCTAATCTATGTATTGTGTAGAACTGAGACTGCTGGGTATATGGTACCTTCTCTAATCTATGTATTGTATAGAACTGAGACTGCTGGGTATATGGTACCATCTCTAATCTATGTATTGTATAGAACTGAGACTGCTGGGTATATGCTACCATCTCTAATCTATATATTGTATAGAACTGAGACTGCTGTGTATATGGTACCATCTCTAATCTATGCATTGTATAGAACTGAGACTGCTGGGTATATGATACCATCTCTGATCTATTTTTATTTTATAGAACTAAGACTGCTAGGTATATGGTACCATCTCTAATCTGGGGAATAATTGGTATTCTACTCAATGCTGCTTCTATGATTTGGCAGGTATATTGATAAAAATTTAAATCGTTTTTCACGGCGTTAAATCGTGTCATAAGTGACTTTACTGAAATAAAAATTATTAAGTTCTAAATAATATTTGGTTTACTTTATCTTAAACTATAAGTTAAGTTAACCTCATATTAAATCCTGTGTGTAGATTGTGAATGTAGTAGACTCAGTGGATTCAGGACTTATTATTGGTAGCATCGTTGCAGGTAAAATATAGCAGATTTTCTTTAAATTAAATAAAAATTATTCATTTTTCAATATTTCAGTATATCTGATCGGTTTTCTGATTAGTCTGTACTTTCTCTTTGTAAAGTACAGAAGATACGTTGAGGTGAATTTTTTCAGTTTTACTATTTTTTATCTAAATAGCTCTTCAATAAAAGGAATTTTTATTGTAAACATATCAGATTTCAATCTGACGTGCAAATCACTTTTTAGTTAATTGCCAGTCGCCATTTTTATTTATAGGGTGTCCAACGAAACATGACAGTTGAGAAATAGTCTAGAATGTCGTCTTCCAAATACTAAAATAAATTTAAAGACTTTTTGCAGTTTAGTTCGGTAGCAAAATCTATTGCTCCAATATATCTTAATCTGGGATCGATGTTACCATAATAAAACTGCCTTATAATGTTTATTATAATTTTCTTTGGCAAACAACTTGAAAAATTATGGAAGAAGACATTTTAAAATATTCAGCAACTGTCATGTGTAGTGGGACACCCTGTATAACATTTAATCCGTATCAGTGGAATTATTTCATCAAAAATGACAAACCCTTTTTGCACTAGGAAAAAATTATTCAGGATAAATTATTAGTAACATTAAAAAACACTATCAAAACACGTTAATACGGGAATCAAAAGAACCGCTGAGTAACGTCAATTGTCCGTTTTTCGATATTTCAAAAACTTTTATATTAAAAACTGAAAACTATTTTTTTGATACTTGGAAAAATACATCATAAATCTGAATGAATTTTCTAGCATTATTTCAGCACTTTTGTTTTTTACCCCCTAAATCCGTCATTTGGCCCTTTTTTTCCTGCTCTAACTTGTTTTAATCATGATTTAATCATATATTTTATTTAGTTAAAGGAAGAGAATGAAATCCGACCAATGGCCTAGAGATTTAAAAGTTATTGAAGTAAAAATTCATATTTCAACTATATTCTATTATATATATTTCGGAATCTAACCATTTTTATAATTTTTTCCTTTAGTTTGTTTGAAATATCTTAAAAAGTATGTCTGATAATTTTGAATTTATGCTGTGCTAAATTTAAGAATAAAGTCTGGACATCGTGTTTGAAGGTCCGAACTTGCGCGTATTGCATCTACTTTTGATCTACACTCAAATTTTCTTCTCATAGCTGAAAACTGTGTGAATTTGTGCATGCGCAGACGCGCAGTGTTTTCAAACTTTGAAAAATATTCTGGACACCGTGTTTGAAGGCCCGAACTTGCGCGTGGCTATGAACAAAGAATCTGCGCGTAGAGAGAAGTATAGAGTTTATAATATAAAAACTTACACTCTAATTTTCTTCTCGTAGCTGAAATCTGTGTGAATTTGTGCATGCGCAAACGTGCAATGGATTCAACAATAAAAAAATAATCTGGACATCATGTTTGAACTGCCGAACTTGCGTATTGCATCTACTTTTAATCTAAACTCAAATTTTCTACCCATAATTGAAAACTGTGTGAATTTGTTCATGCGCAGACGCGCAGTGTTTTCAAGCTTTGAAAAATATTCTGGACACCGTGTTTGAAGGCCCGAACTTGCGCGTGTCTACGTTTAATCACGAAACCTTACATGTCACGCTTCGAGTTCTTTAAATTCTTGTATCACTGAAACAAGGTGCATTTGCGCGTATTTGTATCTATTCTAAATATATACACATATGCTTGCCTTTTCTTATACACTTCAAATATCAATTTGCTATGAATTATATTCATTTTATTTATTTTCAATTTTTTTTAACTATTTTATTTATTTATGATAAATGTAGAGTAATTACATTATTTAACGCTCATAATTTGATTCGATTGAAAATTGTTATGTTTGGCATTTATGATGAATATCAATCATATATCAAGCATTTAAAAATTTTAATTTTATTTTTATCTCTATTTAAATATAATCATTATTAACCACACACAAAGGAGCTGAAAACTCTAAATGTAAAGCCCCTACATCTTTGAAATCTGATGGAATAAACCTTAGCTGTTTAAAATGAGGAATTCTCCAAAATATTTACTGTTTCTAAAGATTCATCAAATTAGAGTCTTAGGCGAGTTTTCAGTTTCTTAATTTTAGAACTAAATGTATTTTTAGTTTAGTTTAGTCCTTGGTGCAGTACACACGATGAATTGCTAGACCGGTATCCGAGTACAGTATTGCAGTGTACACTAATTCTCAAGTTTGTTTTCTTCCTAGAACTAGAATTTTTCTCCACGAGATTTCTTTTTTGTAATAAAGTGTTGAGGTTTGGGCGTTAAAATGCCACCAAAGTTAAGAAAAGATAATTTTGATAATCCTCCCGAATCCCTGGCTGACGTTGTGAATCTTCTTGCCGGGATTAAATCCTCAATCGACACTTTGGACAGCAATTTTGAGACTCTGAATTTAAAATTGGAGAAATTAAATGAGAGAGTTGAACGCCAGGAAAGTTCTTATTCTGAGATTAAATCTGAAATCAACTATCTTGAACAAAGAGGTCGCAATAATTCTCTCCGATTATTTGGTCTCAAGATTGACGAAACTACCGCTAAATGTGCGATGAAAACCTCTAAGTTCGTTTACAAGAATATTCTTCATCCGATCCTGTGTAAAGCTGTGGAGGAGAAGGATATTTCCCAGATTCCTGATGCTTTATCCTTGATTGAATATTGTTATGTTCTTCCTGCTCCTAAGAACCATCCCAGTTCAACTCCAATTATAGTCAGACTTCATTCCCGTCTTATCCGTCTACTGATCTTTCGGTACAAGAGAGATTTTTTCTCTAGTAACAAAGATCTCAAGGGTTGTTTCATAACTGAAGATCTCACCAGTCAAACCTGCTGTCAGCTGAATGAACTAAAAGCCAAAGAGAACACCCTGAAAGCTTGGACCTTGAACGGACGAATCAAGTTTACAACCAAGGATTCACCTGATCAAGTAAAGAACTACTAAAAAAAAACAGTAAACAAGATCTTCCTAACCTAATCATCTTAATATCATCAGAATTTTTTTGTTCTATCCATCATGTTGCTGCTTCAGGGCCTGTTTGGTGACCAGTTGGATGACTTGTTTGTTGACCTGTTTGGTGGCCTGTTTGGTGGTCTGTATGGTGATGTGACCTATTTGGTGATCTGTTTGGTGAACTACTCCTTGATCTGTTTCGTGACCTGGTTTCAATCTCTTGGATCTAACTCTTGGATCCATCTCTGAGCAAAGCTTATGGCAGTCCTGCTCCAAGGTCTGCTTTGATCAGCAGGTTCTGTGTTTTTAATATCATCCTTCATATAGTTCAACTCCTTGGATCTTTTTCTTGGATCTATTTCCGAGTAAAGCTTATTGCAGTCCTACTCTAAGGTCTGCTTTGATCAGCAGGTTCTGTGTTTGTTTTTTTCTCCTGGTTTCCTTTTTTCTTTTTTAATTTCATCCCTTATATATTCATTTAGTCTGTATTTAATCCATTATAATCATCTATTTTACATCCTTCATATATTTATTTAGAATGTATTTAATCCATTACCATCTTTTATTTTACATGATTTCTATAGTTAATGTTTTGGTTGACTCATCTTAACTGTTATTCAACCTCATCATCCTATATGTCACTTGGAGTGTATTTTGTAATACTGTACTCATACTGTACTCATTTCTGCCTAAATCTTTTACTCTAGAATGTGCTTGTTGGAATTTTCATTGCTGCTGCTGGATGGAGGTTTTTGTAGCTGGAGCTTCTGTTATTCTTATTTATCATGGAGCTTCCTGATAGTGACGAGGTCGGTACCCTTAACTCTAATATGGAGCTTGATTTTATTCATGCTATGAATTCTTTAAATGAATCCCGTTCAAACTTTGATTTACCCTTTCATGATCCCTACATTGATTCTGACCTAAACTGTCTATTTTATGACGAATTAAATTTTCTTAATAAGTTCAATTCTTATAGAGATTCAATTATATTGAATGCAAATATTCAAAGTCTACAAAGCAAATATAACAAACTTAGAGATTTTGTTGTTTCTCTTGGCACTAATGATATTCCCGTTGAGATTATATCCTTGCAAGAAATTTGGTCTGTTCATGATGTTGATCTTTATGATCTGCCTGGTTTTCAAAAATTGATTTTCAAAGTAAGAGACAAAAGTAGAGGTGGGGGGTGTGGGTTTTTATGTAAAATCTGGACTTAACTACTATATCAATAATGATTTTTCAGCTTTTCATGAGAGAATCTTTGAATCTATTTGTATTGATGTTGAGTTTAAAGCTGGCAAAAAAAATCGTTTTGTTAATATTTACAGACCTCCAGGGAACCATCCCTTCCTCAGTCAATCTGATCAATCAGCTGCTTTTTTATTGAATTTACCTCTTTATTATCTAGACTTTCCTTGGACGCTACTGAAACTTATATTCTCATGGATAGTAATATTAATTTATTAAATATTTCTGGAAATCCAGCTAGTTTAAATCTTCTTGAATCATGTTTAAGTAATGGGTTTCTTAATATTGTGACTAAAGCTACAAGAACATCTCAAAACAGGTTTTCTTTGATTGATCAAATATTTACTAATTCAAATGGCTCAAAATATATGTCTGGTGTAATTTTGAATGATATCTCTGACCATTTCTTCACCTTTTCCTCATTTAATTCTTCTAAAAGTATCCAGAAGCCAAAGTTAAAGACGTCTTGGAAATTTAATGATCAGAATATTGCTATGTTTAAAAATAACTTAAACAATTTTAGCTGGGATCATTTGTTTGAAATAGACGATGCTGAAATGGCCTTTGACAGTTTCTGGGATTCTTTTATTGCCCTGTTTAATTTACACTTTCCTATTTGTCGTGTGGTTTTTAATAGAAATTTCCATAAAATTCAAGGATTTATGACAAAGGGTCTCTTAACCTCTCGTAGAAATAAACTCAGATTGCTTACTGTTTCTGTTTCGTGCCCTTCTGCTGAAAATAAGAATATTTACAAGAAATATAGAAACATGTACAATAATTTGGCTAGAATAAGTAAAAAGGCATATTTTGAAACAAATCTAAATGATCATAAGAATAACCCTAAAAAGGTTTGGAAATCCGATAATTTTGATAAAATAACCTTGACTGATGAAGTAGTAACTGACTCGCCTAAGATAGCAAATGCTTTTAACTCTTATTTCTCTGAAATTCCTACTAAAATTAGTGAAAGTATTCCGGAAACTTGTGTTTTAGCCTCCAGTTATCTTTCAGACTCTGAAAAGTCTTTTGAAATTGGTGAATGTGATATTTTAATCATTGAAGAGTTAATAAACAGTTTAGAATCTAAAGATACTCAAGATATTTATAATCTAAGCTCTTCATTTCTGAAAAATATATCTAAATGTCCAGCTAAACCATTGGCATTCATATTTAATCTATCATTTAAAACTGGTGTTTTTCCCTCTAAATTAAAAGTATCTCGAACAGTACCTGTTTATAAGGCTGGGAACAGGTAATCCCTCTTAATAGTGTGGTGTAAGCTTCAAGAGATGAAAAATATAGATGGAAATGTTTCTAAAACATTATCTATATTTTCATAGGATTTATACATGTTGTATTATAATTTATGATATCAAATATATATTTACACTGAAGGCAGTATAGATTAAAGCTTTTTTTAATGAAACATTTTTAGTTAAGGGCAATTTGAGAAACCACAAATAAAAATATTCAGTTTTCAAAATGAGAAACATGGATGTTTATGCAATACTTGATCAGACAAAGCTTTGAAGGGTATTCTTGTGAATCAGAATATATTTTAATTCTTTTCTTAATCTTTTAGTTTGGATGAGTGCAATGCAATGCAATGTAGCATGTATATTACTTGAGGAAGGGAAATGCAAGCAGATGTAATATTAAAAGACACCCCATGAGTGCCCCCCTCAGGGGTTTGAGGCACGCGTAGGGGGGGGGGGCGAGGGGCTCGACCCCCCCTCATACACCCCTGATGAAAATAGAAGGATAAAATAATTGAATATTTTATCACACAGAATGAAAGCAAAGAGTAAATTTGGGGAGAAGAAAGACAAAAAAAGATATGAAGAGATAATCTTTCTTCTCTCTTTTTCTTTCATCCTTCCATTCTATTTCTTGTCTCCTCGATTCTACTTTCTCTTCTCAATATTTACATTCTTTTTTTTCCCCTCTTCTATTTTTTCCTTCTTTTATTTTCTTTCTTCATTCTTATACTTAATATACACTGTACTTTCTACTTTTGATTATTTAGTTTTTAAGATTATAGATTTGTTACGAAATTTTATGCTATGTGAACAAACAAAATTAATTTTAAAGAAAAGACCTTAAATTATATGGTGGATTTTGTCATTTTTCTGGCTTAAGAAAACGAAGTGTTCAATTCTGACACGATAATCACTATTGTTTTGTTATTTGACTGTCACTTTAACGGAGAAAACACATAGTTGAAAAAAGCGTGAAAATAAAGAGATAAATCATGAATATCTCATTTGTTCTTGATAAGATAAAGGTTTGAAAGGTAGGGTTGTGAATCGGACTTGCCACTATATATGTATGGTTAACTTGAAATTATGTTATTGTGAAAAAGGCAAAGTAACAAATATCAAAAATAGAATCATAAAAAGGAAAAAAAATGTGAAATAAGAAAAAGAAAAATGAGATATATGAGAGTTTAAACAAGAAAAATAAATAGAATATCAAATAGAAAAATACATTAGAAAAATACATTGAAATATAGCAGAACAAGAAAAAGAAAACAGAAAGAGCTGCAAATTAATGAAGAATAAAGAAATTAAAACTAACAGAAGACTAAATGATCGTATTATCAAAGCTTTATAAAATAAGAAATTAGAGGTAAACAAAAAAGAAGATATAAAAAGAATCGAGTAAAATAGAAGATAAAAGATACTAGATGGACAAGAATACATGAGAAAAAGAAAATATAATTGCGTAAAATGTGACAACATTATATGACAAATACGCGCAGATTCTTGAGTTTGAAACATCTCGAGATTTCGAGGGGTATGGGCCACTGAATGCGGCATGCGTAATAACGTCTGTTCAGTGTGTGTAATAATACGCGCAGTTTCGTAGGTCTGAAGATGATCTGACAATTTTTTTTCCAATGCTGAAACTGTGCGCGTTTGTGCGTGCGCAAAAACACACAATTTTAGTTCAATAGAGAAAATTGGAGTTTTAAAATAAAATAGATTTTTTATTAATACGCGCAAACTCACACTGTTTTTGAATAATAGAAAGAATTTTTCAATTTTATATAGCGCAATTTCGTACATCTAAAGATGGTCGGCCAACTTATTTTTACAAGGCTAAAACTGTGCGCGTTTGTGCGTGCGCAAAAACACACAATTTTAGTTCAATAGAGAAAATTGGAGTTTTAACATGAAATATTTTTTTATTAATACGCGCAATCTCACGCTGTTTTTGAATAATAGACACAAATTTTCAATTTTATATAGCGCAGTTTCGTACATCTAAAGATGGTCGGCCAATTTATTTTTACGAGGCTAAAACTGTGCGCGTTTTTTTGCGTGCGCAAAAACACACAATTTTAGTTCAATAGAGAAAATTAGAGTTTTAAAATGAAATATATTTATATTAATACGCGCAAACTCACGCTGTTTTTGAATAATCGAAAGAAATTTTCAATTTTATATAGCGCAGTTTCGTATATCTAAAGATGGTCGGCCAACTTATTTTTACAAGGCTAAAACTGTGCGCGTTTGTGCGTGAGCAAAACACACAATTTTAGTTCAATAGAAAAAATTGGAGTTTTTAAATGAAATATATTTATATAAATACGCGCAAACTCACACTGTTTTTAACAAATAGAAAGAATTTTTCAATTTTATATAGCGCAGTTTCGTATATCTAAAGATGGTCGGCCAACTTATTTTGCAATGCTGAAACTGTGCGCGTTTGTGCGTGCGCAAAAACACACAATTTAGTTCAATAGAGAAAATTGGAGTTTTAAATGAAATATTTTTTTTATTAATACGCGCAATCTCACACTGTTTTTGAATAATCGAAAGAATTTTTCAATTTTATATAGCGCAGTTTCGTACATCTAAAGATGGTCGGCCAACTTATTTTTACAAGGCTAAAACTGTGCGCGTTTGTGCATGCGCAAATACACACAATTTCAGTTCAATAGAGAAAATCGAAAGTTAAAAATGAAATATATTCATATATTTCATTTTTAGAAAAATTTTATATATATATATATGGAATATCTTATATAGCACAGTTCATGCAAATAAAGAAAATATGCAGTATGTTCACGAAAATAGATGACATGTTTTAGTTCTTATAAAAGGAATATAAAAGGAAAATTATACCTATGTACTGACACACTTGCGATTGCGAAGTAAAGATATATAAAATCAGTATTCAAACATTAACAGATGCTTAGTCTTGTAAAGAGACGTAAGACAGTTAACCTAGCTATGCAAGCTATGTTACTATACTTATATAACTAACTTAAGATAGATCTCCGCGCACACCTCAACTAGATGACCCCAATTTTTTTTTGAGGCAAGAAACACCAATACAGGTTAACATGGGTCAATTTTTTTCAAAAATCGATTTTTTTTCCTTAAAATTTTATTTTTAAAAATTCCACAGGCAACGCCGGGCACTTCAGCTAAAAATGACATATATGTACCATGTACCAAAAAAATGAAAAATTGAAAATTTACAAGTATTCAATCTGAAAAGTAAAAAGACTTGCAAGTTCAAGTTCTTATATAAAGCTGAATAACAGTAGATTTTATTTTTAAAAAAATTGCAAACTTTATCAAATCCTCTTTTCTCCCATTTATCATTAAATCGAAATTCTGTTTTTTTTCTTTGACTGAAAAATTTCTCTTGATCGGAATTTCGATTTTTGACTTGAGGAATTCCTACTGAGGAGTGAAATTGCTCCGCTTTTTCATTCCGATCTGTTCCAATCGTACATGACTTGAATATACGTCGTGTCGAGATGAATCGTGAATTCGTGAATCAACCCTATCTGCTTTATATCTCTAGTGGCTCTGTCAATAGAACCAGCTCAAGAATATAGAGCTTCATCTGATACATTCTGGCCCGTTCTTGAACTAGCTGGTACGGTTACAATCGGAGTAGTATACCAGAAACCAGTGGAGAGAGATCCCTTGGTGATGCTGATAAATCTGATGAGGCATTCTCAGGTATAGTGATTGGGAAGGAGGCTGTGTCTTTCTTTGTTCTCTGGTAGGTATGATAAAGATATATCAGTCCGATCACTGTCTAAAAGTGCAGGTCCTCAGGCCTTATCTGGATAAACGGAGCTTAGCTCTATTGTTTATCCTGTACAAGGTTCCCGGGTGCACGAATCCTATTCTCCAGGTTCTGCACTCCACTCAGATTCAGAGAAAGGGGTGTTAGTATCTGATCATTCCCTAAATACTACACCATGCTTTAAATACTACAACAGATAAACAGATAGACAGGTAATAAGATGAACAGATGACAAGATAAACAGATAATAAGATAAACAGATAATAAGATAAACTGATAATAAGATAAACTGATAATAAGATAAACAGATAATAAGATAAACAGATAATAAGATAAACAGAAAATATAATATACAGATAAACCGATAATAAGAATGAAAGATAAACAAACAATAAGATAAACAAATAATTAGATGAACAGATAAACAGATAATAAGATAAACAGATGATGATATAAATAGATAATAAGATAAACAGAAAATAAGATAAACAGATAATAAGATAAACAAACAATAAGAGAAACAGATAATAATATAAGCAGATAAAAGATAAACAGATGATAAGATAAACGGATAGTAAGTTAAACAGATAATAAGATAAACAGATAATTAGATAAACAGATAATAAGATAAACAGATAATAAGATAAACAGATAATAAGATAAACAGATAATAAGATAAACTGATAATAAGATAAACTGATAATAAGATAAACAGATAATAAGATAAACAGATAATAAGATAAACAGAAAATATAATATACAGATAAACCGATAATAAGAATGAAAGATAAACAAACAATAAGATAAACAAATAATTAGATGAACAGATAAACAGATAATAAGATAAACAGATGATGATATAAATAGATAATAAGATAAACAGAAAATAAGATAAACAGATAATAAGATAAACAAACAATAAGAGAAACAGATAATAATATAAGCAGATAAAAGATAAACAGATGATAAGATAAACGGATAGTAAGTTAAACAGATAATAAGATAAACAGATAATTAGATAAACAGATAATAAGATAAACAGATAATAAGATAAACAGATAATAAGATAAACAGATAAAAAGATAAACAGATAATAAGATAAACAGATAATAAGATAAACAGATAATAAGATAAACAGATAATAAGATAAACAGATAATAAGATAAACAGATAATAAGAAAAACAGATAATAAGAAAAACAGATAATAAGATAAGCAGATAATAAGATAAACAGATAAAAAGATAAACAGATAATTAGAATTACAGAATAATAAGATGAAGAGAAAACAACACCACCATATATTTAAAAATAGAAAAACAGGACAAACAGAAAAACAAAAAAATGGACAATTTCATAAAAAGAAAAAAAATTATTCATTTATGCACAAAATTATACAATTTTAATGTATATTATCAAGATAATTTGTTTTTTAAATAAAATGTAAATTAAATTTTTATTTAAGAAATTATTTTACAAAAGATCTGTAGTAAAAAAGTTCCAACCAGAAAACTACCAAATAATGGATTTTTAAAAATGTCAGAATATGCAGTGAGAACCATAAAACTATATAATAGGAAGACGACTTTTAAATTTATAAAGTCAAATAATCATAAAACTGTATAATAGGAAGACGACTGTTAGATTTATAAAGTCAAATAATCATAACACTGTATAATAGGAAGACGACTGTTAAATTTATGAAGTCAAATTATCTTAAAACTGTATAATAGGAAGACGGCTGTTAAATTTATGAGGTCAAATAATCATGAAACTGTATAATAGGAAGACGACTGTTAATTTTATAAAGTCAAATAATCATAAGAATGTATAATAGGAAGACGACTGTTAAATTTATAAAGTCAAATAACCATTAAACTGTATAATAGGAAGACGACTGTTAAATTTATGAAATCAAATAATCAAAAAACAAAACATTTCACTTAATTTTAAGTTGCTGTTTAAACATTTTGCCTTATAATTCACAAAAATTCCTTAACTGTCGTCTTCATATATCACAGTATAGTATAGTACTACAGGGTGGCCCACAAAAACTCTATGATGAAGGCCTAAAACTTCAGCTCTTTATATAGGCCAAGAAAACTCTATGATGAAGGCCTAAAACTTCAACTCTTTATATAGGCTAAGAAAAACTTTGTATTTGTTCCGCGCGATGTGTTGAAAATGTTCTACAATGGTATTTTTAATGATTTTTCAAAGAAAAAAAAATACTACAGTTGCACAGAACCATTGTGATGAAAGAAATTCTGTACAGTCGTCTCTGAATGCTCATCATTTGTATGGTAACCCTGTAAGTACGTACTTTGTGAAGAGGCAAGGATGAGTTTATACACAAATCCATTTTTAAAATAAAATCCATTATCCCTGGTATAGAAAATGCTATCCCTATCCCTAGCAGAATATATGCTGCTGCCATGTGCTCAAAACTCAATCTCGCCTGGGAAATTTTAACAATTTAAAATTTTTTATTTTTATGAAAAAATATGATGAGATTATTTAATTTTGTTTTGATATGAACCTGAATGATTTATTAATCGATTGAAGACTTAAAAGTCGTCTTTTATCTTAGAAATGGTTTGCGGCATTTATTTGGCAAATTTTCTTGCCAAAAACTCAAAACACCCATATTATTGCCACCTGATGATGGTGAAAACCTTTGATATTACAAACTAAGACTATATTGTCACACAGAATTCATATTTTGAAATATCAAAGTTTTACATTATCGGGTTCCAAAGATATTAAGATAAAAATCTGAGTTTGTAACAAAAACTCAGATCCTTTTAGAAATATTTTACAAAAAGCAATAACCACAAAATAGACATTGTCCTTCAATTCATTAAATTTGATCTATAATTTTTGTTTTGTTTTAAACATTATCAGAGATATTAAGAATCTGGTTAAAATTTCAATTTATTAAATAATAATGTAAAACTTCTAATTCTTATCAAAATCATTCATATCTGCGCAATAAAGGCAGACCACATTTTGGAAATGCCCTGACTCTGGCTTTGAAAAATAAATATATGTTTTCTTACCGTATTTGACTGTGACTCATCGTATTTAGGATCATATTGTAATCTTTCAATCTTCTTATAAAACCCAGCCTAAATATCATATAACTAAATGGCACCTTTCTAAATAAAGCATCAAATTTATTTTAAAGTAAATTGATTGAAAAATTAATTTGTCCCCTGTAAAAGATCTAATTGCAAATATATGCACACTCCAAATTAGCCACAAAATCAAAAATGTTACTATACTGGCTCAAATAGATCCAGACTGCTATAAAAGTTGTATCAATTTTCAATACAGGGTAGACTTTGAAGGTCTCTAACGCCTAACCCTTTGAAACACTTTATAGATTTAGTTTTTAATAAGTAATTGACAAAATTTTCATAGATTTTTGCATAAGTGCTTGCAACCTTAAGATCATTGTATGTTATGAGTTACTTTCTGTTGATACTGACTCAATATAAGAAAAAGAAAATATTTTTCCTATCAGCATCTGTTTAGATCGAGATAAAAGGGATTTAATGTTTAGAGGAACAGTAAGTATAATGCCCGATTCATAACAGCACCTTGAAACCTTAAAGGGAGTGTTCGAGAAAAATGAAAGAGGGTATAGGCTTAATGCGATAAAAAAGCGCTTTTGATCGCTACTAATCTTACTTCTATCTGTTGCGTCTATAAGGAGAAAATTGTTAAAAACGACTCACACCAAAGAACGCAGCGTCCATACAAATTCGGAAAGATGCAACATTCAATTCGCCGAGAAAATGAAAATATATAATTCATAATTATTCATACAGAGCTTTTAAAGGTACCCTTGATAATCGGGCATTCACATCTTTGCATATGAAGGGTCACTTGGAATTACGCTTACTGTCCCTTTAACATTACCTGTTGACAGAGAAGAATGTGATGATTAATATGTTTCATCCACTTCGAGTTCTTTTGTATAATCCATCCATAGTAATAGGGACGTACTTGCTCCTGAAGGAAATAGATTAAGCTGGAAAAACAAAACATTAAAGGAACTGTTTGCGAAAAATGAAAGCGAGGTCAGGCTAAATCCTAAAAAAAATTGGATTCGATAAAAACTAAACACCCCTTTCATATTTTGCGAGCACTCCCCTTAAAATCTTTAGAATAAAAATATGTGTTTACCTTACTAAAATAGAAGACTGGTTTATACTTGGGAAATTTGGGATCACTTTTGATAAAATTCAGGACATTTTCCTACGTAATTTTATTCAAATTATTAATGATGTCCACAAACAAACAAAACTGTTTACCTAAAGGGACTACAAGCATAATTTCAAGTGACCCCCCACGTAAAGATGGCAAGATTAACAACCTTAAAGGGAGTGTTCGCAAAAATTGAAAGGGGGGTATAAGCTTACGGCGAAAAATAAGCGCTTTTGATTGCTACTATTCTTACTTCTAAAGCGCTTATTTTTCGCCGTAAGCCTATACCCCCTTTAATTTTTTCGCGAACACTCCCTTAAAGTATATCAATGCTTAAAATTTTGAAAAAACTGATTATTTTCAATTGTGTGTTCTCTACAAAAATGACTTGCGCATTTCTACTGCAGGAAAACTTATAGGAATTATCCGAATGAAACTTCTTTTGAATCTAGAAAAACGACAATATCTTCTACATTATTGATCAAATAAAGGTTTCAAGGGTACTGTTGTGAATCAGGCATTGCCATGGTTTCATGAAAGGTCACTGGAAAATACAATTACAGTCCCTTTAAGTAAGTTTTAACATAATGTTTCTAGTTAAAGAATCCTGAGCTGGGAATTTTTGCTTAAAACTTGTTGGATGGATATAAAGTTCAGCAGCTGAATTTCTGGATATTAAGTTTAGCAGCTGAATTTCTGGATATTAAGTTCAGCAGCTGAATTTCTGGATATTAAATTCAGCAGCTGACTTTCTGGATATTAGGTTCAGTAGCATGAATTTCTGGATATTAAGTTTAGCAGCTGAATTTCTGGATATTAAGTTCAGCAGCTGAATTTCTGGATATTAAATTCAGCAGCTGACTTTCTGGATATTAGGTTCAGTAGCATAATTTCTGGATATGAAGTTCAGCAGCTGAATTTCTGGATATTAAGTTCAGCAGCTGAATTTCTGGATATCAAGTTCAGCAGCTGAATTTCTGGATATTAAGTTCAGCAGCTGAATTTCTGGATATCAAGTTCAACAGCTTAATTCCTTGATATCAAGTTCAGCCCCTGATTTCCTGGATATTCAGTTTTGCAGATTAATTCCTGGCTATCAAATTCAGCAGCTTAATTCCTGGATATCAATTTCAGTAGCTTAATTCCTGGATATCAAGTTCAGCCACTTAATTCCTGGATATCAAGTTCAGCAGCTTAATTCCTGGATATCAAGTTCAGCAGCTTAATGCCTGAATATCAAGTTCAGCCGCTTAATGGCTGGATATCAAGTTCTGCAGCTTAATTCCTGGATTTCAATTTCAGCAGCTTAATTCCTGGATTTCAAGTTAAGCAGCTTAATTCCTGGATATCAAGTTCAGCAGCTGAATTCCATAGTTCAAGCCTCCCATTGGAAAGTGTATAACCGTATTGTGAGCACTACTGCAAAAATCGCTGCTAAAGTTTTAAAAATTTCTTTATAGCTCGAAAATATTTCTTTTTGAATTTATCATGCTCATGTTTAATATTTTGGTAATTATTTAGAAAGATGAAATCCTTTACAGTTTTTGAAAAATTTCAAAAAATGAAGGAGGCAAAGTCAAAATAAAAAAATAATTTTATTTTCTAAAAAAGGACAATTTTATATGTTTGTCACGACAGTCATTGTGCATGCCATTTTTTTTTTAATTAGTTCCTTCATTTGTGTAAATTAAATAAACCTTGTCACCAAGACAAACATGAGTTTTCTTTTGAGGAGAATCAATACACCTCTCCTCCTAAAAAATAAAGTAAATGATTAGAGGGATTGGAAAAACATTTTTAACAAAATCTTGTATTTTTTCTTTTTTGTTACAATATATCTTTTAAGAGCTTTAAAAGAAAATACTAAATTAGATCAAGAAATATTGACAAAATTGTATGATTTAACATTTCCAAAATATCTATTTCCCATTCTTACTTTTAAAGTTATATAACTGGGAAAAAATATTTTCAACATTTAGTTTTTATATTTTCAAACCCATTGGTATATGCTACCATAGTCAGTCTTTTTTCATCTATTGGTTGATCAGAATTCCGCTGACCCTTTGTATACAATTTAAATTAATAAGTATTTACAACTACTCTACTGGGAATTTAAGGAAATTTTAATTTACCCCGGGGTCCCATACACAATTTTGTCCACAAAACATCTTGAGCGTAGTAAGGGATGTTTTGTAGGCAAAATTGGTCTTATTTATTTCCCTAAAAAATTAGTAAAAATGCGATGAAAACATTGATTTACCAAGTCTGCTTTAAAATCTACATTTTCCATAATTTTAACTTGATATGGATCAGCTGAAGTTAACAGATAGTTGTAATGCCAGACATCTGGCAGAGCTAATGCAACTTGCTAAACAAATATGTGTTTATCAATGCTGTTGTTTTTCTAACTTTGAAATAAAAGAATGCATTTAAATCGTTATCATGGGAATACTTTGCTTGTCAAATTTGTTTAGTTGATGGTTTGTATCCAATAATATTAAAAACTGCTGAACTGATTGAGCCCATAAAGGAATCGATTCTTTGTCACAAACTCTAATTTTCTAATCCCTATATCTTTCTAACACAATGGCGTAGACCTTAGATATTTCAAACTATTCTGTTAGACCAAATATCAGAGGTTCACATCATCAGGTTGCAAAAAAATTAAATTTGGGGCAAAACTCAATTCCTTTGTGACCCCAATGACGGTTTATTTCTGGTCGAAGTACAAAATGTTGGCAGAGTGGGATTCATGTTGTGTTCAATGCCCCGGAAAATTCCAAACAGAGAGAGGGGGATTGCAGGACTGGCAGCTGGTGGGGTCTTAAATGTAAGACATGTGGCCTCAGCGCTCGGCCCCCTAGCCTGTCCTAGCCGCAGCGCTCGGCCCAGAAAGTGTCATAACTTAACCTAACCCGTGGCCGCAGCGCCCGGCCCCTAAGTCTGTCCTAGCCACAGAGCTCGGCCCAGAAAGTGTCTTAACCTAAGCTAACCCTAAATAAATACTAATTTAATTATTTTTTTGGATCTACAAAATTCAATCACCTCTCTCTCTGTTTTGGAATTTCCCGGGGCATTGAACACAACATGAATCCCACTCTCCCCAAAATGTTGTCCGAAAAAATGTCAACATTAATTGGAACAGAAGAATCCGCAAACATTTGAAAACAATTAAAAATGACAAACTCTAGAGTTCAAAACTAAGCGTCCTAAAACTAAAGCTTAGTATTCTTTAACTGTTTAAAAATGAAAAAGCAACATAATTGTCAAAAAATACTTCATATTTCTGAACAATACCGGACTTTGTATCTTAAATTATGTAAGCATGGAACATTTAACATGATCAAATATTTAAGGTAACAAACCATCTGCTTTTGGGCAATTTGATATGAAGTATCAATTGGAACTTCCAAGGTTGGGGACAGAAGAATAGCTCTAAATGGAAAAATTGTGTCAGTAATTTTGTTTCTGTGTTTCTGCCTAAAACTTTTAAACTCGAGTCGAAAAAAACTTTAGATTTGGGAAGACGTTTTAAAAAAAGAGTTTTTTATGTCCAATTCTTTAAAAGGTTTTAAATACCCCTCCTTAAATAAGCCGTTTCCCCCCCCCCTCCCCCTCCCCCGACTCACGCAAAAGTTCGTTAATTAGATCGACCCCCACCCCCACTCTAGATTCACACATCTACACAGTTTGTTTTTAATCTTTGTGAAGAAACAATCTCAAGGAATAATAATTGTCTAAAAACATTTTTTTAGAAAGTGAATATTTGCAAATTATCTTTTTTCCATCTCATAATCTGAGTTCTTTTCCCCTATGTCCATTTGACAGCCCAAATTTTTATTTTGAATAATCTTTTTGTTTGTTTATATTCTTGTGATTTTTTTTATCGATTTTGATGGTTATTATATCTCTAGAACTGACGAGGGTCAACCCAGACCGAAATATATTTTCAATAAATGTGGAACTAACATCTACTTTTTTACTCTACAGAGGTTTGGTCCATCACCATCACCGAATTTGAAGACGTTGTATTTAGACTACTGTGGAATGAAAAAATCTGTATGTGCAAATTTTAATACTGCAGCAAATTCAGCATTTATTTGCTTCCATGAGTAGGAGAAATTACCCATTTTGAGCAGTTTTCTGTGTAAAATTTAAAAGTGCCCACATGTGGGTATCGAGATCAAGCAATCGAGATTATGGGTACAATATGCATGACTGAACTTAAGGATAATTGTATTAGATTTAAATTTTATTTACTCACCTAAGATTGCTTGAAAAAGCAAATGTGACAAGCGTAGAGGCCAATGCATAAGTCAAAAGTAAAATGCTTCCAGAATATACTTAAAAAATCAAATAAGCAGATTTTTAAAATTCATCTTTTTGGCTTGAATTGGAAAGGGAAAACGTGGAGAAGTTTTATCATTTAAAAAAAAATAGCAATCTTAATGTATATGGTTTTTTGTTCCAAATTAAAATTACCTCTTTTTTCATAGAAGATAAACCAATCTGGCATCGGTTCACCATTCAGTAAAGAAAATGGCATCAAAAGAACAATAGCATTGTCGGGCTAAATTAGATTTCTTGTAAAATTGTATTAAATAGAGATTTGGAAAAATGTTTAAAGGGAGTGACCGCGAAATCAGGGGTCGAAAAATAGGAACCGTTCACATGACTGAAATAAATGTAAAATAAAATATATTTCCTTTATTTTAATTATGACAATTAATTTTTATTTTCTCAAAATGTTCCTCACATTGACTTTTTTTTTTAATAAAAACCTTTTTTACATTTTATGTCGTCGTTAATTAATAATTTTAAAAAAACTCATTCTGTAAGATGATCCACCTCAATTCAGGAGTTTTGAACGTCGAATTTGCGCTCAAACTCAGGATTTACAGATCTTTAAAAAGTTTGATATGTCTCAAATGAAGCCTCAAGAAGCTTTCCACAACACTGCGTCCTCAGTTCAACTACCTTACATAGCCGGTCACTCCCTTTAAGGGTAAAGTTCATAGGACTTAAAATAAACAACTTTAGATGTTAAATAATTATTTTATAAAGAAAGAAAATGCAGAAAAAGGTTTTTTTTCGACAACAGAAGAAACTTTTTTACTGTATAGAAACATGAATTCATTACAAAATTTTTTTTAAAATAATTTTTTGAAAATATCAACAAAAAATTCATTTAATTTTTAGTTTTTTTCCAAACGATATTTTGAAAAAGCGGTGTGGGACCAATGTAACCTGCATTACTTGGTAAATTATTTATTTTAAAGCTGTTTAAATATGAATCAAAGGAATTAAGTATTTGCCTCAAAATCTGATTGTCCCTTGATTGTGTAGACCTTAAATATTTCAAACTTTAAATTCTGTCAAATCAAATTATCAAAGTTTAAAATATCAAAGGTTTACGCCATCAGGTTGCAAAGATATAAGAATTAGAAAATGTTATAGTCCGTGGCAAAGACTGAATTTCTTTACAATGTAACACCTGTTTGAATCCAAGCCCTCTGAGTACATTGACAATAACAAGTAGAACCAGGCTTGTCAGTGTTAGGCTTAATTATCATAATTACAGTGAGAACTAGAAAACTGTGGAATAGGATGACGACATTAAATCAATAATGAAGTAAAGATAATTCATGTTGTTGAAATTTCGCACAGGCTGCGTTTGGTCTTAAAATTTGAGATAGGAGGCTGAAATTTTAGATGCAGCAGGCTCAGATAATTCTTCAGATTGAAATTCGAAAATTCACCATTTTTGAAGGCTAGACGGAAAGTAGTCTTAAGTAAGTTTTAAGGTTATAAGCGTAATTTCAAGGACCCTCCATTTACAAAGAGACATAGCCGATTCACAACGGTACTTTTTAAGTTTTTATATTATAAAAAAATGTGTAAGATAACGTCATATTAAAAAGTGTTTAATTCTGCTCACTCCCAAGTTTTCCTGAAATGCACTACCATCTTTTGTAGAGAAATCACAGTTTAAACTGAACATCTGGATGTTCTAATTCGTGCTTGATAAAACAAAGCTTTGAAAGGTCTCGTTGTGATTCTCCCTTTATACAATGCTTTACCAGTTACCTGAGAATAAGAGCAAGCCAAGTATATTTGTCAAACACCTTATAGAAGTTTTAATATTTCTGTTTTTAAGATTTTGTAAAATCAGACATCATTTTTTTTAACGAAAATTTTTAATAAAAATCTAATTAAAATTATTTTGAAAAATGTTATGGTTTTGTTTTTTTAATTGTAATCAGCTCAGAAATGTTAATTTTTCCTTTATGATATTGTCTATTGGAGATCTTGTTCCTGGGAACTAAAACAAATTATCTTATCAAGTTTAAGATTTGATAATCAAAACTTATTCGGTAATCAAACAATAACCTTTGAAACCCAATTACTAGCCTCCACACCAATAGGGAAAGTATATGGAACAAAAGCAGCTCTAAAAACATTTAAAAAAACTTTTTTTTAGATAAACATTTTTAAGATGCTTGACCTTTCAACAGTATAGGAGATGTATCCAATTCCTAGATCAACTACTTTATATCCAACCTAATATTAAAATTGAAACTACGAAAAAATAATCATTGCTCTTAAATGTTTTTTTATTTTATTTATATTCTTTTTTGAAGATAAAATATCACTAGAATCCCCGTAGAAGGGGCTAATTGGTTTGGTCTTAGTCTGTTGTGTACTGTACAGCTTGATATAGCTACTTAAAAGTCGTCTCGATACTTGAAATGTTTACAGTGATATAATTTGTATTGATGGGCATTTGTTTACTGATGTGTTTGAACAAAACAAAATGAGAAATATTCGTAATCTGTTTCTTATTAATTTAAGAAAGGAATTTTACCGCAAACTTAAATTTTCTATTCCCTATATGTTTTCAACCTGACAGTGAGTATATGATCTAACAAAATTTACAGATTTTTGAAAGCAAAGGTCTACAATACAACAATGGGTTGCAAATTAATTATTTGATCACGCAATCTTGATTTAATTTGAAAAATTTTGTTTAAAAAAAGGAATATTTATAGAAAATATAATCCTAGGTGTCTAGGTACTTTCCCAAATGCATTTTCCAAAGGGCAATTTCCCAAGTAAAATGTGCAATTTCCCAAGCAGCAACTTCCCAAAGTTTAGGTCAGACCCTCTGAGGCGCCGTAGGCTGCAATGGGACCGAGCGCTCCGACTAGGTTAGGCAAGGGGGCCGAGCGCCACGGCTAGAACAGACTGGGCCGAGCGCTGCGGCTAGGACAGGCTTGGGAAGTTGCCGCTTGAGAAATTGCACATTTGGGAAGTTGTCTCTTGGGAAAAATCCTTTGGGAAAGTACTAAATATCTAATTATAATACCATTCCTACAACTCCACCCCAGATACCAGTATTAGCATCAAGAGGTCCCCAGGTATCATTAGCATAAACAAGATTATTTTTCAGCCCGTACTTTTCTAAAATAGAGAACTGACTAATTATTTTTGAGGAACCATAAATTTTTTAAGATTGTTTACCTTTGGGCATTTAGGGTACTTCGTGATTTAACAATTTAGCCTCTTTAAAAATCAGCAATTTTTAAACAATTTTTAATATAAAACAATTTCCTTCTAATATAATGGTTCCTAGTAAATTCAATTCAAACTTGAGATCTTGAAATTATGTATTCAGAGCAAAAATTTGCTTTTAATTTCTCTTTAGCGTAGTTGAGGGTATGTCTCGGTTTGCACCATAAGATCCTCCATTTTTATCCCCAAACGAATGGTTTTAAACTAAAACTTTGTCATAATTTACAAGGTTTTTAATAGACAAAGTATAAACAAAAATAATAAAATTTTGATCGGGGAAAAACAAAATAATTTGACAAGCAAAACATAGCTTAGTAGAATATTTATGTCGATATCTATCATTTTTAAAGTGCGCCAATTACAACAGTGAAAACCGCAGAATGTTTTGTTTCTTGCAAAAAGATCTGAACACTAATGGAAGCGAAAAAAATAGTTAAAATAAATCCAATGTCCGTCTTAAAACACTGTGTTCAGATTAAGAAACGTTGAAATCGTAAAAATAAAAAATAAGCAATTTTATGAATGTTGCTTCTACTTTTCTATTGTAGAATTTGGAGCAATAAGTATTTGACATTTTCGATGATATAGTTTCACCATTAATAATTTCAAGTTAAACTTATGTTCACGTAGTCCCTTTACTTGTGTACACAGTACACAGTCCCTTTACTTGAGTACACAGTACACAGTACACACTACACAGTACCAGTCCCTTTACTTGTGTACACAATACACAGTCCCTTTACTTGAGTACACAGTACACAGTACACAGTACACACTACACAGTACCAGTCCCTTTACTTGTGTACACAATACACAGTACACAGTACACAGTCCCTTTACTTGAGTACACAGTACACAGTACACAGTACATAGTACACACTACACAGTACCAGTCCCTTTACTTGTGTACACAATACACAATACACAGTACACAGTACACAGTACACAGTCCCTTTACTTGAGTACACAGTACACAGTACACACTACACAGTACCAGTCCCTTTACTTGTGTACACAATACACAGTACACAGTACACAGAACACAGTACACAGTACACAGAACACAGTCCCTTTACTTGAGTACACAGTACACAGTACACAGTACATAGTACACACTACACAGTACCAGTCCCTTTACTTGTGTACACAATACACAGTACACAGTACCAGTCCCTTTACTTGTGTACACAATACATAGTACACAGTACACAGTACACAGTACACAGTCCCTTTACTTGTGTACACAGTACACAGTCCCTTTACTTGTGTACACAGTACACAGTCCCTTTACTTGTGTACACAATACACAGTACACAGTACACAGTCCCTTTACTTGTGTACACAATATACAGTACACAGTACACAGTCCCTTTACTTGTGTACACAGTACACAGTGCACAGTACACAGTCCCTTTACTTGTGTACACATTACACAGTGCACAGTACACAGTCCCTTTTCTTGTGTTCACAGTACACAGTCCCTTTACTTGTGTACACACTACACAGTACACAGTACATACCTGTAAATGCATTTAAAAAATATCCTTCATATGTTGAGATATCCATCTGACTGTTTTTCATATCAAATTTTGGATTGTAATTGTTGTATCCAACTCTTAAAAGTAAATTAATTATTTACAGTCTTCGGCGTATACATATCAATACAGTGAAGACGACTTTTGAATAACATTTTTGATTTCTACCAGGCTTTTAAACAACATGGAAACAGAGGGAAACTGTCAATTAACAGCTTCTCGTTGTTTACTCGTAAACTTGTAATTTGAAAAAAACCTTTTTAGAATCAAAACTTAAATGGAAATGTCGTCTTCATTGTATTGATATAAACGCCGACTACTGGTGTAAAAATACATTTATTAGATTTCTGAATATTGATAATAAATGTAAGCCTGGCAACCTTATTTCCTGATTGTATAATGAGTCCATTTTTATATTTCTTTTCTTAAACACAACAGAAGAATAGTAGGTCGACCAAATACCAGCAAATCTTTCCTTGTTCATGTCCCTGAAAAACACTTAAAAAAAGATTTTGTAAAAGAGGTTTTTGTCTGATCACTTCAAAGAATTTTAGGTTACGGTTTTCGGGGAAAAAATGGAAATTGAATTGTAAATACAGAATGAATCGTTAATATTCAAAAGTTATAATTTGACAATACTTTGTATAAATAATAAAGGGCTAATAAATCATTATAACCGGCTTTGCAAACATATTGTTAGTACAGTGATAATTCCATGGTTGAAATAGAAAGCCGGCAATAAATGTCGCAAAGATTAAACACATTTTTTTTGTTAGTTCCATATTTATTGATTTTATTTTTTGTTTAACTACCGGTGGCTTTAAAACATCATATTAATTAAAATGAGTCTTGCAATTGAACTATTTAAAATTCTAATTTGACTCTAAAAGTCGTCTTTTTATTTCACAGTTTTTTGGTTTATACTGTACACTTACCAATATGTGAAGAATCCTGAACATTTTGCCAACACTATGCACGAAGTACAATTTAACTCTGCCAAAAAATTAGTTTGAAAAATAGATAAAATCTAAAATTTTTTAAATTAAACTAAAAGAAATTTAAGGATCCTTTTATAAAAAAACTTTAAGTTGATTAGACGCTTAAAGCTTTTTTTAGTTTAAAAATCTAATTTTTCCCCCTAAGTTTTCTTCATTTTTTCTAGCTAAATCTTGTATGATAAAAATAAGTTTGGGAGAAAATTCCATTCCAGAAATGTTGTCTAGTAACGTAACCTAAAGAATGAAAAATGTTAAGAAAAAAGACAATGCAATATACAATATTCTATATGAAATCACATTCAACTAATTATGATGAATAAAACAAAAATAAATAAGAGAGAGCGATATAGCAAATGCTCATTTAGTACTCCACCATTTAAAAGGTGCATGGTGCAGTTAATATAGTTCAGAGACCTCTTTAAATTTGTTTCGCAGTATTTTGCTTATTTGCAAAAATAATATTGAGGAAAACATTTGCATAGTGTAAAGAATATATAAATAATTACTTGAGAAGTAGTGATGATAATGCATTTTGTTGTTAAAACAGAAAGTTTATTGAAAGCTTCTAATTCCTTCACATCTTCCAGGTGGAGCTGGAGTTGGTTAGGCAGGAAGGTCGTCTTTGATCTATCATATTGCGGATTTACGGCGTAAAAATTGTCACATTTATATTCTAATGACCCACTCTCATTGTTTAATTTAAAAATTATTTTTTACAAAAAAAAATTTATTTCATTTTCCTCAGCTTAAAAAATCTAATATTTAATTTCCAAAAAGTTTTTATATTTGAAACACACACATTTCAAGACTCCAACTTTTTTGACAAATTATTTTTTGTGGACAATGTTAAATGTGAATATTTATACCCAATATTGATATTTAGACATTCAGCTCCATTTTCCTCTCTTCTAATCAAATATTTACAGAAAAATAATAAACAAATAATTCAATATTGTTAATCTTTAAAGCTTGATCTCGATATCCAATGTGGGAACTTGTAAAGTTGAGGATCAATTAAAGTTATTGATCCCTAACTATGAAAGAGGAATTATGTATGTCAGAATAAGATGAGATCTATGCTTGATCCTGAGATTTAAAATACAAAAGATCTAACTTCGGAGCTGGGAACATTAGAATGGGATAACTTTAATCCCTACTTCTTAATCCAAATATCCAATGTAGACACTTTAATTTCTTGGTTAATCCAGGCTTTCTTGGATATAGTACAGAAAATCAAAAACCGGTTTTTTAAAATTAGGGAGTCCCTCCAGTTTCTGTATATTAAATGGCACGAAAAATTTCAAATTTCCCGGCTTTTATGCATTTCTCAGGATACAAGATTAGGTTAGTTTGGAGATTAAGAAAAAGAGTGGATCAAGCATTGATCTCGATATTCACCATTCTAAAGTTCCCAGCTCGGATTAATTTTTGAAATTTTAGAAAACTAGAGTGTAAGAAATTAAAATTGATTTTTAATGAAATATTCCTGATAAACCATTGTATTGTATTATAACTATTCTGCTCTTCCTCCTTGCTACAATCAGCTGATACAGTTCCTAGATTTAACACAAGAAGAACTATCAACATATTCAGGGAAACCCTAATAAATCTGAAAAAAGGGACTGGGATGTCAAGTGACTTGTCAGATTCACAACGTCAACACTCAACAGTGAGCTTTAAAGTCTGTTTCGATAACAAAATTATCCTCACTTCAATAACTTTTCAAGCTGAAAATTGAGTGCCGGTGAGTTTGAGAACACAGTCCTAGAGATGTGCATTGTTTTTGTGAACTGACAACATTTTTGAGAACGAACCAAAAGAATGTTATTAACAATGGTTTCGTTTAGAAGAAAAAATAACGATGAACGAACGAATTCTATCTTTCAGAAAAATGAAAAAACTATCGTTTTTAAACGCAAACGATATAAAAACGAACGATTTGAAATTGTTCGAATTCGAACTTGAAGAAAATCGTTTTTTTACTGAACTAACAATTTTATTGAACAAACGGTTTTACTGAATGATCGTTTTGTGAGAAAACTAACGAAATAGATGGAAAATGAACGATAATTTTGAGAACAAACGAAATAATTTTTGAAACAATTGAAAAAAAGAACAAAATGGTTTGTTCACGAACGATAAAAGAACGAAATGAAAAAAACTGCGCCATCTTTATACAGTACACACTCCACAGTGAACACTGAACAGAGTACCATTGTTAGAATTGTAAAACGAACCAGCCACTCTACATAAGTGGAGTGCCTGAACCTGTCACTCTACTAAGGTGGAGGGTGTGAACTTGCCACTATACAAAAATCTAGGGTCTGAACCTGCCACTCTACATAATGGAGGGTCTGAACCTGCCACTCTACATAATGGAGGGTCTGAACTTGTCACTCTACATAATGGAGGGTCTGAACCTGGAAATTTACGGTTTAGATACTCTTTGCTTTTGCAATGTATGATCTTTTTAAGTGCTCTCTTTTTTAACAAAATTTTGACTTTGACCGATTTTAAAATTATTTTTATTAAACGTTTGTAGGTTGCTTCGACAGGTTTATTTTCTATCTTTCTATATATTTGAAGTATAATCTCTGTTTGTTTCTTTGTCTGTTTGATCTTAAGTTAGAAACCCCTTAACTGATTTGCCTCAAATTTTGATTGTGGAACTCCGTAGAACCACGGGAATGTTCTTAGCTATATTTAGAAATTGATAAATTAATAGGTTGTTATAAGGCAAAGCTGGGTAGTAATCTCTATTTGTCCCCCCTCTGTTTGTCTGTTTGTCTGTTTGTCTAGGTGTCTGTTTGTCTGTTTGTCTACTCCTTTACCAATTTCCCCAAATTTTTGTGTGAGGAACTCTGGAATGTTCGTAGCTTGGTTGATTATTTGAGTTTGACTTTACATGGGAAAACTTAGTTTCCAGGTACAGATGAGTTTCCGAGTTGGATAGTATTGGTACAAAGGTAGAAAATAAAGGATTGAAATATATTAGATTACATCAAATCCTTAAAAATCGAGCGGAAAGAATCATTAAAGAAAAATATAATTAAAGATAAATAATATTGAAATTTTGAGACAAAAAAGTTTCAGTCTGCTTAGTCTTTGAAGGAGTAAAATCAATTGAGAATTGTTTTTATTATTGTAAAATATCAGAATGTTAAACATGATTTTTATTTTTTCCTTAATTTTAAATTTCAAAGGATAATTAAACAATGTTTCATAAAAAGTCTTTTCTTTCCAGGCTCAAGATTTTGGAGATCACAATGATTCAGGGACTGAACGCAAAAAAAAAACGAAAAGAAATTTCTAAACTTCTAAAAAACTAAAGCTAAAAACTACTGCTTTCAGTTTCTAAAATAAACATGTCAAGGGTCACGGAAAAGAATAAACAATATAGTGAGGTAACATTTAAAGGCCAAGGTGTAGTTGAATTTCAAAGTCGACCCAGTCTAGCAGATTGTTGCAATGTCTCATAGCAGTCTGGATCTAGGTGAGATATCATTAAAGTTTTAACCGAAATAAATTTGAAGAATATTAATGTTTTGGTTTTAATATAATTCTGACAACTTCTAGGTCATAGTTATGGACAAGAAAATTATTTTGGTTTTATTTAATTTATAAAATACATCTGACGTTTTGTTTTATAACTAGATTCACTTCGTTCTCTTCAGTAGGTCATCTTCTAACTTGCATAATTCAGCTTTGGCGCGAAAATTGTTTGAAAGTATTTCGGCCGGGTTAACCTTAAAGAGTTATGACTCTTGACATAGGTAGCACTTGACCTTGACTATGTTCTTGCTGAATTAGTTCTAGCTGACCTACCTACCCGAAAAATGAAGAAACTGCGTGTGAAACGTGTTATCTAAATCCTAGTGTAAGAAAGCGCTAAATATGATTTTTTCTGCAAAATAGTTTATGTTTTATTTGTTATATTGCAAAAACTTTATATTACTGTTGCTCAAATCTTTTACAGATTGAATAAATCCAAAAATGGAATAGAAACTGATTTTTAAAATTTCTAAATTTAGATATCTCTCTTCTGTGATATTGAGACCAACTAAAGAAAAAACATCAAAATATTTCTTTTGAAATATTGATATATGTACTAGGCGTGCTTTTTAGATTTAAAATTTAAAATACAACCTTTATTAAATCACGCCTTAACGAAATTTCATTTTTTTGTGAATTTTGATAGGGAAATCAATATTTTCTTTCAAAGATAAAACTATATGCACCCTGGACTAACCAGGCCCAGATTCCTGTATTTGAATTTGATCGCGTTTTCATTCAAAAAAGAATAAGAAAAAAGCGAAATATTTATGCTTAATCTATATGCAAATTTGGCTTGTCTGTCTGTTTGTTTGTATTCAATAAACGTCAAAACGGCTGAACCGATCGGGCCAGAATTTTTTGTGAGACATCACGTGACTACAGGCAAGGTTTATGAATGATAAAAAAAATTTAAAAATGTGTTTTAAAGGTTTTTAATTTTGTAAAAAAATTTAAATTCTTGAAAATGTAAACAAAAAGAACATGTTCACAATTTAAGCCTAGTTGATCTAAATTCACAGCTTGCATGCAACAAAAACCAAACTGTTAAATGAGCCTGTACATGGGGCACTTTTTGGATAATAATCTTCAAATCCATTCGACACCTGCAGTCTTAAAGTTTTATTTGATACAATTTTTAAACAAAAACATCAACAAGTATATTTCAAAGGTATTGGTAAATGTTTTTCCTTAAACCTAAATCAAATAAAATAGCTTGATTGTAGTCTTCCCCTTCCACAGTTTTCTATGAATTTACACAATATTTATATTTAGCAGATATACCTATACGAGTAAACTCACACTGACAAACAAAAGTCTTGGAATAAGGAGTTGGATATTATTTAAAAATATTTGTAATTGGATTTTTGGAACGATTATTTCGGGAGCAAAATGTAGAAACGTAGTTTTACACGTAGCAACGTCACACTGCACAGACGATGAATAGGGATTTCGTGATATTTTTATAAAATATAAAATGTCAACATCTTAATTTATTCAAGGGAATTAGAAATTCCTTTATGTTTTTTTTTTATTTTAAATGTCAAATGTTAATATCTTGATGCATTTAACCATATCCTGGTTGGGCTGTTTTTGTCTAATAAATTGCCCCCCCCCCCTGTACCCTACCCCATAAATTTAAAAAAAATTGACAAAAAATCCTTTAAATTACTATTCATTAAAAGTCATCAAATTTCACGGTGATGGGTCAAAAATGAGAGTGCTAGGACAAAAAAAACAAAGGGGGTGCGCCAAACGCCCCCCCCCCAGCCTGTTTAGGGTTAACTATCTTTCTATCTATTTATCTCACAATGATACAAAATGTGCACGCTCTCACGCAAAAATCTACTTCTTTCATACTAAAGCTATTAGAAAAAAACTAACTATCTATCCATCTATCTTTCTATCTATTAATCAACCTATCTATCTATCTATCTATCTATCTATCTATCTATCTATCTATCTATCTATCTATCTATCTATCTATCTATCTATCTATCTATCTATCACTATATATATATATATATATATATATATATATTTATTTATATATATATATTACGTAGTTAAGCAATCACAATATAGGTATGACAGAGTTATATATATCTACGTTCATTAAATGTGTTAATCGCAATACATGAATTACATATTTTTACTAATGGGCACATTTAGCTATAATGTACAACGTAATTTACTATGGGCCTCTATATTTGCTACATCTATCTATCTATCTATCTGTTTACCATGACTTGGCGCAGACTGGACAAATGTTTTTTCATGTTCATATCTGTAAATTACACTGCATGGATGAATTCATATTTACGTATTTAACCTTCAGTTCTTAATTATATTTAAACCAGTAAACATTGGAGGTATAAACAAACATTGGAGGTATAAACAAACATTGGAGGTATAAACAAACATTGGAGGTATAAACAAACATTGCATATTCTTTAAAAAAGTGAAATTTAATATTATCATTATTATATTACTTAGTTGAATAAATAGGTTTTAACATTTGTTTATCAATGATTAATAATCCGTTAAACAAAGATGTTTAGTAACACTTTTAGCTTTCCGATGTTGCTTTTCAAGTCTCCATTACCCCTGCTGTGCATCAAAAAAATGTCGCGGATTCGTCTTAATACATTTTTCATAAATTAATTCAAACCTGCTGCTAGTTTATAGCTGCAGTCTCCATTCTCAACCGCTACCCCTGCTTTTTTCTCCAAAGACTATATCATTGATAATTGAGTTCTGAGAAGAAAAAAAAAATAGGCTTTTAGGAATATCTTTAAAAAAGGAATTGAGTTTTTGCCACAAACTCTTATTTTCTCATCTCTAGAGCTTTACAACCTAATGTAGTAGACCCTTCATATTTCAAACTATGAATTATGTTGGACTAAATAATCTAAGTTTGAAATATCAAAGGTTTACACCTTATGGTTGCAAAGATATACGGATTATAAATTTAAGTTTGTGGCAAAAACTCAGTTTCTTTTAGAACTTAATTCCGTAACCGTTCTCCAATAAAGTAGAAAGAATCTGCACCGAGAAAAGTTTGCCAAACCAATTGAATAATTTTTTCTTCAAAATGTCACATCTTGCTTCACTAGAAACTTCAAGTACCGGGCCGGATTTAAATCCGCTAGAGCAAGCTGTACAGCCAGTAAAAATATAAGGCAAAACAAAACAGTACGCCAGTCGCCAAATCCCCTTCTAGTGAACCATAGTGATCAATCAATGAAAATGAAAATGAATCGATTATAATAATAAACTCAATATAATGAGTTTCTTTGTTGCAACACACACATATTAGTTAATAGGTTTCAAGAAACCTTGGAAAGCCGGTTTCTTATTAAATAATAACAATTTCCTTTCCCGAAAGCATGTTTCGCCATGAATATTTTAAACATTGCGAGTTAAAGAAATCTCGACGTTAAAAAATTGGTTTATTTTAGAAAGTTCAACAGTTGCATTTTGAAGGAAATTTTTTTAAAGTCAACTCGATATCGGTTCTTTTATAATGTTTTGAATAATATTTCGTTGATATATTATCTCGATATATATTTGGCTGTGTTTGCATTAATGTATTTATATATTTACACATTTAAATAAAGAATGTGAATGTACCTTTCCTATTGCAGTCGTGATTCACTGTTTTTTGAAGGAAAGTTCACTTTTATTTATATTTATATGTATATTTTGCTTGTCTGTATGTTTGTCTGTTTTGGTGTTCGTTTGCTATCTAAAAACGTCAAACGCAAACTTTTCATTTAATTTAATTTTTATTGGTTTAAAGTGGGATATTTTGGAGACATCTTTAAATTAAGTGTCGGGCATTGTTTATTATCCTTTGTAGATTTTCTTTTCAAAACCGTAACATAGGCAACGTGGATTTAACGGTTCTGTCAATATTTCAGAAAGCTGTGACTTTCGATCACAATTTGACCCATTAAACATAATTTTTTAGCCTTTTTTCTTAAATACTTTTTTGTTGGCATTTGAATGAAAATGTATAAAATAAACAAATTCGTAAAATAAATGATTATTGAATTAAAGACCAAAACACGTTTGATTTTAAATAGAAGAAACCGAATGCTGCTCACTCTGGTTAGTCCGGTGTGAGGCAACCCCATTAAGAAAGTTGTTTGAAAATAATTTGTAAATGAAGTTCTAAAATTCCTTAAACTAAAAGGTAAAGGAATCCAAAGCCAAGGACTTTATCGCAAGTGACATTTTTTCTTGGGACTTGCAAAAATATCTGACATAGTTTTGTAAAATTCTGCAAAATCCTACCTCCTTAGAATTGGCATATTTAACCCTTTGAAAATTTTAACTCCGATAGAAGATCAGATTAAATGAAGAGATCAATACGAATGATCGAAGAAATGATCGGCCGTTTTTAGACCACTATACTATTTCGAACTTAAAATTCGGTGAGTTCAAATAATATAAGTTTAAATCATCAGATTGCAAAGATATAGGAGTAAGACCATTTTATTTTGTGGTAAAAACTTCGTTTCTTTGAAACACAAATTTATGATGACCTAATTCCAAAATTGAAAACTTTTTTTCAGATTTTGATTATTTAATTGATTATCTAATTGATTATCTAATTGATTATCTAATTGATTATCTAATTGATTATCTAATTAATTATCTAATTGATTATCTAATTGATTATCTAATATGCAAGATTAAAGCTAAATCATGAAACTAATCTATTCCAAGATTTCTCTACTTTTCTTCATTGCTGAAGGTAAAAAATTGTTTACTTAAGTTTATTTAAAAGTATTTTTTGTTACGAAAGTATATGAAAAATTATATTTGTACTGTAAAATATACGTTGTTTGCTCTTGTTTGTACTCATGTATTTTTAATATTATTTTATTTCAATTCAGCCCCTTTTTCAAAGCTACGCATGCATTTATACAGCAGAGAAAAGCAAAAAATGCACAAAATTTGTCCAGAAGAAGTTTTCAAAATTTTATTTACTCCGCAATTCCTTTAATATTCTTTATTTTATCTAATTCATGGTCTGTTGCATTACTTTAGTTGCGCCGTTATAAAACAATTACAGGATAATAGTGTTTACACACATTTTATTTTATATAAAACCAATTCTATAAAAATATTATATTATGTCTGGTAACATTAAAAGAAATATTTTTCTTTGCGTGTGGTATTTTCTACACGCTTATACATACATATTCATAACCAGATGTTTTTTAAAGGGACTGTAAGCATAATTTCATATGACCCTTCCTGCAAAGATGACAATGCCCTACTAACGGTATCCTTCAAATCTTTGTCTGATCAATTATGAATTAGTTATCAATGTTTATAATTTTAAAAACAGAAGCTAAATGGGTCAGAAAGTCGGATATTGAAAAAATGAAGTTTACAGGCTAAAATCAGTGACAAATGGTAAGAACATTTGATATTTTCCCTGAAAAAGTATTTTACACCATAAAAGTACAAATTTGACTTCAATAAACTTGTACACTGTACAAGATGTAGCACATATTTGCATAAATAAACGGCATGGTACAGTATGCATGGTACTGAAAGGAATGAAGTTCATTGCAACTAAGGATGTTTACATTCTTCTCAGAATTGCAGTACACTTTTTTGTAAACAAAGATTCAGGGGTTCTTGGTGTATGGTGTCTATGTACAGTGTATGGGTTCAGTACTGGTACCCCTGAACCCTGGTGTTTAACCTTGTCTATGTACAGTGTATGGGTACAGTGCTGGAGCCCCGGAACCCTGGAGTAAAACCTTGTTTACGGACAGTGCATGGGTACAGTACTGGAGCCCCGGAACCCGGATGTATAACATTGTTTATGTACAGTGTATGGGTACAGTACTGGAGCCCCGGAACCCTGATATATAACCTTGTTTATGTACAGTGTATGGGTACAGTACTGGAGCCCAGGAACCCTGATATATAACCTTGTTTATGTACAGTGTGTGGGTACAGTACTGGAGCCCCGGAACCCGGATGTATAACCTTGTGTAAGTACATTGTACTGTGTATGGGTACAGTACTGGCGATTCGGAACCCTGGTATATAACCTTGGTTATGTACAGTGTATGGGTACAGTACTGAAGCCCCGGAATCCTGGTGTTTAACCTCCTCTATGTAAAGTGTATGGGTACAGTACAAGGAGTATGAAATAAAAGGGAGATACAACTGACGCGGCCCGCCCAACCATATGATTATAAATGCTTTGCAGACGGTACTCCATTTGTATCAGAAATATTTGTCTGATGTACAATAACCGCGTTTACAATAACCCATTCTGAATATTTCTTATATGCATGCATAATCAAATAGATTATCAAGTACAATAGGTGGCAACAGAGAAATTAACCAATTATACACAACGTCACAAGTGTCAAATATAACAAGGAAAACAAAATTTTCTCACATTATTTGACATGTTTAATCAAGATTTAAAAACGTGTAAAAACAGAAAATAAAGAACACATAAAATTCATTTATTTTACTGTAAGATAGGTACTTTATTCTAAAATTATCACAATTATTAATAATTTTGTCGGACACAAAAACTAAACTGACACTTGTGACGTCAGAATACAATTTTACTGAGAGTGTACATATTCTACGTTGCCATCTATTGTACTAGAATCTATTTGTGCATTATCATATGGTAGGGAGGGCAGAGTCATTTGTATCTCCCTTCTATTTCATACACCTTGGTACAGTACTAGAGCTGCGGAACCCGGACATATAACCTTGTCTATGTAAAGTGTATGGGTACAGTACTAGAGCCTCGGAACCCTGGTTTATAACCTTGTCTATGTAAAGTGTATGGGTACAGTACTAGAGCCCCGGAACCCAGATATATAAACTTGTTTATGTACAGTGTATGGGTACAGTACTAGAGCCCTGGAACCTGGATGTATAACCTTGTTTATGTACAATGTATGGGTACAGTACTGGAGCCCCGGAACCTGGATGTATAACATTGTTTATGTACAATGTATGGGTACAGTACTGGAGCCCCGGAACCTGGATGTATAACATTGTTTATGTACAGTGTAAGGGTACAGTATTGGAGCCCCGGAACCCGGATGTATAACACTGTTTATGTAGTGTATGGATACAGTACTGGAGCCCCGGAACCCGGATGTATAACTTTGGAACCAGGGCATGGGAATCCACCCAGGAAACCATTAAATCATGGTACTAAAAATTTGTAAAATGGTTTTTTAACAAATTTTAATCCGTAAATTATTGATAAACCTGAAAAAAACATGTTTTTTGATAAAAGTTTGAGTATTGTCGATTCAAAATATTAGACAAAGCAAGAAAAACAAAGAAGTCACGAAAGGTAAACCTTTTTTTAAAAAAACAATCAAGGTAAATATATAATTCTAAATTTTAAAATTGTTTTTTCTAAACATTTACTTCTAAGTCGAATTCTGAGAGAATTGAAGAAATATGGAAAAATTAAACACCCAAAACTATCCATTAGCTATGCAAAAACTATCCATAAGCTATGCAAAAACTATCCATAAGCTATGCAAAAACGATCCATAAGCTATGCAAAAACGATCCATAAGCTATGCAAAGACGATCCATAAGCTATGCAAAAACGATCCATAAGCTATGCAAAAACGATCCATAAACTATGCAAAAAACGATTGTTGCGACGATCGTTCTGGGATAGTTTTTAAATTTTTTTTACGATTAGAAACATATCAAAGCTTAATAAAATCAAGTTTTAACAAGATGCAGTTTCAAATCTTGGAAATTTTAGTATTTTTTTTAACACAATGTGGAATAGGGTGACGATTTGTAAGACTTGAGTTATGATTTTAATTAGACTATTAAACATGAAACACAATAATTGTAAAATGTGCAGTGTACACAGACGCAATTCAAGTTGACTCAAGCTGGTCAAATTATCTGCTTTAAAATATCATCAAATGCGCATAATGTAGATCGTTTTTCTAAAGAGTGTACATAAAAAAGGGTTCCCACTTACGTTATGAATTCGATCTCTCAGTGGCAATAAAGTCTTGTGAATTCATTGATTAAAATGAAACTAGTCCAGGCAAAAAATGATTTAGTAGTAGATGTTTTTGGACATCTGGCACTCGGCATTGCAAATTGCAGATGGCTAGCTGGATATTAGACAGTAGAGACTATATCAACCTTCTACACTCTATCTGCGTTCATCTCCTTTTTTTCAGGGTTGGCAGGGCAGAGATTATACTGTTATCTTCATCTAGTTGGCTTTTATTCAAGTTGCTTGATTTTAAGGTTTCAGTCACTAATAAAATATCTTTATCACTTTATCTGGACACCTTATTTTTCTATGGATTGGGTCAGAAATAACAGAAATAAGGTTCCTTTCACTCCCTTCTAAATGCAGAGACAAATAGCGCCACGGATTCAAACTTCTTCTTTTGGCGAATATAAATAAAGACTTTATGATTAAAATTTTACACGCCATGACAATCTGTATCCGGCTTGAAAACCTTTTTGATACTTTAAGCATGCCGGCAAATAGAAACTGCTGAATGAAGCCACCTCTTGGACTTTTTAAGCCACTTTTTTGATGCACACTCCATCTTTGTTAAATGCAATTCCTTATTTGTATGTCTATGATTAATAGAAATATTCAGAGCTAAATATACGTAGATTTATATAAAACTAGAGATAAATGGTAGGTGGGAACCTTTTTTAAAGTACACCCTTTTATTTCACAGTTTTCTGGGTCTTTCTAAATGGTTTGTGGTTGCAAAATCGTATCAAATACCATATCATAATTTAAACTTTTCATCTAATATGCCTGTCCATTCGATCGTTTTCTCAATGTAGAATTTACATTTATATTGCTAAATTTGGTTTATTGATTTGTATTAGAGATAATCAAGAAAACCCCTACCATCTACAGGTAAATTAATTTTTAGCATTAAAAATGATCAACAAAATTTAAGTCTTCACTAAAAATTCGGTTAAAATAACAATTTCAAATGATATCTACAAAGATATAGATGTAAGTGTAATTTTTTTTTTAACTTTAACTTTTTACACAGCATTCAAGAGGTATTTACACTGAGATCAGTCAAAGGTTTGTACAGGGTACAGTTGTGAATCCAGGACTTACCTCTTTATATAGAAGATCTCCTGAAATTACGCTAACAGTCCCTTTCCTTCAATGATACAGTTTTGATTTATGAGAAAAAAAAGATTGAACATTTTCCTTTTTCTTTTTGTAGAAAGCGACAGATATTCTATAGAAAACTTCATTGAAATTTATAAAAATGATTACTCGCTTCAAACTCTAATTTTATAATCTAATATCTTTCCAACCTGATGTTTTTTTCCAGATCAAAAAGTCTTGTATCTTTAGATTGCACAGAGTAGTTAGTTTCCTAATAATAGGTTCTCTTTAAGGCAAAGATAATATATATATAGATACGCAGGCAGGTATAAATTTTGAGGTCTTGAGAAAATGTGCTATCAGCACCATCTCTGTCGTACGCATGGCATTTTATCCTCTGGATTGTTGCTAATTTATCACTTTGTTTATGCGTGATAACACTAAATGCGTACTATAGTATCAACAATGTATACTGCATATTGTACTTAATGAAACAAATTAATCAATGCAAATAAAACTGAGGTAGGAATTTGACTAGACAAAGTTTAAATGTGCAAGTTGTACTGAATGGCATACGTAAATTAACGCAATTTAAATAAAAATTATGACTATAAAAGTACATCGAGTCTAGGACAAATTACAACTGATCTGATCATAACATAAGCAAAACGCGTACTGTATGTTTGTGTTACCTTGAAATTTAATTTTATTGGTCAAACAGGTCCAGATAGCAACACTTGAACTATACAGGATGCAATACGCGTACTGTATGTTTATATAACACAAATGCGTATTTCCTACAGATAGCAGCAAGGGGAGAAAGGAATATAGAAAGTAATCAATTTGCTATAGATGTCTCTCCTTGCACATTTTCTCAGAGGTTCAAAAATTAGTTGTCTGCTACAAGCAATTTAGGAAGGAGGTTTATACCTGCCTGCATATCTATATATATATTATCTTTGCTTTAAGGTTAAAGAACTAGGAACTAGGCTTGAAATAATATTAAAAGGGAGCGGATGGTTGATTGTTGAAACGTTTAGAGGATTTATTATTCAGGTAATTATATCCTATTTCAAATTTATTCACAGCAATAAGTAAATTTGGAATAGTCCTAGTAGAACCCACTTTGATGCTTGGGGAACCTGAAGTAGAACCACGTGAACGTTTTTAGCTTGGTTGAAAATTCTATCTTGAGTAGGTTGACTTTTCTAGTGACAGTTTATTTTTCAGGCAAAGCTGGGTTCCCGAATTAGCTGAACAAATATATTCAAATTGACATGTACTGTATTCTGTACCTAAGCGCCAAAAAATTCACAAAAAAGTTTTCGGAAATAAAGTCCTAAATTTTGGCGTTTAAAAAGCCCTGTCCCAAAAAAAGTTCTTCAAATCAAAAGTCTCTTGATATCCTACGATTTAGGGGGGAAAAACTCGGACTTTGTTACAAAGATTTGTACTGTTACAAATGTTTTTGTATTTGCTTGTTACAAGGTTCGCCAGAACTCAGATGATGCAATAATTGGCAGCTTTGACATCAATTCAAGTTCATCAGCTCAGTATGGAGCTTGCTCTTTACCTCAGGTTTGACATAATTTATATTTTCCCTTACTTTAAGGGAAAGACTAATTAAGATTCACTTGATACCAATAAAGCATTTTTATTGTCATTAAATAATTGTAAAAAAGGTTTCTTCTGCTGACCATCCCATCCGGTGAAATTAAACAGATCTTACCTAGAAATTATGCAAGTAAATGGTATCAAATGAATCCTAAAATGTTTCTCTAGTTTACTGCACTCAAATATGTAACCTAGCCAGTCTCTCCCTTTAAATAGTAATTTAACTATGTTTAGAATACTGTTACTCATCTTAGTTCTGATGACAAGACTTCAGTGAGTGTAATTTGGAACTCTCCGAGAAATTTCCATGGTCAGGTATATTGAAGGATTTAAAAAAAAAATATTGAAAAATGTATTATTTACTCTCAGAAACTGGAAATAAAAATCCTCAAGGGATTCAATTTAAATTGTCAAGGAATCAACATTCCTTTTTAAAAAGCTGGTTTTAACATGGACCTGCAGTAAGTTTTTAGATTAGCAGAAATTACTGAAAATTTGTGCAATGAACAACTTTCAAAAACTTAAGGTTGCTCAAAAATTTCTTTTAATATTAACAAAAAATATGTTGCTTTTAATTAATTATCAAAAAAATGGTATGATCAATTCCCTTCCAAGGTTGATCACCATTTGTATCAACTTATAACTTTGTGAGAGGTTTGACAATTATTTTCTTGTTAAAATATTTTCAAATGCAGGTTTATGTTACAGCATCGGTGGTACAAGACTACAATAACTACTGGGTCGATTTCAGGCAATGGAGCAGTTACAAATAATTTGGTTTTTCAAATTATGAGTAATGGACCAACTACAGTGAGACCCATAAAGCTCTGGAATAGAAAGACGATATTTAAGCAATCTTCTGAGTATTTGATGCTGGTTTTAAGCAAATAGTTTCAGTAGCGTAAAAACCCAACTTATTCTGTTTTAATTGCACACTTGCTGTATTTGATGTTTGTTGAAACTATATGATATTGATCCTTTAGTCTAACGGTCGTCTTCTCATTCCCCAGTTTAATGGGTTTCAAGCTGTAACAGCCTTAAAAACATCAATGACAAGATCAGCACAGTCTGATATGTGAAGAAAAATATGTAAATGCATTTAAAGAATTAAATTTTCTTACTTCAATTCTCACTGGAAAATTTATTTTAGAATTTTCACTAAAGGAATTGAGTTTTTGCCACAAACTCTGATTTTTTAATCCTTATATCTTTGCAACACAATGGCGCAGACCTTAGATATTTAAAACTATGAATTCTGTTAGATCAAATATTCTAAGTTTACACCATCAAATTGAAAAAATGTAGGAATTAGAAAATTTGGGTTTGTAAAAAAAAACTCAATTCCTTTGGAAACATGAATGATTTTTCAGAATTTCTAGTTAAATAATATCCGAAAGGGGGAAAACTCTTTTGATGTTAATTTTTTTTCTTGAGAGCATCAAAAATCAGTACTTCAGCTTTTAAGCTTTAATCTCGCGTGATCAATTGACCATTTCACACAGATCAGATATCATTGATATTAAAAAGACAACAGAGCCAGAACCAGAACCAGAACCAGAACAAGAAACAGAACCAGAACCTGAACCTGAAACAGATGAAAGAGCTAAGCTGGAATCCAAAATTAAACCAAAACATGTCATTTATGATGGTTGCTTTGAAACAAAGGTATAATTAAGCATAAAATTTCCTGATAAATTGTTAATCTGGAATGTTTGATCTCTATATCAAATGTGGGCACTTTTATAGTTGAGATTGAATGCTTGATCCTTCAATTAAAACTTTCCCCACAGATCAAAGAGAAATTAAATTAATCTGCATAAGATGGAGATTAATGCTTGATTCAAAACACAAAAGTTTTGTCATCCTTTTTAATCTGAAACTTTAAACTACAAGTTGAAACTTTTTTTTAAATTAAAACTTTAAATTTTAAAACAAGTGTTTTTAGGCTTTTTTGCCTACTAAATATCGTTAAAATCTAGTAGATACAATACCAACAAATGGNACGGAATATTCGAAAATGTGCTCGGTCTCCTTTTCAAATATTTTTAATAAAGTTAAAATTATAATTTTATTTTTTACGTTTTATTATACGACAGTATAGATAAAATTTCACATTTTCAATGAAAGAATTGAGTATTTTTAAAACTAAAAGACGAAACAAAGATTTAAAATATTTTCGAAAATCTTTTGAAAAGGGACTGATTATATTTCGAGTACATTTTAAAGGTTAAAACGGCATTTTAGAGAGAAATGTTTCATCTACGACTCCCCATACCAACTTGAAGCACTTTTGAACAAAAACAATGATGTTCAGTAGGCTAGTAGGCTAAACACCCTGTATGTATATTATTGATGGAATACTTGACTCTGATTCAAGTAACATTTCCATGCAGAAATGACAATGCCCAAATCACAACGATACCCTTAAAAGCTTTGTCTGATCAAGTATGCATTAGATGTCAATATTATAATTTTGAAAACAGAGTATTTTCAGTTGTGATTTTTCCTAAAATCTGCAGGAATTATCAGAATTTGAACCTAGAAAAACGATAGTAAATTCCGCATTATTAATCAGATGAATTCAAAGGGTACCGTTTGTGAATCGAGTATTGCCAGCTTTGCATGAAGAGTCACATGGAATTACAAAGAATAAAAATTGTATAGGGCTGCTTCGGATATCCTGCTCTATGTGAGGTAACTGAGGACTGCCAAGTTGTTGCATCATGGAGGCAGGTAACAACAACAACAACAACAACAACAAACAGTCTAAAGAAATGTGTTGTTAGAGATTTTTAATTGTAGAATAAGAGAGAATGGGGGCGTTCGGTTTTTTAAATTTATTCGTTATCGTTCAATGTTTCATTTTTTTCAGTCGTAGAACAAATTTTAATTTTTTCTTTTTCAGAATTATTATCCAATTTCCATCTATTTCGTTATTTTTCTAACTGAACGAACAATTGTTCAGTAAAATTGTTCGTTAAATGAAATTGTTTGCTCGGTAAAAGATCATGTTTTCCAAAGGTTGTTATAAAAAATCGTTCATTCAGGAAAATAAATGATTGCTTTTTAAAAAGTTTGTCAGAAAAAAATCGTTCATTCGAAGTAAAATACGTTAGTTTTTTTTAAGTTCGTTCAAGATAATTGTTCGTCTAGTAAAAAAAAAACAATATAGTTGTTTTAAAGTTTGTTAGAAACATTTTTGTGTTCAGTAAAAAACTGTTTATTTTTTCAAGCTTGTTAGAATGACCGATTTAGATATTGTTCATTAATGGTCTGATTCTTCCAGAAAATGTGAATAATAAAAAACGATTGTTTACTAATTTCTCTCAACGATACATTTGGTTCCTTCATAATCTTTCATTTTTCGTTCACAAAAAATTTCGTTCATTTTTAAAAATATAGTTCATTTACAAAAACGATGCCCATCTCTAGAGTGCATGTACAAACATGATCAAATAAAAGGTTATTCAAATACAGGGTGTCCCACGAAACATGACAATAGCAAGACGACTTGAAAGTCGTCTTTGGTATTTGAATTTATTTTTGACATTTAGTCTTCTATCTACTTTAACATGTATGATTCTTGAAACAATTATCACATAATTCTCCTAGCCCTGGCATTTCCAAAAAGTGGTCTGCACAGGGTTCAGTCATGTGTTTGATGTCTATTCAGAACCAATAGAAATAGTATGGCGGTAACATCTATCTTTCTATCTATCCCATTATCCAATCAGAGTTATGAATCCTTTAATCAGCGCTATCAGTAAATGGAATTATTTACTTCTACTGAAACAATAGTATGTATATGTCCATGTATTTTATGTACTATTTCTAGACTGAAGGAAGTGTTAAACTGGAAGCTAGTTGGAATACAGGAACAGGTTCAGGTGAACTACTGCTGTACAGTGTAACTAATTAACAGTTTTACTCCGCACATAGGTTACTTAATCTCTGGGCAAAATTAGTCATTGAAAAGTCATAAGAATTAAGATTTAAATTGATGCATTTTGAATGTGATCATCTGCTGGCATTATGCACGCAGAACACTATAGGCTTTCAGGGCGCATTGCACAAATCGCACCCATCTTCTATTTCAACTTTTAACATTATCTTTTTGTACAATATAAAACAATAACAAAAAAGTTCGTAGGTTTAAAAATATTTAAACGTAAATTTTCAAAAAGTGAGATTCTTTGTAGACAATTTTTTGTAATTTTAAGCATCCATAAAACCTTCCCTGGTGTCATGTGAGTTGCCTCAAAAAATGTGTACCCGTCCGGTTCAGCTGTTTTGACTTGTATTCGATACAAACGGACAGACAAAAAAGTGTATATATGATACAAGCATAAGAAGCCTATATTTGTTTTGCATGATTGTCTTGGTTGTGTTTCTAACCCGAACCCTGACTGCATTATATCCATATGTTCTAAATGTTTTAAATCCTTTTTACACAGCTTTTTTTAATAGTTTAAGTTAAATATTATATAATCTAATGTATTAATGAGCTAGGTAATCAATTTCATAAGACATATATTTTTCTTCAAACAGAGTAGTCAAGAATTTACCCATTTTTTGTGTAAACCTTTGATATTTTTGATCTAACAGAATTATTAGTTTGAAATATATAAGGTCTAAGACATTGGGTTGCAAAGATATATATGGATGAGAACATCAAAGTTTGTTGCAAAAACACAATTCCTTTGTCATTTTGATATTATAGATAAAGGTGTTGGTCGGAGTAATTACCAGTTACCTGTCCATCAAGGGGTCAGCCTACAAGAAACCAGTTTATTAGATGGACAAATAAGCTATTGCAAGGAACCAAAGCTAATAATGTTTTTTTTTTCATTTTTAAGTTTTAAATTTTCATATTTTGATATTAAAGAGACTGTATGTCGTCATTTAATGCTACCCTCCATTTAAAGAGTGGCTTGATTTCCAACGGTACCCTAAAAACCTTTGAAAGATCAAGAATGAAGGAATGAGATATTCATGTTTATAACTTTGAAAATTGATTGGTACTCTTGTAGCTTCTTTGAAAAATACACCTATCTATTTTTGATACCTTTGTTTCGATGGAGATAATTGTTGGAATTCGGACATGGCCCTCTTTAAACACTTTTAATTTCAATAAGATATATGAATATCATTTATTCTCAGAAAAATTAGAACCAAGTAAATTTATTTGTTCAAAAATCCCAAGGGGGTTTAAATTTCTGTTTTTAATTTTTCTGAGAGTGAATGACATCAGTAAAGAGCTGATTTTCGCCTGGGCCTGCATAAATAAGCTCTAAGATTAACAGAGGCCGAATTTAAAGAATTTGATCCGCGTCAAAAATTTAAGACGGAGCTTAAACATGGTTGGTTCCTCTTGAAATTGTATTCAGTGGTTCGAGATTTGAGCCGGCGCTCAATTGGAACCGGTTTTTGGGGGTTCAGAGACGCGGTTTAAATTCTCCGAATTCTGCATCAAGATTCCATGAAAGTTGTTCCATACCAAAAAACCAGGAACCTGCATTTTAATAAGCTTTGTTGATAAGATTGAAGCGGAGAACGTTCAGGTTGGGTTTACTCCAGTTCCTGAACCATCCAAACAGTTCTTCTTTGATCTGGAAAAGTAAGTTAACAATTTTAAGAAAAAATTATATTGTGCTTTTTTGTACCTTACTGACAAATGACAATATAACTTGTTAAATTTCCAACATTTAAAAACTTTATTCGTAAAACTTTTCTTCAATAAACCATTTTACAAATGTTATCCATATATAAAAAAATACAAGGGAAAAGCTATCAACAAACCAACGATTTAAAACGATGGGTTTTTGCAAACATCATCTCTGAGGGTCATGTAGGTTGTGATTGAAGTATTTAAGTATTTCCTTTGAGCTCGCTTTGTTCTCGAAATGAACACCTTTCTGTCTTTCTTAAAGGGTAACTTTATTTTGGATTTTTTGGTTTTTTTCCTAACCAAATAAGTCAATAAAGAGGATAATACCAGTTCAGTAGATCAGGTGAAAAAAAAATATTCTACTAAAAATTCCACAATTTGAGTTAATTTTCCACCTCAAAAAAAATGTTTGTAATTGATTATATTTGATATTTATGGATATTTTCTTGTTTAGAAACAATTACCACATTCTGTTAGCAAGTGGGGCGTACACAGGGAAACTAAACTTCCATGAGAAAAGATATATTACATCAAGTAAACCAGTCAGTTTCCAGGTTAATCGTATTCAAAAACAAGATTAAATACATAAATACATTTTCCTTAAAGGATCGAATTGAATAACATTTTATTCTAAAATAATTATGCATGGAATAAATCAATTTTTTATTTATACCCTTAAAATTATATATATATATATTTATTTCAGTTTTTAACTTCACATTTTTTATTAAAAAAGAATTATACTAAACATAATGTTTCACGCCTATCATGACGATCCTCAGTAGTTACAATTCTTTGAAAGAGGATTTGAAATCATTAATTTTTTATCAAATGATAATCTTTTTAAATGTGTTTAGTCAAATTCACAGTTGCGGAATAGGTCGCGTTTCTTGATTCAAATACATGGATCTGGAATGGTTGTGGCTTGGTTAGGATTTGCTGGGATAGGGATCATAATGGCGAGGTAGTTTTTATTTATTTTCATTGTTTATTTTTCAAAATCTGTTTATTAAAGCANCCCCCCCCTGAAGTTTTTTTTACATAACTGAAAAAGTATTGGTCTGAGGCTGTTGAAATTTTCTGACTTTTCCTAAATACCCAAAAATAATAAAAAAATTACACATCAGGCTATTTAAAATTTTGCACAAATTTTTGCATATTTGAAATGGCATGGTCAATGGCTTTTCAAAAATGTTTATTTTTTCACTTTTTGGACAATATTTTTGCAAACATTTCATTTCTACTTTATGATTGGATTTTGCAAATAAATTTAAATTTTTGCTGATTTGCAAATTTTTTTGGCAGATTCTAAAAAGTAGAGCACAAGAGCTTTCCAATGATGTATTTTTTGTCATATTTAGACATCAAACATGGGGTTTAAAGGGGGGTAAAATTTACCCACCAGCCAACATATTCTGGTTTTCAAGTACCCCAGCAGGGATAAGGTTAAGGCAAAAAAATGTTGTCTTGAATTTACTAAAAAATAATATTTCTATGACTACTACTCTTAATTGATCAAATAGAGCACTTTTAAGTACATTCAACTACATAATCGATTAGCTTTGTTTTCGAAAGTGCTAGTAAGGATGGGAAACATTCTGTTAATAACGGAAACAAAAAAGGGAAATAAAAAAAACTAACGAACGTGTTTTAAAATACAGCCGATTTTTGTTCATTTTTCTGTTTAAAATTGCATATAGTTAATCGAAAATAACAAAAAATTCAGTGTTTTATGTTTTTTTCATGTTGGAATATTTTTAAATGTCAAGAGTCGTTTCCTAAGTTTTTTTTACATATTTACATGGCAACGTTAAAAATTTCTGAACATAACACTGTTAAAAACATTGAGATCATTAACGAAAGATACAAAATACTGTTAAAAAACTTAACGTTCAGTTCTCAAAGCTACCTCACAAGTTCTGTTATTTTTATTAACCGGTAGCAAAATGTTGACTAAATTCTGAACGTACTGCAAGTCCTAGTTTTTTGCATAAAACGACAGGATTTGAATAGAATTTATATTTCAATTATTTTTAGATATTTTAAAGATACATGGATGAGAGGAGATTGTTGTGGCTTGGCACAGGAAAATTAGAAAATCTTTCGATAAAATTTGATTTAACGTCACAAATCCACATTAAATAATAAAAACCTAAGAATGATTAGGTTGGAGAGGAGCGCCGACCCTTACTTTATCCAACGACGGGTTGTCCTTTAACAATATAGTAGTCGTCGTTTATATCAATACAATGAAGACGACTTTAAATTTAATTTTTTTTATTTCTACCAAGCTTTCAAACAGCATGGATAATGGATATACATAAACATTGAAACAAAGAGAAGCTGTGAATTAACAGCTTCTCTTTGTATATAATTGTAAATATAAAAACTGACAAAATCTTGTTAGCAAGGGAAACTTAGTTAGAAATGTCGTCATTGCATTGTATTGATCTAACGCTGATCACTGTAGTAATAGTATAATAGTAATAGTAATAGTAAACATGTGATTTGTTCGCTAACATTTGTTCAATTTTGATTTTTTGATGAAACTACAGTGGTTTCTATGGCACAGGTTCCTCATGATGTCAACCTGGGGGCTTACAGTTGCCGCTTTCATTTGTATTGGTAAATATCTTATTTGTATTGGTAAATATTTCATTTGTACTGGTAAATATTTCATTTGTATTGATAAATATTTAATTTTTATGGGTAAATATTTCATTTGGTAGCTATTTTATTTATTTATTATTATTTTATTTAAAGTTAACTTGATAATTAATTACTTGAATAATGTTTGCATAGATATTAACTTCTAGTCTGTAATCTGAAACTGAAGAAAATGCATAGTTTTCTCAATGGTTAGGATCCGGATCCGGATCCGGATCCATTGAATCCGCAACATGTTGGCTCCCTGGATATCTGGATCCGGATCCATTGAATCCGCAACATGTTGGCTCCCTGGATATCTGGATCCGGATCCATTGAATCCGCAACATGTTGGCTCCCTGGATATCTGGATCCGGATCCATTGAATCCGCAACATGTTGGCTCCCTGGATATCTGGATCCGGATCCATTGCATCAGCAACATGTTGGCTCCCTGTATATCTGGATCCGGAATATATTTTAGTTGTAGATGTTGGGGGCTTTGATTACTCTCTACCATATAATAACCCACATCCCTTCTTAGGCCTCTTGGTCCTTGCATTAGGTAACTTGACTTTTTAAAAATTTGACTCTTTTTTAACACTTCATAAACCTTATATCTTGTCTTGCATGCAAAATGTTTAAATTATGTCCTTTGGCACATTCTTAAGTTTTTTTTATTCATCTAAGGTTGTTTCATTAAATATTTAATACATTTATTATCTTTTTTATGTGTTAGGTGCTTTCCCAAGGGCAACCCTCCAGGGTTTTATCCAAAGGGGCAACTTTCCAAATGAGCAATTTCTAGAATTTACATTTAAGGTTAGGTTAGACCTTCTGAGAAGCCGCAAGCTGCAGGGGCCGAGCGCTGTAGCTAGGATGGGCAAGGGGCCGAAAAGACTTGGAAGTTGCCGCTTCTAAAAATTGTACATTTGGGACGTTGTTCCTTGGGATAATAACCTAGCCTTGGGAAGTTGCCGCTTGGGAAAATGCCTTTAGGAAAGTACCAAACATCTTTATTTAGTGTCTATTCAACCGTTGGTTGCCTTGTTTCGTCCCTCTGCAGATACCTCCTATAGATGGGTCTTCAATTGGGCGCATTGGTTTATTGGTAACTCTACTCATGTTATAGGTAATCCACATTCAAATCCGTTCAATGACGGTACAAGAAATATGCTCACTGACGGTACATGAAATATGCTCACTGACGGTACATGAAATATGCTCACTGACGGTACAAGAAATATGCTCACTGACGGTACAAGAAATATGCTCACTGACGGTACATGAAATATGCTCACTGACGGTACAAGAAACTGCGAAATGACGGTACAAGAAATATGCTAAATGACTGTACAAGAAATATGCTAAATGACGATATTAGAAATATGCTAAATGACGGTACAAGAAATATGCTAAATGACGGTACAAGAAATATGCTAAATGACTGTACAAGAAATATGCTAAATGACGATATTAGAAATATGCTAAATGACGATATTAGAAATATGCTAAATGACTATATTAGAAATATGTTAAGACGGTACAAGAAATATACAGAAACTCAAATTTTAAATATTAGTAATGATGAAAACTTCAATTTTTCTTTTTTTAAATTAATGGGTTGCGCAAATTACGCAAAAACATTAACTTGGAATAAAACTTTTTCAGCCATTTTAACAATGTTTTTCGCGATTGGTCTGCCCAAGGCTGGTTTACCGACTGAGGTTACCTGGATGCTCGTGTTTTATGTAGGATGGTAAGTTTTTATCCAAAACATTAAAAAAGTAAATATAAAAATGGAATTTTAAACAACAGTTTAACTTTCAATATCAAATATCAAATATCAAATACTTGAAAACCCAGCTTTGCCCGGATACTAAAACCTTTCTCAAGATAAGTAAACCTACTTAACTTAGAATTCATAAACCATGTACTATAGTACATTTATATGGTTTTAATGAGTTCCCAAATCAAAATTTGAGGCAATTCGGTCCGGGGGTTCATAAGTTATGATCGGACATACTTAAAGAGACAAACAAAGATGATAGTTCATGAAACCCTGGACCGATTTGCCTCAAATTTTAAATTTGGAACTCCTTATAACTGGTAATGTTCTTAAATTCAAGTTTATTGTGTTGATTTTAATAGGGATAATTTAGTTTCCAGGCAAAGCTGGGTTCCCAAGGTAGTTAAACAACTTAAATATATAATAAGAAGAAAATACTTTACAAGAATCTTTCAAGTTTATGTCACGAAATAGCTTCAGATAAAAATTAAATAAGATTTGAAAAGGATTTTTTTTCTGCAACTTCTAATAAAAAATGTTCACACATCTATATTTTTGTTTAATAATTTAAGTTTTTCTTGAGGTATTTAGTGACTCATGTTGTTCTTTCGCTGAATATCTGCTGGGCCGACAACCTTCCCTCATCACGCAGTCAAATTTATCCTCTTTCAGGTCAGCACATCTAACAACTCAGTTTAAATTATCTAATCCCTATAGCTTTGCAACCTGTAGGTGTAAATGTAATCCTTTGATATTTTAAACGCAGACTATGTAATCGAACAAGTTGGAAATATCAAAGGTCTAATACATCGGGTTTAAAAGATATAGGGATTAAAAAATCATGATAAAATGATTTTTGATTTACCTGATATAATTTCCAACAGCATTTCAAAACCCCATAAAAAAGGATAAGATTTAGTTTTTAAAATGGTTTGGGCACATCAACTTAACTCTATATATTAAATTTATTCATAGTATAAACTTTTAAATGAAGGGTTTATAGGGACTGTACGCGGAATTTCAGACTTCAGAATATGTTATTTTCAAGGCCGGAAAATAAAGTGTTAATCTCCAAAAAATATATTTTTTTAACTTTTCAATCAATTCTTTATCTTTGATCGATCAATTCATCAGCTAAAGCTATTGTGTCTTCGCCACGAACTCTTATTTTCTATCAAATGTCGTGATCGAGTAATCTAAAGTTTACACCATCAGGTTGCAAAGATGTAGGGACTAAAAAATCATAGTTTGTTGCAAAGACTCAATTCCTTTGTTATTATATATTTTTCAATTAGATATTTTATCAACTGATTGGTTGATTGGTTGGTTGATTGTTTGATTGGCTGATTGTTTGATTGTTTGGTTGATTAATTAATTGATGTATTATTATTGTTAGGGCGTGGATCAGCTGAGATTGGTATTCTAGAAGAAAATGTTTATCTAGAGAAGGATAAACCTGGATCAGGGTGCAGAATATTTTGTTTAGCTCTACATCTTGTCATAGGAACTTCTCATACATTTTTACAATTTTGAAAGTGCAAGAGTTTTTTTTAAAGTTAAACCTTTTTGCAAAAGGAATTGAGTTTTTATAACAACCTCAAATTTTGTATATGCGTATCTGTGATTATTTGATCTTAAAGAAATTATAGTATCAAATATCTAAGGTCTGCGACAAAGCAAAGATAAAGTGGATAAAAAATCAGAGTTTGTGGTAAAGACTAATTTCCTTTGTTTACACTTTAATTGAAAACATAAACATTTTTGTAAAGCTATTAATATCAAACATTTGCTATTATTTACCTTGCTAAAGGAACTGCTGTCGGAAATTTAAGTGACCCTCTATTTTAAGAGTGGCATTTCCGATTTATAATGCTACTCTCGAAACCTTAATTTGATCAACAATGAGGCTCATTTTTTCAGGCTTAAAATTAGTCTAATTTTGATAATTTCTCAAACGTTTCTTTACTTCAGAGAGAATGTAGAAACCACAAAATATTCAGTTTTGCACAAAAAAAAAAACAATTTATACTTGATAAGACATTAACCTTTCAGGGTTACCGTTGTGAATCGAAAAGCCACTCTGTCAATGGAGAGTCACTTAAAAATACGTTTACATTCCCTTTAACCATTTTCTTGTATGAGATGTTTATGTATTGTAGTGGTGGTAATTATCCTTCTAATAGTTTATGCTGTTATAATGGCACCTGACAATATGCTTCTGGAGTTAGGACTTATCCATCAACAAGTTTAGATACTTCAAGACTTATTCATCAAGAAGTTTAGATGCTTCAGGACTTATTCGTCAACAAGTTTAGATACTTCAGGACCTATTCATCAACAAGTTTAGATACTTTAGGACTTATCCATCAACAAGTTTAGATACTTCAGGACTTATTCATCAACAATTTTAAATACTTCAGAACTTATCCATCAACAAGTTTAGATACTTCAGGACTTATCCATCAAAAAGTTTAGATACTTCAGAACTTATCCATTAACAAGTTCAGATGCTTCAGGACTTATTTATTAAAAAGTTTAGATACTTCAGGACTTATTCATCAACAAGTTTAGATACTTCAGAACTTATTCATCAACAAGTTCAGATATTTCAGGACTTATTCATCAACAAGTTTAGATACTTCAGGACTTATCCATCAACAAGTTTAGATACTTCAGAACTTATCCATTAACAAGTTCAGATGCTTCAGGACTTATTCATTAAAAAGTTTAGATACTTCAGAACTTATTCATCAACGAGTTTAGATACTTCAGAACTTATTCATCAACAAGTTTAGATACTTCAGAACTTATCCATCAACAAGATTGTTCAATAAACCATACTTCGTAAAACCAATTTGAACTATTATTTATATTTATTTAACAAATATATATTTATTAATATTATTCATGCACTGCTGAAGAAAAAAATAGGAATATTAAATTATCATGTAATAATCCAGAAAGTTTAAACATTTTTGTATATTTGCAATAGCATTTTCAATCTACTTTGCCTGCAGGGCACTTGGTGCCTTTCTTCTATATAGCAACATTTTTTGACATTTTTCTTCTCAATTGTAAAACTCAAAATTTTGCCGATTTTGTCAAGGCCAAATTTTACTCTGCCCATCCGTTGGGCCCTATCCGTTTACCAGTTTTTACGTTCATTGGATACAAACACACAGAAAGTGCTGTAGATCTATTTATATCGTTTTTAGATAAAAGTTAATGAAACTTGGAAGAATTCACTTTTTTTGTTTTACTATACTAAATTTGTACACACAGACAAGCAAGCCCACAGATTTCTTTGTCGAGCTGTAACTTGCTTTGACTCTGACTATGATTTGAGATCATAGCTACAAGGTTAGATTTCAGAACATAGTCAAAGCTCATTCATAAGTCAACATTTTGAGATTGGATTTAGTATGATTTCAGATCTAGTCAAAGTACAAGCTGTAATTTGTTTTATGAATCCAATCTAAGCTGCTCTGACTATGATTTGATGACAGCTGGTCTTCCTATCTGACAGCAAAAAATAAAATTTAGTGGGGCATTCATATTGTCTCGACCCCTTTAAAAAGTCGTCTTTGATTTTTGGCCTTAAAATTGTAAAATGATTGATAAATTAGATACAGAGCGTCCCATATCATATTAGACTTTCTCCAATCTTTAACGCCAAAATACACATATAATACTCGAAAAATCTAGCATTTTCTGCAAGAAAAAAATTCTATTAGCCTTATTAAATTTTTCAAAATGATTCATCTTCTGAAATTTTCTGATTTGTCCCCTAAATCGTAATTTAGACCCATTGACGCGGTCTAAATTGATGTGGGACACCTTGTAGATGGATAGACTAATAAAAACATAGATAGATAGATAGAGATAAAAGATGAAGAAAAAAAAGAGAATAACAGAAATAATAAAATCTATAAAAGGAAGTATCTGATAAAAAGGGTTATTTTTTGTTTTAAAAAAAAAATTTTTATTATTGAAAATAAAAATAAATATTCTTAAGAAAATTTTGATTTTTTATTTTAAAAAGTATTTTTTAGAAAATATTTTTTTTAATTTATTAGTTAAAAAATTAAAAAAATATCTTTTTTGAAAAAATATTATTGTTAGGTTTTTTTTTAAATCTTAGAAATATTTTCATTTTTCTGAATTTTCTGCATCTTGGCATATTATTTCTGGTCTCAATTTTCATGTTTTGCAATTTTAGTAGTTTTAATGTCTGCTTATTTGTACCCAAAATCATGGTGAATGCCTAAAAATGGCGAATAGTTTTTTCCCATTTGCTGTGATTTAGCTATGAAGTCGAAGCTAAATCCAGCCTCAGGTGTGATTTCCATCAGCGGATATTTAGCTATGATTTAGCTCCGACTTCAGATCAAACCTAATTGCTTCGATCTTGCTCTGATTTTGGACTAACGAATACAAAATCATAGCTAAGCTAGGAAGTCGGAGCTAAATCATAGCTATAGAACCGGACAAAGAAATCGAACTTAAGTCTTTGCCACTAATTCAATTTGAAATATCAAGATCTGTTTGAAATATCAAGATCTGTTTGAAATATCAAGATCTGTTTGAAATATCAGGATCTGTTTGAAATATCAAGATCTGTTTGAAATATCAAGATCTGTTTGAAATATCAAGATCTGTTTGAAATATCAAGATCTGTTTTTGATGTATTTTAAAAGAGTGAGAAAAATCTAACTGAAAATATTCAAATAGAGACAGGAAACACTTCAATGCAGTTTGTTATACGGTAATTAAAAATGATCAATAATCTGGAAGATATTGTCGATTTTCTAAGTCTAGAAATATTTAATACAGATAATTCCTTTCTGTTTGCAATTAAAAAGCCCAAATCACTTTTGTAGAGAAACCACAATCAAAAATAATTAGTTTTCTAAATGTTAAACATTGATATTGATATTGCCAATTTTGCCATTAAAAGATTTGAACACTGAACACTGTGAACAGTGCTTTCACATAAAAACATGAAAATTTGGCTAAGCAAATTTTTCTAGAAAATAATTTTATGTTATTTTATGCACATACATTCATTTCAAGGCACATAGAAAAAATAAAACAAAAAAAACAATTTCAATAAATATTGAAACTTTTCAAACTACGTTTTTTGCATTTGACAATTTTTTTAAAATTTAGTTTTGGAAATTGCAGCACACTATACATATATCTAAAAATTACTTTGATTGCCATTTTGAATCCTAAAAAATGTCATGATGAAGAAAAAGTAAAACATTATTTTTAACATGAAATAAAAACGGTAAATATTATATTATCCTCTTAATGCAGAATTTGTGATAAAATTGCACTTCAGGTGGTGCAAAATAGCATAGTTCTCTGTATACTGCAACGGGAAAGATCTACAAACTTTTTAATAGTTTTTACAATAGAGAATATCTCTGAGACCCATCAAAATGTGGAATATGAAGACGATAATTAAGCAATCTTTATTGCAAATAGTTTTACCAGTAGAAACCTGCATAATTACCGTATTCAAGTTCTTTGGACTGTTTAAAATCATAACTTGAGCCTTACATTAGTCTTTCTATTTCATTTTTAAACTAGTCTCACTGTCTATACAGCTTACATTAGTCTTTCTATTCCACTGTTAAACTGGTCTCACTGTCTATACAGCTTACATTAGTCTTTCTATTCCACTGTTAAACTGGTCTCACTGTCTATACAGCTTACATTAGTCTTTCTATTCCACTTTTAAACTGGTCTCACTGTCTATACAGCTTACTTAGTCTTTCTATTCCATTGTTAAACTGGCCTCACTGTCCATACAGCTTACATTAGTCTTTTTATTCCACTGTTATACTGGTCTCACTGTCTATACAGCTTACATTAGTCTTTTTATTCCACTGTTAAACTGGTCTCACTGTCTATACTGCAGCTTACATTAGTCTTTCTATTCCACTTTTAAACTTGTCTCACTGTCTATACAGCTTACATTAGTCTTTCTATTCCACTGTTATACTGGTCTCACTGTCTATACAGCTTACATTAGTCTTTCTATTCCACTGTTAAACTGGTCTCACTGTCTATACAGCTGGTTAAACCCTCAAAGGATGAGAATTTAATGACGACCTGAAACTCTTTAAATATAACAACCTGAAGATTTCATATTAAATGTTTTTGCAAATAAAGAAAAAAGTTTACAGTTGAAGAGGCCATGCATGCAGGAACAAAGGCTGAATAAATTCTGTACAGTCATCTTAGATGTCTCATCCTTTCTGGAAAACCCTGTGTTATACAGTGAGATTAATTTAACAATGGAATAGGAAGACGACTGGAAAATATAATTTTATTTAACTGCTTGTTACCCCTGAGAAGTTATTTCATTCCATTTTCCAAATTCTTCCAATTTCTAAGAATTCCCATTTTCACATTCTTTTGCAAGTTTAAGGGAATACTTCAAATCAAATCAAATCAAATCAAATCAAATCAAATCAAATCAAATCAAATCAAGTCAAATCAAATCAGATCAAATCAAATCAAATCAAATCAAATCAATTCAAATCAAATCAAATCAAATCAAATCAAATCAAATCAAATCAAATCAAATCAAATCAAATCAATGCAAATCAAATCAAATCAAATCAAATCAAATCAAATCAAATCAAATCAAATCAAATCAAATCAATTCAAATCAAATCAAATCAATTCAAATCAAATCAAATCAAATCAAATCAAATCAAATCAAATCAAATCAAATCAAATCAAATCAAATCAAATCAATTCAAATCAAATCAAATCAAATCAAATCAAATCAAATCAAATCATGCTATATGCAGGGTGTTCCACGAAACATGACAGCTGGTGAATAGTTTAAAATGTCTTCTTCCATAATATGTCAAGTTGTTTGTTACCAAAGAGAATAATAATAAATATTTTATGGCATCCGTATTATAGTAAAATTGATTTCTAAGTAAAATATATTAGAGTAAAGCTAAATAAACTGCCAAAAGTATTTAATATCGAATACAGCATATGGAAGAAGACATTCAAAACTATTCACCAACTGTCGTGTTTCGTGGGACACCCTGTACATAAAAAGTAACTTTATTTATACCAAGCTTTAAACTTATATTTATTAGTTTTCTATAATCACCATCCCGCACCATGATTTTGTATAATTTTCATAAGCAAACAAAAAAATCGAATAACCCAAGGTTATAATGCAAGGAAAGTTATTTCAGAGGTGTACGCATCTTCTGTACTGCAATGCACTGTCTCTGGGCGGAAATATAAACACAAGACGGATATCACAGCCTGACATGGGATCCATCTTTCACATAAAAAATCAATGAAATATTCTGGTCACAGGAAACTTTTTGGTAAATTATCAAAATTTTCAAAATTCAATTCTTTAATCCTCCTCGGATACTAAACGAACACTGATGCATCTATTCTTGTTTACAAATTCCGCCCAGAGAGAACTGGTTTTAATATGTACGCAGAGTATACGCAACTGCAATTAACTTTCCTTGCATTATAACCTTGCAATAACCAAAGCTAGACATATCCAAAGTGTTTATCAAGTTGCAAAGATACCAATAATTCGAAAATTAGAGTTCATGCAAAGTTTTCAGTTCCTTGTGCTGCAAAACTGGATTTTGTGATGCTAGTAAACGTGACAAATCCTTCCCCCTCATTTTTGTTATAAAAACGACATTTCTAGTAGATTTAAGCGCATTCAGACTACAGAGTATCTAACCATACTTTACGACCTTGATTTTCTGAGAACAATTCATTTAAGTTCTAATTCTAACATTTGATGTTTTCATATTTTAAGAATAACCAATTAAAAATGTTAGCTCTTCTTCTGGTGTTGGTTCAGTTGTTAAATCTAGGAACTGTATCAGCTGACTGTAGCAAGGAGGAAGAGCAGAATAGTTGGAATACAATACAATGGTTCATCAGGAATATGATTATTTTGATTTAGATATCCTTAAATGGACTGTAAGCGTACTTTCAAGTGACTCTCCATGCAAATATGGCAATGCCCAATTTACAACGGTACCCCTGAAGCTTATATCTGATCAAGTTTAAACTATATATATGTATGATTATAGTTTTAAAAACTAATTATTTTCTATTGTTGTCTCTGCCCATAAGTATCTTGCACATTTCTGCTGTATAGGAAAACATATTTTCTGGATTAAATACCTTTCAAGCTAGAAAACTAATGGTTTTAAGGGAACCGACGCCGTGAATGGGGGTCACTTGAAATTACGCTTATACTCCCTTTAAAGGCCAATGGATACAAGTAAATTCAAATATAAGGATGTCAAAGAATACTTTTATTCTTTGAACCAAGTTTCTCTTAGTTTGCCTCTTCAATAATAAGTTATCGTTATGAGTTTGACACAATTCCAAAACTTAATTGGGAAAGTTTTTATGATTTTAGTGATTTAGGTAACCTTTCTTTAAAGAATTGGAAGGCCCGATTCACAGCATTGGACTTGGACAATTATTCCTTTTAAATTTAAATTAGAAACCGGCACATTCAGAGTTTTAAATTCTATATGTCCAAGGCTTCAAAAAAGTGTAGTCGAGTTGGTGAGATAAACTAAAATCTTTTTAAATCTAAATATTTGTATTCAGTAAAAAGTTGAATTCATACATTATTGATTAAGATTTGTACGATTACATATACATTTTATGTTTGGTTTTTAAACATTTTCACTATTTTTATCAATTAAAAGGATTCAATACATTTTCTTTTTTTTATAGATTTTGTATATCATTATATGTCAGGCAGATTTTCGTTTTAGAATGCCAGTGTAGAGCCTGACAACAGCACTTTGATGAACTATTTGTAAAACATGCATAGTAGTTTCCCACTTTTTCAGTTGATTTAACTGGACATAACCGGCACTGCTTATCTTCGCAATATCCAAACATAGGGTTATCCATATTTGACGGGGGTAATGGATCAGATTTAGATATAGGACTGGTCTCGGATTCAGTGCCAGACTCCTCAGAATCACCGGGGTTAGGGTTAGGTTGGGTTTTAGGCTCTGGATCAGGTTCAGACTCGGAGTTTGCATGTTTATTATTCCTGTCCAGCTGAGGAATAGGGGATGATACTAACGATTGAGAGCGTGTCTTTCTCTTCTTTTGGGGGGTTAAAGTTGAGATTTCTTCAACACATGGCGGAATCACAATGGACAGGGGGCCTCTCACGGACCTCTCCTCAGATTGCGGAACTTTCAGGGGTCTCTCTCCGGACTGGGAGTTTCTCATAGGCCTCTCCTCGGACTGGGGGGCTCTCGTGACTCTTTATTCTTTTCCTCCTTCTCCTTCGGGTTCTTAAGGACTGAGACCATGGAGCTTGCAATTTTGAGAAATTGAAGTACTCAATACCTTCTCTGAACCACAGTTTTAGCTCCACCTCTACACCAGCTTGTAAACACTCCCTATATAATCCCAGAACTCGATGAGTAAAACTCATTGTCAAGTAGATAAACTAAAATCAAAGTGTTGCGACACTTCAAAGTTGTCGCGGTGAAGATATCTTATAAATAGCTCATAAAACTTGTCTAGATCTATGTGACAATGGTACCCTTAAACCTTTCTTTCTCCATTGCGTCTGAAGCAAGAAATACGCAAGTCACTTTTAAAGAGAAACCACAATTAAAAATAAACAGTTTTAAAAACGAAAACCTGGATATCTAATTTCTTAATTGATCTAATAAAACTTTTAAGTGTACCGTGTCAGTGTGAATCTACTGTTCCGATCAAATAATAAAGGGTCACTTAAACTAAGCTTAGAGTCCATCTAAGCAAAAAGTGTTTACTCTATGCACCGTTTATTTTCAATTCGTTAAAGTACGAAAAGAACCCATGCGTCAAAATGCACGAAATAAAAAATTGATGCTTAACTTTCATACAAATTCCTACATTATTCATTATATTTGTTCATTGCTACTTATTCTTTATTATGATATATTGGTATAGGAAGCAGGAAGGCAAATGTCTAAATATTTATGTTGGGTAGGATTATTTAATTATTATTCACTGAAACACACCAAATAGTAGGGTTTCCATTCGCAAAACTTTTGCGCAATTTTTGCGGAACGAAACGCAATATTTTTCTTTCTTTGCGCATCAATTTTGCGCGAAAAAAAAGCAACAATTTGCGCAATCATTCGCAAAAGTCATTTCGCGCAAAATTGCCCTATTCCGCTTTTGCGAAACTCAAGTTTTGCGCAATTCTGCAACAAGAGTTTTGCGCAAATCCGCAATTTCGTAAAAATCAAACGGTTGGTGACGGTGTGTAATCCTTGGAATTCAATTCTGGAAAAATCTTGTTTTGGAATGTCTTCCTATTGGTCACTTTTACATAATTGACCAATGACAATTAAGAAGAGTTCAAATATCACAACTTTCTCGACAATTTTAGTTTTGGGCATGCATATTTCCTAAAAGTGGATTCTTCAGGCATTGGTTACTTTCTTGCATTATTTTATACGAGATTAAAAAGATTTCAGAAACTTGATTAAAAAAATTTAAGAATACAATTCATACTTGATTAAGCAAAGCTTTTAAGGCCGGGTCACTTGAAATTATTTAATAGGATTAAAATATTGCCAAGTTTCACACTCTCTAATTTCTATTTTATTAATTTTGATCCCTTAATTTAAACTTTTTTGAAACTGGAAGTAACCAATTGAGTGTAGTATAATCGTTATCATACTCGTATGTAAATATTTTTTTTTGTATATGGAAAAAATCTTCAGTTGTTTAATTCTAAGCTTAGAATATCAGTTTTTGACAATGTGCCTAAAAAGTTACATTTTGCGTAAAACTTGCAGTTTTGCGCAAATTGCGCAAAACTAAAATTTCGTGTCATGCGCAACTTTCGCAAAAAATATTTCCGGTTTTACGCAAATTGCACAAAATAGATAGCGCAAAACCGCGCAAAACTCATTGCGTTTCATGCGCAAAAATAGCGCAAAAGTTCGCAAAAATAAAATTTGCGCGAAAATAGCGCAAATTTTGTGCAAAAGATTTAGCCATTTCGTGGAAACCCTAACTGAACTGTTGTAAAAAGAGAGATTATTACAAACTCTCTCATACCTGAATGTGGAAACCCTACCAAATAGGTAAAAAATACAAATTTGATATTGCAACGATCGAAGAGTATTTATCTATTATCTAGACGAACGGGATATTTGTCAAAATTCACGTATGTTTTCGTTCAAGAAAGACAAAAGCTGTTAACTTCATAATTGTTAACAAACTAAAAACAACCGTTAATGAAAAAAAGAAAGCAAAGTGTGTTTTGAAAAAACAACGAATTGTATTAAATATTTTGCTTAAAATCATAAACTTGATGTTTTTATGTCATCTTCTATTTTTTCCCGCTATTTTATTTATTGAAATAATTGTTAACGGCTTTAAAGATTTAAAAAATATCTTCCGTTGACGCTGCTAATAAAATTGAAAAAATACTGTTTACTAATGGAAAGTTCAGCGCATAGCTTTCAGAAAACGTTCTTAGCTGAGCGCGTAGCTTTCAGAAAAAGGATTCCGCCCTATGTAACACATCTCCGCACACTATAACCTTGTTGGAGTCCGCTCTATGTATAATGTAACACATTTTTTAAAATTATTTAATCATTTCATAATCCTTACAAAAATAAAAAGTATAAAACAAATTCTGCGATGAACTTATAATACAATACAAAATGTTGACTCTGTCAAGAAGTTACACCAAATGCATCTCTTCAAATTTTTTTATTAATTTATTTTATTAATTTATTTTATTAATTTCTTGTGGAGCAGCTTGGTGGATTGAACATAGATATATTAAAAAATACCTTTTTGTCATAAAATAAATATATTCAGATTTTTTACTAGCTTTTTAGGTTGGAGAATATTCTGAACACTGGAGAACTAAACCTTGTATTCGAAGATGTAAATAATCTGCAAACTATGAAAGAGGAAATATATTTTACAACAAAATGTTTTTTCATAACAACTCATCAAGTAAATATTGAATTGAATAAAAACTGTGATTTTTATTATATAATTTCATTAAAAGAATGGCTCGACCGATTCATGAATATTAATTACCCTTTGAACCATTATCTGGTTAATAATGTGGAAGAATTCCTTCATTGTTTCTGCAGAAATGCGCATATCAAGTTATAGAGAAACCACAGTCCTCCTGTAATTATTAATTTCTGACAGAAGATGATAAAAATCTCATTTATTCTTTATGAGAAGTTTTGAGGGCACCGAGAAAAACGTTATTTTTTCTAAAAAGTTTCTTATTAAGGTTACTGCAGCCCAAAAACTGATAAAACTAGGGTTTTCTCCTAAATATATTTTCGTTCTAAAATCTGAGAATTCAGTGACAACAGATTCTCCAGGAAAATATCTGAAGTGTTTAAGAGAAAGAACTTAAAAAAGTAAAATTTAATAAATCTAGAGCTGTAAAGTTAAATGAGGCTATGTACTAATTATAACAACATACTTTACAAGGAAGTTCTGGGAATTTTACTTTTATTGTACACAATTTGATCGTTTTTTATATGAAAATGCGCAAATTTTTTTCCCGAAAACTTCGCTGAGATGGTGATTATTTTACGTAACTGTCCCAAGGGACGTTAAGTAACTTAACCCCCTCTGTTGGGGGAATCATAGGTCGGTAATATTGGTCAAAAGACGGTAAAATACCATAATGCGTTTGAACGGTATAGTTGTTCCTTTAAGATTTGATTAAGTTTTTCATGTTTTTTTTATTTTAGTTTAGTTAACTTTTTCTTATGGAAAATAGACTTGACACATGCAACAGTATTTGATTAAGTTTTTCATGTTTTTTTTTATTTTAGTTTAGTTAATTTGTTCTTATGGAAAATAGACTTGACACATGCAACAGTAAAATAGAATTTTTTAACTTTTGTCTTTTGATAAGATATTTAGCAGATATTGGTGATGTTATTATTCTCTTTAAATGTTCCAGATCGTTTAGTTTTTGGTAAGGATAACATTTGTTCAAGATTATTTATGTTCTGAAAGATGGCTTTTGAAGTTTTATTAGAATAAAAAATGTAAAAAAACAATATTTCCTTTTAGAATATTTTACAAAATTTTGGAAAAACGGTAAACATTTACTTTGAGATCCTTTTTAGCATAGTCACGTAAAAAGTGTTCCTAAATTACATGTAAGCTTTTCAAAACAAAATTCATTAATTATCTTTTTCTATAACTCTTTTAATCCATAAAATAAACCTCTTAGCTTATACATATAATTGTCAGCTAGCCGGCCAAACGGCTGGACCGAATTGGCTGACATTTTTTTAGGGTACCCTGAGGGTAACAAAGGTTAAACAATTTTAGAAAATGTCTTCAAAGTCGATTTTTTTCATAATTAGTTTTTTATAATTCCACGGTTAACGCCGGGCACTTCAGCTAGTATAACATATTTTAGGGATGTAAATAGGAATAAATTTACTGGTCTTTGGTCTAATTATTTAAACCGTGTAGTATTCAATAGAAACCAGGATATCAGAAGAATAGACTCATTATACAACAAACATTTCAGGTAACAAAATTGTAAATGTTTTTTTTTTGGGGGGGGGGTTCTTTGATCCATTTTATATCCTACATTTTAGTTTGTTAAAATCATACCTTTATAAAGCCCAATAACAATATATCAAACTTTTAAAGCGAATTTTACAGTCTTTGCAACAAGCATTGATCGAGTTTCTAATCCTTATATCTTTACAATCCAATGCCATAAACCTTTGATATTTCAAACTATGATTTCTGAATTAGATCAAACAAATAATCTAAGTTTGAAATATAAAATGTCTACACCAGGTTGCATAGTTTTAGGGATTAAAAAATTGAGTTTATGGCAAAGACATAATCCTCTTTAATATTGTTGGTGCCAAAACATCACTTAATAACTTAAAATAACTGTTGCTCCCAACTTCAACAGAACGAACAAAACAAATCCCCTCTGAGCCCGAAATTTAGTGTCGTTGAAGAAAACTTCCGAGTCATAGAGAATAGAATATATAGAGAGGAATTTAATGGAAAAAAGTGTAAAACGGCCATTTTGTTGTACTGTTTCCATACTGCAGGTGTACTTCACATATTTATGCTATATAACCTGTTGGGCCCTGGAATATCATTATATAGAAAATCTAAAATTATTGTTAAAAGAAAACCAAATTATGAAATAGGCTGGTTTCATAATTGACCAATGGTCATTTCACATAGACTCTATGCTTTCCACTTTACAAACGATGATTTTCCGTTATAACTATAAATCAAATGATGTTTTTATTCACCCTATTCATTATAAAGTTTATTTAACAGTTTAAAAAATTCGAAATTGAAATGGATAGTCTAGGGAACATACTGTATTAATGTACTCTACCGCATATAATTTGTGAACATTTACATGATTTGTACACTTTGAACTCCCTTTCAGGCTGAAAGGGACTGAAAAAATTCATACCGAGAGATTCTTTTAATTCCTCTCTATATATTCTATTCTCTATGTTCCGAGTTCCTTTTTGGGGTCTTAACGTTTTTGTAGATTTTGATTTAAGAGATTCGAAAAAACATATTTCAAAACACAAATATTGATATTCATGAAACTATCTAACCCCATTCGTGAAACCCGGGTTTTAAAACTGGTTTTCACAATGATACCCTGTCTTAAGTTTTGGGCTCTTTATACGGTGTACTGCATTTACATTATATCATGTACACAATATCATGCTAATTAATTTAAGATTTTAGTTTTCTTTCTTCAACTTGATATTTAAATGCATAACTGAATGACTTAAAGCAAACAGAGAAATTAGTTTCGCCATGCAGGAAACCATGCATGTAAGAAAAATTATTGCACAAATTCCGCACAGTGGTCTCTTAAGTCCTGCACTTTGTAGGTATCCCTGTAGAGAATACTCCCAAACAAAAACTGTCATAAAAGAAAATTTCCCACCAGCTGATTGTCTAGTAAAATGGTGTCAATTAGTTTATAATTCTGCCGTCAGGGCCCTATCCCTACGTGACAATTTCCCAAAGGAGTTACGCGCGCTTATAGCCACGTCGAATTAAAAAAAAGAGAGAGATTAGTATATGCTTCAGAGTTTGGTTAGGTCTTACCCTTTCTGGGACGAGCACTGCGACAAGGACCGAGCGCCGGGGTTAGAATTCAGGCTGTCACTGTCTTGTAATTCGACGCGGCATGCGTGTAACTCCTTTGGGTCTCTGCCTCCCTACCTACATATTTTTAGGGTTGCGTATAATATTGTGAATCCTAAGTTTGATCAGAAGAACAAATATCCTTCTGCTGGCACATACGAGGGTTATTATCTAAACACATTTTCAGGTTTGCACCATAATAATTTATTTATAACTATAAAATTATATAAAGTACCCTTCCAGTCACGTAAAACTAACTCAGAGGTATGTACTATGTATATTTTTACAACGAAGTGCATCCTGTATCGGAATATTTTCATCACTCATTCAAAATCGATCAAAAATAGCAAAAGAGACCTTTGCCAAAATGTTTAACATACGTAGCAAACACAATAGTATGAAATAGCAAATACGAAAAATCTACATTTAATGGGTAAAAATAGGTTCTAAAGTTAAATATCACTGGACTAAAAATTCTGTGGTTTATTTCAAGTTCCTGGCTGACTTTAAAGCAGCTAGAGCAAGCTCTGTACAGTACACACACAGACTTTATCAGGCAAAACGGGACGGTACATCAAATCTAAGTAGATTCTACTTTAGGACCTCCTTCCAGTTTGCCGTGGAGGAATACTGTAATTTCAAAATGTTTGTTACTAGAAAAATTTTAAAAATATTGAAGAAAATATGATAAAATGATTTTTAATAGATGAAACAAGGATAAAAACATATGTAACCACTTTCTCCCCTTGGATAGCAAAACATTTCCTTAGCTGTAGAGCTCGTTTTCTGTCGAGTAATGAACGAATTAAAAATACCTCGGGCAACGCTGGGTATTTCTGCCATTCATTTGTTACTTAATTAGGAACCCAGATATGCCTGGAAACTAGACTTTCTCTATAAAAATCAATCCACTAAAATTAGAATTTTATATTTTATATTTTATATTTTATACTGTTTCAAAATGTGAACAGGAGTTTTGATTCAGAGATTATTTCAAACATTTATATAGCTTGGGAACCTTACCACTAAGTTTTCTTTAAAAGAGTCAACGTACTAAACTTAGACATTTTAAACCAAGCTAAGAACGCGTTCCTCAGTCAAAATTTTAAGCAAATATATGTTTAATATATATAAAGATAAAATTATTGTTTTCTTTTAGTTGTTTAAGATCGTCTTTATTCTCCAGATTATTTCTACAATTTATTAAGAAAAGTATGAGTTAAAAACTGAATTAATTTATGCCAATGATACCTGGGGAGCCTATAATACTGTCACTCAAAAATGGAATGGAGCAATTGCTTTGGTATCAGGCTTAGTATTTTTTGTTCTTCTTAAAGGGAGTGTTCACGAAAAATGAAAGGGATAGGCTTACGGCGAAAAATTATAGATCGCTACTAATCATACTGAACTATAAGATGCGAATATTGGGAGAAAATTGTTAAAAACTACTCTTATCGAAGAACGTAGCGTTCATACAGATTTAGAAAGTTGCAACATTGGGATCGTAAAAAAAAAATCTATTTTATTTCAAACAAATCATTAAGATATCACAGCCCATAATCATTGATACTTTTTCGACGAATTCATATATAGTTGAAATTTTATAATATTTTTCATTTGTTTTGTATACCCCCTTTCATTTTTTGCAAACACTTCCTTTAAAGGGAATGTAGAGTCACTTTTGTTGAGAACCCACGCTTGAAAGTAATCAGCTTCAAAAATATAAACATTATGATCTTATTCATACGTCATTAGACAAAGATTTTCAGGTTGCGAAACCGGCTTTGTCATCTTTGCATGAAGGGTCACGTGACATTAAGCTTACAGTGTCTTTTATAAGAAGTATTAATAGAATTATCACATTTTTCACCATGCTCACAAAGATATAAAAATGAACATTTAAATAAAGTTTTCAAAGAACATTATGTATCTATTTATGTCATTGTAATGGGTATTATTAAGTGCGAAAAAGTTTTTGCCGGGATTTTTATTTTTTCTAGTTTATTTAAGATCAAAATACTTTTTTTTTGATCGAAAATAAACTAGAAAAATTAAAAATTACAGCAAAAACTTTTTCGCACCCATGATACCCATTTCAATAACATATAGTTTTATTCAGTTTCACTCAAATTATTTAAAAGCAGGTCGATAAACGGGAAATATTAGGTGTGATAAATTCCATTAAAATTGAATAAAATATTCTTTTTTAAAACATTTTTTTAAACCTACGCAGAATCTTCGATTATAAAATAAATCGTTGACATGAGAAAGAATTGTATAATTTTTATTTATAATATAAAGAAACCCCTGTATATTTATAATATAAAGACTAGATATTGTATATGTATAAAGGTTGGATATGATAAAGCTGATTTAGGTGTAGGATATATTTCATATACTCAACAAAGGTAACTTTATACATTAATAGAAATGGGTTTACCCCTTACACCATGCCTATTGACCTAGAAGCTAGTGTGTGGGTATCTAAGGTCAATATGAAAATTTAGCAAATTATTTTGAAAAAACATGTAAAACCTATCATCATTTTATATTTCAACTTAATTTTTAAATGCACCATAATAAAAGAAATCACTTCTAATAATTGGTATTTAACCCCCAAGATGAAATGTATGAACACCAAGAATGAAAATATACTTTTTTTAATTACAGTATCCAGGGAAGAGATCTCCAGTTGACAATATCATAAAGGTAAATTTTTTTACAAATAATTTATTTAGATCCATTATTTTTTTATTTAATGTAGGATCTATCTTTTTTAACAATTTTACCTTAAATTGGCGCAATTCTAAAAAAAGTGTCGACATTTTTTATTTTTCCTCGGGTCATGTGGATTTCCAAAATGTGTGCACACTAGCCCGATCGTTTGAGCCGTTTCGAAGGTTATTTGATTGAAACCAACAGAAAAGCGAAGTATTTATTTAGATGATTATAAGTAAATTACAATCATCGATTTTTTACAAGAAATTTCTATTTTCTTTATCGGAATATCTTTGAAAAGGTTTTTGACCGTTATACTTGGTTTGCTCTTCTTGGAAGGTAAACAAACAAATTTCATAACAAGCAAATTTCATAACAATAAAAAAATTTAAAGTAATTATTTTTAGTTTAGCATTAACAAGTCTTGTTCTATTTGTCATTGTAAATGTTCTTAGAAGCCTTGGGTTCAAACAGGTAAAATTTATAATAAAACTTTTTTAAGAAAACGTAGTTTAAAGGGACTCTATACGTAATTTCAAGCAAAGATGGCAAAGATGGCAATGACCGATTTACAAGGGTATCCTTAAAACCTTTTGTATGCTGTTTATTTAATCCAACTTTGAGATTTCATTAATTTTTTAAGAAATATTACTTGGTCTTTAACAAAACAAAAGTTTGTTTTCAAAAAAGTTTTGTTTGTCCAGCCGGACAATGTTCTTGTGTTGTTGGCACCGTTCTCTATCTTAAACGCAGAACCAATGCCAGAATGGTTTCTTATATCTAACAAACGAGGTAGGACAACTTATAAGTTAAAGCACAGTGATTTTTGGACTAAATATTTGCTATTTTATTTGCAAATGATTAAAGGGACCGTTCACTTAATTTCATGGTAAGCTAATTAGCCTATTAGCTTTTCATTCGTATTAGTCTTACTTTTCAAAGATATCTATGACAACAGCCCAATAAAATCTAAAATTATCATACTTCAATGACAGTGTCAGCCATTATAAAATAAAAAATAAAACTTTTGATTTTAGAAGTTTTTCGTGTTCAAACATGATTTAAAAAATGAACACGTTTTTACAAAGACGACTTTCTCGCTCAGACAAACCGGTTCCTAAGTTCTAACTCTTTAATAAATCACGGGGATTCTTGGGGAAGCAGGGAAAACGTATCAAATATTCAAATGTTTAAATAAGTTATATTTAAAAAATGGAGAATTTTAAAATAATTTTTAAAAAAATTAAAGATATCTACAATCAACTAGTAGACACTACAATCTAATTTAATATTTTTAAATTTTTAAAAATCCATGACTTTGACAAAAGGCATCAAATAGTGTGAATAAAAAGGTATCATTGTTGTCGCTAAGGAACAAGATTCTGACGATGAACAGATAGACAAAGGAATAACCCTCAAATCAAAATCGATAATGCAGAAAACTCTTTATTTCCTAAAAAAAATGAAATGAATAATGATAAATAATTATTACAATGGTTTACGAATTTATAATGAAAAGAGGGGGGGGTCTTAATGTTAATGGTTGACAATCATACCTTTGCGCTGGAGTTCTGAAAGATAATTCGGCTTTATCTCACGCCACAGTTGTCTTTGAAAAGTAAGACTAATGCCAATGAACAGCTAGTAGTTTACCCCTAATTACCCAAATAAGTGAACGATCCCTTTTAAAACTATTTAAAAAAATGTTTAATTTTTTAGTATATTCGGGAAGTATTTTGATGATGACTTTTGCTTTGTTTTCAACATTGGTCATTTTCGCGTTTTCCAGCAATCTAAGGTATATTTTTTCCAGTAATTTAAGGTATAGATTTCCAGCAATCTAAGGTATAGTTTTCCAGCAATCTAAGGTATATTTTTTCCAGTAATTTAAGGTATAGATTTCCAGCAATCAAAGGTATGGTTTTCCAGCAATCTAAGGTATGGTTTTCCATCAATCTAAGGTATGGTTTTCCAGCAATCTAAGGTATAGTTTTCCAGCAATCTAAGGTATAGTTTTCCAGCAATCTAAGGTATAGTTTTCAAACAATCTAAGGTATAGTTATCCAGCAATCTAAGGTATGGTTTTCCAACAATCTAAAGTATGGTTTTCCAGCAATCTAAGGTATAGTTTTCCAGCAATCTAAGGTATACTTTTGTATATTTAGTGTTTACATTGTGTAATTTTTTTTCTTTTCAGAGCTATTCTTTTATCCCCCAACTACGAAGTTCCCATTGATACTTCTCGCCAGATTGCGGAGAAAAAAATGGTTAAATAAAAAATTGGAATTTTGATAATTTTTGTATAATTTCAATCTTTGCACAAATAATTATTTATTAAAATTCATAAATCATCTTCAATATATTGAGGAAGAAACAAGTAACGCATACATGTTGTGCTAATAGATCAAAACTAGTTTTTTGCTAACAAAAGTCTCGACTCAATCTTAAAAGGTCAGTTGTTAATCCTGAAATAGCTACATGCAGTATTATCATACACACAGCGCACAGGAACATTAAAGCGACTGAAGGCTTTATTTCAAGTGACCCTCTATTTATAAAAGTACATAACTGATTCACAACAGTACCATTTATACGTTTGTCTGATCATTGATGGCAGAGTAATCCGTGTTTTTATCTCTAAAATTGTGTTTTAACTACCGGAAATCAGACACGCTTCTCTACAAATGGAAGGCCTGCACTTTAACAAACGCCTGCAGAGCTGGGAACTCTCGTGTTGGATACTCACAATCCTGATCGCTTGATCTCGATATAACCTGTGGACACTTTAATTTGAGGATTAATGCCTAATCTCTTTATTTCATGTACACCTTCCGGGTTTATCGCGTAAATATTAAATTAATCTGCAGTTTAACAATCAAGATCAAGTATTGAATTTGATATCCACAATACAAGAGGTTCCCAGCTCAGTTTTACTTGTATTGTAGTATGTAGCTCTGAGTCCTGGAGGAGCCTGGCATTATAATTATCTTCTAACCTCATCAGATCCAGATAGAGTTGATATGATGGACCGAGTTCTTTTTATATCAGATAGGGTAATATGCCAGGGTGTCCCACGAAGCATGAGCGTTGGTAAATAGTTTGGAATTTCTTCTTCCGTTTACTGTACACTGTACAGTGATAACCAGAAAACGATGGAAAAGGAGGACGACTTTATAGCAATACTTGAGTGTGCTTAATATTGTTTAAAAGCAAATAAAGTGAAACCCTTAATAACAAATACATCGAAAGAATTCATCAAATGTCGTATTCTTCACTTTCGGATAATGGAATGTTGCAGATATTTAGTTTTTTAATTAAATGATTATATGGAACTCTTTAAAACTGTTCCCGCATATTCATGGTTATTTTTTTATTTTCTCAAATACTGAAATTTACGTAATATAGTATAAAACTCATTGAAAAATTGTCAAGAAAACATTTGATAAATTATTCCGATGTATTCGTTATTAAGGGTTTCACTGTAGGTTCACCAGATACTTATCAAATCACTGATTAAGTGAAATGGGTCTCTGTGAGTTTTCAATTCCTGTGTCTAATGTTCATTAAAGTATTTTAAGTTAGAACTTGAGTCTACAAGTCGTCTTCCTATTCCAGAGTTTTCTGGTTTTTACTGTATTATCTATTAAATGCTTATGCTCAAATATATTTAACTTTGAAATCAATTTTACTGTATAATATTTATATTTTTTTTTGGTATCAAATAGCTTGACAAATGGAAAAAGACATTCCTTAAATCCACCAACTGTCATGTTTCGTGGGACACCCTATTGCATATAGGGTAATTTTTTTACATATACCGGATAGAGAAATCTTTATTAGTAATCCAGATAGGGTAATTTTTATACATATACCAGATAGAGTAATCTTTATTAGTAATCCAGATAGGGTAATTTTTATACATATACCAGATAGAGTAATCTTTATTAGTAATCCAGATAGGGTAACTTTTACACATATACCAGATAGTGAAATCTTTATTAGTAATCCAGATAGGGTAATTTTTTTACATATACCGGATAGAGTAATCTTTATTTGTAGTCCAGATCGAGAATTTATATACATATATACAAGTGTTGACCTTTAAAAAAGTCAGAAAATATTCAAATAAAGAAATCAGAAAAAAAACCAAATATTCTATAACATTTATTTAAGAAAAACAATATTGTTTTGAAATATTTGACCAAGACACAAAGATTGTAAATTGGTTGGTTTAGAAATTAATAAGAAACTATGGACGAAAATCAGTTAGAAGGTGTTTGTAGAACTTCATGATGGTGGTACAGATCATCAATCTTGACGGCAGGCTTTCTCACAACTAGGCTTAGTCTAAGGGAGAGAGATTGCAGACTTATCGTGTATACAGGATAATGGAAGGAAGTCTGGTTCCGCCCGGATCTCTGGAACATTGTGGAGTGCGGAGCTAGGTGTAAGAAGTGTCTTCTGCTGTTAGTTCTGTATCTGAATCATCATCATGAAGGAGCCAGGGTTGAGGAGATGTGAATGTCTTGAGTGTTTGTAGCTGACTGCTGGGTGAAGCGGGAGCTAGGGTGAGCGGGGATTTGACATGTGTGGTGTGTTGTATTGCGGAAATGGATCCTGAGTACACACACATCCAGAGAATTAACATCGGCATTTGAGTCGGTGAAATCGTCTTCCTTATATTTCGAATTTATTTTAACAACAAGATAGAGTAATCTTTATACATATACCAGATAGAGTAATGTTTATTTGTAATCCAGATAGAGTAATCTTTATACATATACCAGATAGAGTAAACTTTATTAGTAATCCAGATAGGGTAATTTTTATACATATACCAGATAGAGAAATCTTTATTAGTAATCCAGATAGGGTAATTTTTTTACATATACCGGATAGAGTAATCTTTATTTTTAATCCAGATCGGGTAATTTATATTTATATATACAAGATAGAGTAATCTTTATACATATTCCAGATAGAGTAATGTTTATTAGTAATCCAGATAGGGTAATCTTTATACATATACAAGATAGAGTAATGTTTATTTGTAATCCAGATAGGGTAATCTTTATACATATACCAGATACAATAAACTTTATTTGTAATCCAGATAGGGTAATCTTTATACATATACCAGATAGAGTAATCTTTATTAGTAATCCAGATAGGGTGATCTTTATACATATACCGGATAGAGTATCTTTATTAGTAATCCAGATAGGGTAATCTTTATACATATACCAGATAGAGTAATCTTTATTAGTAATCCAGATAGGGTAATCTTTATACATATAGAGTATCTTTATTAGTAATCCAGATAGGGTAATCTTTATACATATACCAGATAGAGTAATCTTTATTAGTAATCCAGATAGGGTAATCTTTATACATATACCGGATAGAGTAATCTTTATTAGTAATCCAGATAGGGTAATTTTTTTACATATACCGGATAGAGTAATCTTTATTTGTAGTCCAGATCGGGTATTTTATATATATATACAAGATAGAGTAATCTTTATACATATACCAGATAGAGTAATCTTTATTAGTAATCCAGATAGGGTAATTTTTATACATATACCAGATACAATAAACTTTATTAGTAATCCAGATAGGGTTATTTTTATACATAATTACAGCTTTACCAACAAGGAAATGGATTTTAGATTCTGAAAAAGAACCTATTTTAAAATCTTTTTAGGAGGAAAGATGCACAATTGCCCCTCAAGAAAAAACAAATGTTTGTTTGGGGGATAAGGTGGAATGTTTATCCTAGAACTTTTAAAGAAATTGAGTCTTTGACTTAACAAAAATTTTCTAATCACTACATTTTTGCAACCTGGTAGTGTAAACTTTGATATCTCAAAAAAAGATTATTTGAGTCAATAGAATTCATAATTTGAATTATCTAAGGTTTATAACATTGGGTTGAAAATAAAGGAATTAGAAGTAGGAATCAATTCCTTTTCTCCACTGTATTATTTTAAAACAACGTAAATATAATTTATTAGGAAAGTACTCTAAATTTTGTGAAGAATAATCCAATATTTCCCAAAAATAAACCAATTCTCTACTTTAGTAAGGTAAACTTTGAAATAAATTATTAACATTAGACATTTAGGACGCTTTGTGTCTCTCTAGTACAATCTTTCTACGTATGTTTATATTTAAAAAGTAAAAGTGACAAATGTTGCCAAAGGTTAAATTAGAATATCACGAAATTATAAATAAAATTCCCCCCCCCCAAAAAAAAAAAATTGATTCTTTGATTTTATTTTAGGAGCAGATTCGACCTTATTTTTACGGCTGGGTTGTTCAAAACAATTCTATTTGGACCGAGATTGTCAATAATCACATTCTACTGGGTCATCAGGAATTTTTTTCATTATAATTATCAAATTATTATTAATTTATTACCTGCTGGACTTGAGTTCATAGATATCCTCAGACGCATAGATTAATAACAATACAGATAGTTCACTAAATGTCGTCATTTCAAGATTTAATAGTTTTCGTTCACAATAAACCTGATGCAGAAGCCCAAAGGAGTTACGCGAAGACAACGTTGAAAAACAAGACATAGAGAGAGAGCATGCGCATAAATTCTTTGGGTCTCTGCCTCAGGGTTTTTGTGAACGAAAAAACCCTTAAATCTTGAAAAGCAAAATCTATTGTCCTCTCTGTATTGTTATTAATCTTTGCTCAGACTGAATATTTAAAAAAAAACTGATAACTCGCCTAAGATTCTAATTTTCTTTGCATAGTATTTTTGCAATCTGATGTAGACCTTCAGTAATTTCGATTATGATTGAAAAAGTTAAAAATATTGGTAGCGTTTTTCATCAGGTTGCAGAAGTAGGTATCAGAAGATAAAGTGTAATGAAATCCATTATTTATTTCTAAAAAAACTATTGTATTGTTTAGGCTGGGTTTACTAAGAAATTTATTGTATTGTTTAGGCTGGGTTTACTAAGAAAACTATTGTATTGTTTAGGCTGGGTTTACTAAGAAAACTATTGTATTGTTTAGGCTGGGTTTACTAAGAAAATATCTAGATTACAATATGATCCTAAATTTGCACCTTCTCAATCTAACACGGTAAAGTTTTGTTCTCTTTTTACCATTAAAAAAAAGTCGCGGACATTTTTTCTTGGATTTTCAATAATTTAAAAAAATTGTATTACTCTGAACTTCCGTAAACCTTCCCTTGGACTATGATGTGAGATCACACAAAAAATTTGGCCAGATCGATTCAGCCATTTTGACGTTTATCGGTTACAAAGCAACACCAGAACAGACAAGCATAGTACATGTAAAACAATCGTTTTTTCCAGCAGCATATGACATCTTGGAACTGCATTATTGCAAAATTGTCAATAATGCAGTTCCAGTCCACATGGTCTTTAATTTGAATGAATTAAAAAGGGGTGTATTTATTGATATATAAATATATTAGTGTTCACGAAAATTGTCACATGAATCAATAATTGTCAGTGAATTCCCTTGTTTTTAGACACCCTGCATGATAGATGTTTAATATTTAGGATCGACTAAGTTTTGAACACATGGCAGCAGCATATATTCTACTAGGGATAGGTCTTCTATCTTCAATCATAGGAATAATGGATTAATAAAAGATTTTTAAGTAGAACTAGAAAAAGACTAAATTTGATGGAAATTATCAAGGTTGGCTCCAATGCACGGAAAATGTCGTCTCCTAAAATAGATAGATAAAAACCTAATATGACGTCACTGATTATTGAGGCGAGAGTGTAACGCCATATCAATTTTCTCTCTTTCTATCATAGGAGACGACATTTTCCGTGCATTGGAGCGCAGTGAGAGTTACCAACCGTATTATACAACCTTGGAAATTATGTAATAATTTTGATTTATTCCTACAAACTTAAATGTTTAGAGATCAAGATTAATTTGCTTTTTACAAAAACTACAACCTTGTAAATCGAAACTGCACGACAATTATTTATGTAAAGAAAGTCCGAACTCTAATTTAAATTCATTTGTTTAAGTTCTGTTTTCTGAGATTATTTATTTTAACAAATTTGTTCATTGACCCTGAGTTGGATTCATTGGGTCATGTTAAATGTTAGAATGAGTTAAGTTCTTTATATTGTTATGAGAATACAATATAACAATAAATATTGTAAAAAAGCTAATTACTTTTGCAGAGATTAAGAAAGATAGTTTTTATTTATCGGAAAATTTATTTTATTGAACTTCAATATTCTCTTTGTTCCATGCGAACAAAATTTTAGTACTATCTCAGTTAACAATTATATTTGTAACCGTCTTTTTACCAACATTACCAACCTATGATTTCTCCAACAGAGGGACCTTAAGTTTAGGAGAAATTAAATCCAAAACTAACACCTGGCCCATTTCTAACACTGAGTGTTAGAAATGGGCACAACTTGAAAGACTGAGTTTTTGGGATCCCAGCCCATATCCAGATTAAAAGTCGATATTAAAAACTATAACCAACATTCTATTAAACATGACGAGGACAACAATTCCCAGTTTAAAACTTTAAAAAAAAAATAAAAATTATATTAGTTCTTTTTATATTAAAGCTCTTGACTGTTTTCAAGACAATGTTAGGTTTGCCATTTTCGAACATGATCCTGAATTTGAAACATTGTCGCGTTTTCGCCCATTTCTAACACTCAGTGTTAGAAATGGGCCAAGTGTTAGTTTTGGAACTAATATCCCCTGAAATTATATAACGTTCCATATGACAATTAAATAAAAACACCACCTGCAGCTCTTGTTTTCGTGAAAAAAATGCGCATTTTTAATGCAAAAAGTGATAAATTGTGTCCAACTACTTTTTCCGAAACTAAAAATTTTTCTTAACCACGGGTTTCCTCGACCCTTGGTAAATTAAAATCAAAACATCCAGGACACCTTGTTGAGTAAAATTACCTTAAATTGTAAAATAGATGTAAATGATTATTATTAAATCCAGAGTGGTTCATTTTAGCACCGTCAGCGTTGTCAATGCCCCCAGGGACCAGAATTGATGAATCGTGATAAGTAGCTGTACCCGGTACAACTAGTTCTCTTGTGCGCCTGTTCAGCAAAAGAAAAGTGGTTCAATTTATTCTACGTAGTTCAACTACTTGTACTTCAGATTTAATCTGGTATCGGATTTCAATATATCAATTGACTGCAAATTGTTCAAATGTTTGATATCTCCATCAAACGCAAATCAAACGCAAATCAGGGTTTGAGTTTCAAGTCATGCCCACATTCGGGGTAAAATCACTCTTGATCATTTATCAATTATATCGAAGATCAAAGACAATTTAAGTATTCTCTTAATTTACATGTTTAAGCGACACTCCGACAGTTACCATAAACCTTAATTAAAATTTTATGATAAATCAATATATATTTTTTCTTTTTACATTTTTTTTTGGAAAAATTACTCTTCCCTGAAATAAAATGATGGTGTATCGTTTGACCTACGCAAATCCACTATACTGCACTTCTGACCTACGCCAAATCCGCAATACTACACATCCGATCTACTAGCATTGGGTTTTACAGCTGCTAGATGGACTTGTGGCCGCAGCGCTCGGCCTCCTAAACTGTCCTAGCCGCAGCGCTCGGTCCAGAAATTGTCATATTAAATCTATCAACACATTTGATCATTAATCAAATTATGCCTGTCGGGGAAAGCTATAGGCTCCATTTCTCAGACTGGAGTTTAAAGTCCCGAATGAGTAATGGTTTTTCAGTCCGGATATGAATTCAATTTTGGCATTTGCGATGTATCCTGTTAAATGTCAATTTTCAAGTTTAGCAGTATGATCCCAACAACACGACCAAGATTGATCCACGCAACCATTTTTAACTCCCCTGCATTTATGGAGAATCAGTGTTACATTAAATATGGATGGAGGGAATCCCCCAATGGTTTGTTTTGTTTTTGCTGTGCATTCTTAGGAATATGTAGCAGAGAGAATTTGGTCGAGAGTTCATGAATGTCATGAAGGATTATCAAGGGACTTATCCTGCCTGCCCCCTGGCTGTCTCAGAGCCGTTTTACTTTCTATCAAGACTTAAAACTTAGCAAACATAAATTAGATTGTTTAAATGCTGTCCTTCCATTTCACAGCTTTATAAAAGTGTCCCATCTCGTCATGTTAGAGGAATGTTGTGGGATGGAGACACTATAGTTAAACTCGTAACTTCATTCCAAAATTGGTTATAAATTATACTCATATTGTTGGACGCCATTGTTTTTGTACGATTTTTAGTTAGTTAAACCTGTTATTTTGATAAAAAAAACCTGTGTCAAAGCTTAGCGAAATTTCTGTAAATATTCCTTTGTAGTAAAGAGTTTCTCAACTGGTTCAAAAAACTTGATAGTTCTCAGAGAAAATATATTTCGATATTTGAAATATCCTTCATAATTCTTAACAGAAACAACCATGTTATTTTTCAGCACTAAAGCGGAATGCTGGTTGATTTGACAAGTGCTGTTCACTTGGACCAGGTTGAGGTTCTTCTTCCTCATAATTTTGTTCACGTAGAGGCTGTTTCTTTCTACAAGTCTTCTTCCCAGGTTGAGGTTTGGTGTCACCAGATTTTAGCGTTTTATTCCATTCTGAAAAATGCAGAATTTTTAGAGGAGGCTAGAGTAAACTAGAGGAAACAAGAAACTATATAGAATTTAATTTAATTTTTAATTAAAATCACCTTGATATTCAAATCTTCTTTTGTTTGGTTGAGGTAAAAATTGCTTTAGTCCACTTGGTCCAGGTTGAGGTTCTTCTTGAGTCCCTTTCGTAGGATCCTTCAGACCAGGCTGGGGATCTGACATTCAGTGGTGTAATTTTTTTTAGAATTAAATTTGAGTTTGTGGCAAGTAAAAGTTGAGAGAAGGATACGAAAATTAAGTGTATTTAAGCCAAGAAAAATATTCTTAACATTTCTAACTTTTCTAAATGATTTTCAAAGAGGGGAGAAAATATACACTCCTGCTGATATTTCTGCTGGTCTTGCTCTTTTGGCACCTCCCCGATTTCCTTCCTCTTGATATTCAAATCTTCTTTTGTCTGATTTATATAAGTGCTGTTGTCCACTTGGCCCTGGTTGAGGTTCTTCTTGAGTCCCATCTACATGGTATGTGTCAATAGGATCCTGCAGGCCAGGCTGGGGATCTGACATTCAGTGGTGTAAATTTGTTAACAATTAAATTTGAGTTTGTGGTATGTAAAGGTTGGAAAGAAAAAAGAATGAGAAAATTAGTGCTAAAGAAGTTCATAACATTTCTAACATTTCTAAATGACTTTCAAAGAGGGGGAGGGGAGGGATTATTTGAGAAAATTTAAACCCTCCTGGTACCTCTCTGATTTCCTTCCTCTCCTTTTAATTCTCTTCTTCTGTTTTCTAAACGATAAGTTAAAGTTTTGCTTAGTTAAAATAAATGAATTTATGAATGAATATCAATACCTTTGTTTATCTTGTCAAGTAGATTTCGACAAAATTTGGATATTCCATTCTCAACAAGTTTTTCAGAACCTCTAGGTGACATCTTATAATTTTGTTGAAATCTTGTCATGGATTGGATCGATTCTAAAACAATTGTCTTTACATAAATATAATTTTTGGACGATTTTTTTAAAATCTCACCTTTTAATAATTTCACAATCTCAGGATATTCAACTTTGAGAATGAAGGGTTTCTTAGTTTTATTCGGCCCATAACCTAAGGTGCGTTTTCAGAGGTGTATAATTTCCCAAAATAAACCAATAAATGATTTCTGGGTAAAAAGTAACAAAAAAATCTGGAAAAACTTGTCTCTTAATGACCAATTTTTCAATTTTTTCCAAAATCATCAAATCAATTACCAAATATATACACCCATGCCTGCTGTCCATGATAATTGGGTTAGAATGTTCGTCGAAAATATCTGTAATAATATGAACAAAATTAATAATCATGTAAATCCTAGAACTCTCCCCCCCCCTTCACTTATAATACGCACCATAGGAAGTGCAATTCTGGCACATTTCTCAGGTGTCTGTCCTGTCACATTGCTACGAAGCCAGGATTTGCACTGGATTAAAAAAAATATTTCAAAATGTTAAGTTTAGATATTCGGTTCGGTTTTCGGATCTTCTCTTCTCTTCTCTTCTCTTCTCTTCTCTTCTCTTCTCTTCTCTTCTCTCCTCTTCTCTCCTCTTCTCTTCTCTTTTCTTCTCTTCTCTTCTCTTTTCTTCTCTCCTCTTCTCTCCTCTTCTCTCCTCTTCTCTCCTCTTCTCTCCTCTTCTCTCCTCTTCTCTTCTCTTTTCTTCTCTTTTCTTCTCTTCTCTTCTCTCCAAAATTAATTAACCTTTCTCTTGAATTCCATATCATTTGCTAATTGACTTTCCAGTTCCTGGATCTCAGCTGAAATAATAGAAAATATTGGTATAAAGAAGCCTTGTTAAAAGATTTAAATTCTTACCCTCATTCTTCACGATGTCAAATGGCATCTCAATTGAAACTTCACTCTCATGTGTCTCATTCAACATATGGAACTTTTTCTTCACGAAATCCTAACAAAATTACGCAATCAAAATCGAATTAAATCAGTATAACAAGATTTAGGGAATCAGATTCCCAGGAACTATGACCTAAATTTATATTAAATCAAAATATTCACCCCAAGATTGCAAACGGCCTCAGTAAGGGTTTTCTGGCTTTCTATTACGGCAGTCAGACTTGCTTGTATGGCATCGATCTTCTTCACATTGCGTGCATTCTTCTCATCTATGTAGTCCTAGATAAGGCTGGGCATTGTTCCTTGGGACCGATCGTTCTTTCACGAGAAGGAACGAAACTATTTCAGAAAAATAGGAACATACCCAACTCAAAGGCTGGGCGTTGTTCCCTGGGAATGATCGTTCTTTAACGGTAACGAATAAAACCGATTAGAACGGAACAATTTAAAAAATAGGAAGACGCCCAGCCTTACCTTTGGATTATTAACCTTTCTGACTGAATCACAATTTTCAATCGTGAATAATCTTCTTCCTGAAAGTTTAACACATTTATTAATTCAATATTAAATTAACATTCAACCTATAGTCAAAGGATCATGATCCCAAAGGACAATGATTCTCCGGGCTCTAGGGTCGAGCTCCAGCCACCTCCCCGTGTCTGCCTGGGTTCTAATGGATCACATCAGGTTTGATTAGGACCCAGTGTGTATGCCCGATATAGGTTATTTTATTATAAAATTAATTAAATAATTTACTGGTTCCCCCCCCCCCC